CGTCGGATGGCATTCTTTCAAAGATAAACTCCATTTTCTAGCTACGCAACACAATTCGTACATTTGCGAATTAAGATATTCAAGAGAAACGAGTGGTTGAATAGAATATAACGATATAGCATCCGGTAGAGCAGTTTTATTCATAAAGAGAACTTTCATTTTGTTCGTTTCCATAAAGATATTTTCATGAATAAATTCAAAATGGCAATCGACGAATAATAATTTATTCAATTTAGTTAAACCTTTAAATGTAAAACTATTTAAATAAGTTAAATTTGTTGTTGATAAATCCAAGTATAATAATTCATTTTGTCTTTCAAAACTACGGTTTGATAAGGAACCTATAGGATTTCTACTAAGATCCAAATATTGTAGAATAGGCCAATAGTGCATTGTTTCTCTTTCGATAAAAGACAACCTATTATTGCTAAAATCAGCGCAAATAACGTTTGGAGTAGAAATATGAGGAAGAGAAGTAATAAGACCAAAGCTTAGGTTTAAATACGTTAATTCCGCTGAATAAGTAAGCGAAATATTATGATAATCATTAAGATTTCTTATAGATAATCTTTTCAATGGTTTATCCAAATAAATTGTATGAATATTCAACAATTCGGTTAGATTACAATAGATATCCGTATTGATTGAACATTTACAATAAAATGGACAAAATTTACTTGAAAAATTGAAGCAAAACATTTCGTCATTTCCGGATTGACAATTTATATATCCATCACAAATTTCTCTTAAGTATATATACGTTCTTTCGTATTTACACTTGAAATGTCCGATTGGATAAAATTTTTCTTTTTAAAGAAACAAACAAAACATTATTTCCATTTAATAAATAAGAAACAAAAAGGAAATAATAAACCGCAATTGATTTCATCATCGCCGTATTTACAATGGTTTATACCATCGCAAATATTCTTGATATGTATACAGTATTTAGTCGAGTAACACTGATATTCTTCAGGATTACATCGCCAATTTTCACAAGAGTTCAAATCGAAGAACGGAAACTGAGGTCTAGTTTGTAAATTGTTCATTGAATCATAAACTATTCTACATTTAGTTGTATTTCTTGAAGATTTAGACAATAGTTTTAAAACTATCTTGCTCCTACATTCTTTTGAAAAATCAGCAAGTCTAGGAAGTATTAATTATGTAAATATGGTTAAGTGCAAAAGAAGAAGAAGAAGAAGAAGAGGAAGAAATTAAAATGAAATACACTATTCTTCGAGTATTAAAATGAATATCACCAATACAGTATTCGGGTTGTTCATCGGCAGCCGATTCGGTACAATGCAAGTTGAAATCGCACAAATCTTCTTCCCTTAGACAACGATTTTGGCAGAAGAATGTTTCGCAATCAGCTTCAAATGATAGAGTGAGAAAAGATAAAAGAATGATCTAAAAAATATTATCTACCTCGACAATTTTCATCAGATGAATCAATGCAGTTTTTTCTCTATTGCAGTATTTATTCTTATCAATACATCGTCCACTTGTTATACATTGAAATCTAAATATTAGTAGGTATGAGATAGGCTATAAGGGACTGAAAGTTTGTTTATCTTAACTGAGTTCTGTTATCGCATTGCCTCTCTGTTCAGTTTAGAATTAATACGAAAAAAGAGAGAGAACGGTAGTTATAAATTCATACAATACATTATATTCGTACCGCATCGAGACTCATCACTTCCATCCGAACATTCTTGTAAGTAATTACAAACTAGATTTAATTGAATAGCTTCTCCAGAATCGCAGGTAAACATAACCGAATTAGTAGGACAGTTTAATTCGTCATAACCATTTAAACAATCCTTAATACCGTCGCATACTTCTAGTTCGCTAATACAAATTTCTTCTGGAAGGCAAGTAAAAGTACGAAAAGGACAAGTATCGCCATTTTTATTCATTCTATCAAAAGATCTATAGGGGTTTGTTGAATAATTGCTTTGTACAGTCTCTATAATATTATCGCTGTCTTTGAAAGATAAATGTTAAATGAGGTTGATAGCAAATATCAGCTGTTAATAACGTACAAGATCTTGCTTCGCATAAAATGATAGTATAATAAAGATGTTCACAATTGACAGACCTAAAACCTTCCGGACTAATACTGAGGCATTCTTCACCATAGGACCAAGATGTTACATGCTTAAACATTGAATCGAGGAGACTCTGACAACCTATATGCTCAACTTTTGCAACGCTAAAGAGAAGAAGAGGTAGAAGAAGATGAGTTATTAAAGATTATTAAATGTAGAATAAAATACGTTAAATGATGAATTGTCCATAATCCAATAATATTAAAAGGAATTTTATCATAGGTTGTCAAATATGTATTAAAAGATGAACTGATAGTTTTTTCAGAGTCTTTAAATGAACAAATACTGTATATATATATAGTATATACATATATATATATATAGAAAGCTTACAAATTGGTATAGAAGTTCGAATTCCAAGCAGGAAATTATCCATCACAGTTCTGTAATTTTAATAAAATTGATAGAAAAGACATCAACGTCAAGTTAATACGACTAACTTTGAATTTTTCATAAAATTCCTTTCATATTCCGAATGAAAAATGAGTATGGCGATAAGGAAGAGATCATTTTCATCAAATACATTAAATAACGTTAAATTTTGTTTTTTGCAATATTCTCTTGATTGATGATGAGATAATTTTACCTTTGAAACTCTTCTATGAATACATTTGTTATTTATATAGAAAAAGTCTTTTCCTCTGCAATCTTTTACAATATTCTTAATATATTTAACGATTAAAGTATATATATTATAGTTGTATTAGTATTATTACTATTTGTACGAATTTTTCGGTTCTTTAAGCATATAACCTCTCTTGTTAGCGCAAGAATTGTAGCTGAATAAGAAGCAAATGAACAATTTTGAAGAGTTGTTTCATTCTTTGAACAAGTCATGGCGAAAGTTGTCTGGCTATTAGCGTATCTTTTATTTTTTGAAGCTTGTATTTCTTCGTCTTCGAATCCAAAATATTTACAGATTAACTATTAAATATATAGTATTTATCTTATATATTATTATAAGACAGAAAGAAAGACAGAAAGAAAGAGTGGGAGTGAGAATGAACAGATTCAAACATTCATAAAACTTAATCACCTTCCTGTGGGTTCTATCTAAAAATGGATAATTAACATAAAGCCAACTGTACGAATAATATTGCAGACTCCCTGTAGCCTTTTCTGGCAGATTTTTATCAAAAGGATATACGTATTCTCTATTATAAATGCCAATATTAAGACGAAAGTCCTTTTCTGAAGAAAAGAGTTTTTTCAATGTGATCGAGTAAAGTATATATTTTTATTGCAAACCCAAAAACGGATCATCCTTTTTACAATAAAAACTACAAACATTCTGATAATATTTAGTTGTTACGTAGGTGTAATCTGCAAGTGTTTTACTACCCAGTTTAGAAGAAAGGACCATTTCGCCTTCATTGTCTTCAAAGTAATTTTGCATTCTTGGAGAAGAACATGTACCAAAAGTTCTTGGAAAGAGTTTCATTGACAGTCGCTTACACATTACGTCCAAAAACGTTCTACTGTCTGTCTTATAGGTTATTTTCATATGGCTAAATCCGTACTTTTCACTATGGAAACAAGGGAATATTTTTACGTAATTATCCACTTTAAAGCTGTTAGAATAGAGTTTTGAATCTAATAGTTTAATTTTAAATACAGTTTTATAGCTTGAACAGTTGATTTGTAAACATTGAATATTCAATTTAGTATCAGTTTCAACAAAATCTATTTTATTAACATCAATAAACCAGCCAGAGATGTTTGTTGGTGGAAAATTTGGAAATATCTCTTTCTTTATATAGAAAATGTCTTTACAAATGTTATCAATTTGAGAATTGGGACAGTAGTAGTAAGATTTCATACGAAATCTAGTATATATAACATTATTGTTAAAGTGTCTACCTTCTCCAAAATCACTAAATAAAACTATAAAATGATTGAAAATGATGAATTATTCGTTGTTTATTTATAAGAAAAGAAGGAATTTGTTCAATTTACATGGTATTTCTACCTTGAAACATCTAACGCATAATATATCATTGATTTCCGGCAATTGTTGACAAATATTGATTTTCCTTTATAAGATAAAGATTGAAAGATTATAGATATTTATTCAATTTAAATCAAATTTTACCATTCGCAAGATTGAATATTCATTTTATTAAAACATCTCACATTCAAACTATTCTTAGCTTATACAGTAGACAAGATAGGGATCAGAATATGAATTTATGAATCTTCTATTGTTCAATTCTCATACTTACTTGCGTAATTTGGACAAGTTAATAACTGATGATAAAAATCATCGAATCCTGAATTTTTACAAGCGAACATTCCAATTGAAGCTAAATTATTAAAACGGCCATAATTCATAAACAAATGATATGGGATAGTTGAAAGATTGAATTGTCTTACAACAATTGTACCAGTTATTGAATTGTTATCTCTTATTAATATTTTATCAATATATATTTTATCATCAAGAGAATCATTAACAAAATTTCCTTTAAATTTGCATTTTTCACTTTGATTGAATATGAATAGAGAAATTATTGAAAATATTAAAAGAAACAGTTGAAATAGATCCATATTCAAGACAGAACTATGATATCAAGATTTTGTAAAGTGTTCATAAGCTTTTCCTTATATTTAATAAGGAACTATCAATTTCAATTAAAAGCTTTCTCCCATTAATTCAAAAAGACTATTCATAATTATATGAAATACGAATATCTCTCCTTTTTATTTTCCTATAAACACTAAGAGCAGACGTTCCACATTTCTAATATATGATTGTATTCAAACAACTAAATATAACGTCATTGTAGAGTAGTGTTCAAGTTGAGCCGTATTTGACGAATGTTAAAGTAGATATCCCATATATTTTTGAAAAGCTACAAAATATCGACAAATATTATTGAACAATAGCTAAATAAAGAATATTAACAAACTTGGCATCATTGAATCACGGTCTCTTTCATTTTGTATAAGTATATGAAAACCTTTGGAGAAAGCTGCTACCATAGATTTATCTCGATTTCTTTGAAAATCTAATAGAGATAAGTTATCTATTGAACGAAAAGTATTAATATATTTCTTGTAAACGATAATGAAAATGAATAAACCTTTAAGAAATTCATAAAGTACTTTATTATTCTGAATTTTGAGAATTTGATGAAATTGTTCAAGAAACATTTCTTTTATTAAAAATCCTGTGTTCATATCTTCTAAAGTGTTTTTCAAATAGTTTTTCAAACTAGTATCAATATTTTCCGTTTCGTTCAATTTGTTAAACAAATCGACAATAGTTTCTCTTAGCTCTTCCTTTACTTTAGCCAAGGAATATAGAATATCCAATAAAAATTCGCAGACCATAGAGTTCTCCTGTAGAATAATTTACAAATGAATTAAGCTAACGAACTAAATGAAATGAATTAAAAATGAAAAAACTATACAATATTCAATTCAATTATCCTCTCAAAAGCGTTAAATAGAGATTCATGGTCGGAATAATCATATAATAGTTCAAATCTAAGTTCTATAGTGAAGAACAATATAAAATATGATGAAAAGCGTTCAACTTCATCTTGGCTATTTCTTTTCCAATTGTTCAAAACGGTTAGTCGAAAAAGTATCTTTGGTATTTTATGCTTATTGGATTGTTTCATGAATTCGAAGTATAGAGTTTTTACATCGTCTTCACTAAAGTGTAATACAAATACTGGCTGGAAATACTTCAGAAAATCTTCCAGAATTGGGAACAATTTCATGACTGGTACCGGTTGAAGCCTATCCAAATTACATATTTCATTCAAGTTCTCTGCTGTCTTTTCTATTTCAAAATTCTCTATAATCTCCGATAGGTAAATGGAAACTGTTGAGTTTGGAAAAGAGCAAGAAGCAACAGGAGAAGAAGGCGTCAAAGAAGTAGATGGAGGAGGAGGAGGTTGAGGAGGAAGGATAATATTATCAACATTGGAATCGGAACAATCCCCTAGCAAACCTAAATCAAAAATTAGAAACGATATACATAATGAATTCGTATAGAAAAATGAAATATCTGTTAAAATTTTCCATCTCTCTTACTTTTCGACTGTGAACTGTTCATTAAACAATCGATGCTAGACAAATCTATGGTACTTTGTTCCTTAATCACATCTTCTACTTCTATACATTGTAAAGTATTGTCAACTTTAGGAGTTTGAGAATGTTGTCTTCCTATTCCAACTTGTAAGAATACTTCACCATCATCTATACTTGTAACTGGGCTATCGTCTGCTTTATATTGTTTATCAAACGACAGAGCATTTGAAGTTGAAAAAAATTGAAGATTAACAAATCTTTTGATATAAATCTCTATTTCTTTTTCGTCCTTTGGCCGTAGTCTGCATCTATTTAATATTAAACTACGTAAAGTATTCCTTGGTCCAAGAGATAAGGCTTTAAAAAATTCATCCGCAACACAACCTAAATCTACTAAAGTAAAATGACAATCAACTAGCTCTTTGAACGATTGCATTGAAAAGAAAAAGTTGTCATAGAGATGATGCTGAGATTCAACATCTAGTCCAAATAAAGAAAGAGATTTCAATGATGTGTTCACAGTAGCAAGTGTATAAAGTAGTTCTATAGTCAAAGCGTTTTGAGTATAATCTGACGATGGATGAATTGTTAAATGTTGTAAATGAATGGCTTTAGATATAAAATTCATTGTATTATCGGTAAGTAATAGTTTGCATAAATGAAGATCCGATAAGAGTAAATCTCCGTCTGCGTAATAAATATTACTTTAGAGATTTAATTAAGATAAGATAAAAGAAAGGAACGTACCAACGGATGATAATATTTTCCAATCTATGATAGTTTGTCCAATGACCAATTTCTCGAGTGTTTTCAATGAATTCTCTTTCAATTCGTATAAAGCAACATTATCAACTTGAACATCAATAATTTTAATACATTTCAAATGTTTACATTTCATTAAAAGTTCTAATTGATGATTATTCAAGCCACCAGTTTGAATAAGTAAATTTCCTATTCCATCAAAAATCAACTCATCTTCCTGATCGTTGAAATACAATTGAACATCGGTAGGAATTCTCAAGATAATATCGTTAAACGTTGAATTAAAAGAGCTTAAAATAGATTTTAAATTGATTTTTGCAGTATAATTTAGGATTGAATAGAAGAATCTTTTCCATATTTCATCGTTGATACGACATAGAGAACCTTTTACAAGTGTATTAAAACGATTAAAAGTCTCTTCGTGAACGTTGTTTACTCCTTCGAAAAACTCTTTTTCAATATTATATAATATAACTTTTAAACATTCTTCATCAATTCCACCGATATATTGGAAAATCTTCCACATTTTTGATAAATTATGAAATTTATATCCATCTGCAATTAGTATATTAAAAGATTGGTTGTCTTTTTGAAATATTTGAGTAATGTATAAAGCCAATAAATACTCTTTAACTGTTGGATGAAGGAATTCAATAACAATTCTTTCTGTATTAGTTCTCGTGTTGAAAACTTGAGAATAGTAAACAAGATTATTTGTATAAGAACAGAATTCTTTAATGACTTCAATTGATAGATTATCATTGAAATTTAAGTCTATTCCGTTCAAATCATTGATTAACAACCTTCCAACTTTGTTTTCGAGTATTTCCTTAAATCTTGTAGATGAACTTTGAATATAATATTGATATAATCCAAAATCGGTCTTAAATCGACAATTATCATCCTCTTCCTCACGCAAACAATACAAGGAGGTTAATGCCATAAATAGAGGAGAATTTCTTTCTTCCATTAAATCGTAACGGCCAAATTGATGTTCAAGACTTTGAGGTATTTGTTTAAATACTATAATGGAGAGATTTTGTAGAGTTGACAAACATGAACATCTAAATAATTGAAATTGTTCAACTTCATCTGTCAAACTCCTTAGATATTCTTTCGATAATTTTGCCAAGCCAAAGGAATTTTTAAAATGTTCGTAAGATGATTCAATATCAATAATTTCAAGTTCATTGAAACATTTCTGTAAATAGATCGTAAATTGTAACAGATTGAAACCTAATAATTCAATAACACAATGATAAGTATCTTTTATATCCTTTGCCTTAACATTTCTACACCATGTTATGATGGGAGTTCGGGATTTTTCTTCTAGTATTTCGTTTAATTGGTGATTATTGAAATAATAATGGTCAAGCTGATCGAAAAGTAATAGGACTTTTGAAGGTGATTTGCGTATAAAACGTTGAAGAAGAGTAGAGTAGAAATCTTGTTGCTCCCTTGAAAATTCTGGGAATGTTTGCTGAATAAATAATCTCTCTAATGTTTGGTTTGAATCAATCCGACTGAAATCAAAGTATAAGCACAAATCGATATCTTTCAACACAGTTCCTTTCGCCCACATATTCATCATATAATGAACGTATAAACTTTTACCAGAACCAATTTGTCCTTCCATTAAGACTCTACCAGTTTTCTTCGTAATGAAATGTTCATAATTATTAATTAAACTTTGAAAATTTGACCAAATTTCAAGTTCATTATTTTTGTTGAAATCATTTTTTTGAATTTTCCACAAAATTTCAGTTTGAATCTGATAGGCCTTTTTCTTTGTCTTTGGATGTTTATTCGTTAAAATTGGCAGATCGTAGTAGGCGGAAGTGTACTTGTTTTTTAAATCCGTAATAAATTTGTTCAATTCTTTACAAGAAGAAGAAGAAGAAGAAGATATCATTGAATTAATAGAGATAAAACAACGATAAATGAATAGATACTAACCGCATCTTTCATTTAGTTTTGCATCCAAACAAGCAAGTTTCCTATTGAGGATAAAAGAGAAAAAACAACTAGTTTAGTTTTGATTGATTGTTGTTTTTTTGGTTATTGAAGAAGAGAAGAAAAGAAACCAATATTAACCTTTGTTCAATAGAATTGAACTTTTTAATAAAAAGCTTGATGAGACCATTGTAATCGAATTTATTACGGATATCTTCACCGAACATCCATCTCTCTAAAATCTTCATTGTTTTTACGGGTGACCAATGAACGCTTTCATCGTCAATCGGTTGAAATGGAGCGTCTTCTCCATAATTGTATAAATGTTTATAGTATAAATTTTCTATTTCCTCATCACTTAGGAATATTGCTAAATACGAAAATTTAATATCATTTTCGGTTCCTTCAAAGACCTCTTCTACACGTTCGCCATTACATTTTGATTGAAAAGAAGAGAAATAATCATAAAAGTATTGATTAAGGTCAAGATCAGAGCATTTTTGAAAGAGATTATCCAAATATCTAATGCGATAGAAATATTGAATGTTTTCATTTGAATAACGAATACCAAGTTCTCCGAGAAGTAATAACTGATCTTCGATGAGTTTCTGATTTAATAGGTCTAATAAAAAATCACCAGAATCCCTAACTTCGAACGCCATTCTCTCGTTTTGTAAGTAGACCGCAGTTATAAGGTACAAGAATGGTTATTACTTAGTGAAAAACCATTGATCCGCGAAAGGATAGTAAGGAGTATATTCTATTCATTTCAATAAAATAAAAGGTGACCTGAAAAATCAATACAAATTATATTGCAGAAGAAATTCTTTTCAACAGCTCTCTACTATTTCCTGACTGTCCAACTTGAATCAAATCCTCTATATATCAAATATACAGTATATATAAAGAGAGAGAGAGAGAGAGAGAGAGAGAACCTTAAAGTGTACTCTTTCTTCTCTTCTTTGTTTTTCTCTTCTTACTTTGTTATAACGCAAGTATTGACGGGATAGGCCACTTTATCAATAGTTTTATCACGTTGAAAAGTATAATGGAAATGAGGATATTCTTAGTCATAATATTAAGGGATTAACATTACAAGATTAAAAGTTCAACTTTGCAAAATCGCTAAATATTCAAGCATTTTTTATGCATAATTGAACTGTGTAATAGGCTATTATATTGCAACACTAGATAGGCTTTAAACACAACACCTGTTTTAGATCGCCGATAAAAAGGCTGCAGTAAATATTTCAGTTGTAGCGATACAGCCAAAAATCGAATCTGAAAGTAGAAATATCAGAAAAATTCCATAATAGAAAGAGTGTATGTCATTTTAGAGCATTCATATAAAAATTTCGCCCACCCTGAAGCTTGGCAACGTAAATTCAAACCGGTTACAACCTACAGGCGGGTCTTACTAAAAATGAGTCGTAAATCTCATAGTATACAAGTACATCAGTTGGGGTTTAATTTTGCATAACACTCTCTAGACTCCCGATAAAAGCGGAACATTTACATTTTCAGGTTTGTTCAAATATTGTTTAGAGCCTTAGCTTAAACGTCTCATTTATTATAGTAGGAAAAAACTAAAACTTCCTTTTAATAAACAAAACAATTAGTTGGTAACCGGTTTTCATTCTTCTGCAATACAATCGAAATTTTCCCATTCGTGATGTCTCGTGAAATTAAGTATGAACACGAAAGAGATAGGCAAACATCGGAGAATTTAGAAGATTTTCTATCAAATAAAGAATGTTATCAATCGATAGACGAAAGTAGATTGATAAGATCTACCATAATTGATGAAATTAAATGTTTAGCTAAGGAATGGATAATGGAAATGGTGGAAGATAATGAGGAAAGAAAAAGTAAAATTAATGGTATAACGCAATATATCTATCCATTAGGATCCTATGTTTTGGAAGTAATGGAAAAAGACTCAAATTTAGACCTAGTCTTCATAGCTCCAAGTTTCATAAGCATAGATGATTTTCTGAACAGTTTTGCAAAAAAACTTGAACAATGTCCAAACGTAAAAGAAATACATCCAATAGAAATAGCTCGAAATATAACTATCAAAGCTCTATACATTGATGTTGAAGTCGGTTTAACTTTTACTAATCCGGACGTTTCTTATTTAAACGGTGAAAACGATATTTATCAACCAAATATTTATGGGAATATGGATTCACGTACTGCTTTTAGTTTGAATGGTTATCATACTATTCAAGATATCTTAAAGATTATTCCGAATAGACAAACTTTCCAGATAGCTCTAAGGGCTATTAAATTATGGGCAAAGCAGAAAGGCTTTTATAGCAGAAGACTTGGAATTATGGGTGGAACTTCTTGGACAATTCTAGTTGTTTACATTTGTCAAAGGTTTCCTAGAGCTTCACCTTCTCAATTGATTTATCAATTTTTCAACATTTACCGTGAATGGAGTTGGCCTAAACCAGTTGAAATCAAACAGTTTATCGGCAAAAACGTCTATGTGAAGAATTTAAAAATTTTCGACTTTGGAGTATCAAGATTGGTGAGAGATAAAAATGCCTTAATGCCAATTCTGACTCCATCTTTTCCTCGAAACAACTCGGCATTTCGTATAACTAGATCTACGAAATCTCTAATTGTCGAAGAATTTCAGAAAGGATTCACTATTTGCAAAGAGATTGTAGATAGGAATGGGGATTGGACAGCTCTCTTTGAACCGTATCGTTTCTTTGATAAATATGAGCAATTTATCGTAATAACTGGTAACACCATCGAAAACTACAGAAGCAAAACTTACTCTGTAATAGAATCCAAAATTAGAGTATTAACAAGAGATTTGGAAAAAGAGGATTTCCTTAAGACTCTTCAAGTCTTACCAAATCCGTTTGATTCGACTATCGACGATGAATGTAGAATATGGTTTATTGGTATAAAAATGGAAGAACTAGAGGACAATTTCCCTACTGACTTACTACCACACGTTGATATGTTTGAAAATACTACGTTGGCTAAACTAGATGAAGTGGGCGTAGAGAGGGCCGATGTTGATCTGAAAGTTTCCTGTTCGGAGCGTAAAGAATTAAGATCTTTACCTAAAGATGTTTATGATAAAATCATTGCAGTAGAGTGAAGAAAACTTGAAATTTTGAAATGAATACGAGAATAATATTATAATTACCAATACACATATATACTAATATCATTCCATAATGACTAAACCTCGTTTGAAGAGGTGATTTTATATACTGTATATAGTATAGGCTAATAGTTATGATCAGAAATTATATATGGTCTTATTAATTAATATGAATAGATAAGAGGAAATAATTTGTTATCTATTCAGATAATTATGATCTATGTATAGCAAGAAAGCTCAAGCAAAATAAACCATATATAGACCTACTTATTATATTTATTGATATTGTCTATCAATAGGAGAAAAACTAGAAAATATATCATCAAAAGATGGAAGAATATTGATAATTTTCTCTTTGTTCTATTCATTGGAATGATGAATTGAGGAAGAAAATAATAATTTGAAAAGAAATGATAAAATTCATCAAAACTGATAATTTCTTAATAAATGACAGCATATAAAGAGACGTCTTGTATCTAATCTGAAAGATAATTAGATATTTTTTATGGTTAACTTATATATTTAATCTCAAAAAGAAATAAACAATATTCTTACGTATACGAAGGGAAGGCGAGTTCACTTGACAAACGAGAGAAAATGACTGATACGAGATCTAATACGCAAAGAAAAATAATTGGTAGAGAGTTTCCTAGTGAAGAGGAATTCAATTGTATGAGTGACTTAGAAAATACACTTCGCGAAAATGGCTACGGCAATTCGGATTGCGAAAAGTTTAAGAGAAATTGGGTTATTAGAGCAATTAATTCATTTCTTAGAACTTGGTATCATAGTAGTCTTACGGAAAAGCCAGATATTCTTACAATTATTCGAAGCGTTCAAAATTTCATTAAACCAATGGGATCATTTACTTTGGGCGTTGTTGAAAAAACTTCAACTCTAGACTTGTTATGTCTTGCGCCGAGAGAAATTCGCCGTGACCAATTTTTCAAAGCCTTTGCAAGTAAACTTGACTCTTTACAAAAGGTGAGAGAATTAGCGTTAATTACAAAAAGTAGTGTTCCCGTAATATCTTTCTACTATTCTGATGTCCATGTTAATCTATTCCTTTCTAATGTGGAGGTGAGCTTTTTACTTGGAAATAAAAGTATTGATAATGTATCCATATATAATACAATGGATAAAGAAAGCAGTTTGAGTTTTCATGGCTATCATATTGCTAAGGCTATTTTGCAGTGTATAACACAACTGGAAAATTTCAATTTAGCTCTTTCCGCCCTTAAACTATGGGCTAAAAACCGAGGTCTTGACAATAGTAAATATGGATATTTGGGAGAAATGTCATTAACAATTCTATTACTTAAAATATGTCAATCGAATGAGAATGCCGTTGTTGGAATACTATTGAGTAAATTCTTTAAAGAATTTGCAACCTGGAAATGGCCTTTACCGGTAAAAATTAAGAATATTGATGTAGGTATTGCGATGAAAAAATCAAAATTAACCGAATGGGATCCACTACCTAAAAGGAATGTTGTAGATTTCATGCCAATCATTACTCCAGCCTTTCCTCAGCAAAATTTAACTAGTGCAGTAACGAAATCGACAAGAAGTATCATTTTAAAGGAAATGGAGAGAGCATCGGAAATTATGGAAGATATTGTAGCAGGGAAATTATCATGGGATAATCTATTTGAATCATTCAATTTTTTTGACAACTACTCGACATTTATGGTTGTTAAAACTTCAACAAATATGAAAATGAACCTAACGAAATGGATTGATTTACTCGAATCGAGGATTTTAGTACTTGTTAAGAAAATAGATAATTTATATCGAGTGCAGGAAACGCATTTGTGTCCAAAATATTATGATTCATATTCGACTGAGGAAAGGTATTGGTTTATTGGATATAAACGAAATTCGTACAGTCACGATAGCGACGAATTTGATCGTTTACTCGATGCATTTTCAAAAGATGTTCAGAGTAAGATCGCCGAAGCTCGACTATCCAAAGACATCATCTTTAGTATTGAGAATCAAGATACAAATGAATTAGAAAGCGTTTTACCTGAAGATATCATTTCTGAAATATTTTGATTCAAATTTGATAAGATTATATTAGATAATAGAGTTAAAATAAAACAAGAAGTATGATTATATCGGTAGAGTTATCATTAATAAACATATTAATTAATCTTCCGGTTTTTGTGGCACTGTCCCTGCTTTTTACAGACAGAGTAGTCTTTTGGATAAACGTCTGGCGTCAAAATCTGGCGTTTTCTCTATTGATTCTTGTATCACTACTGTTTCGTTGTATGTATATTGAAAAGTTGATAATGATCATATATTAGTTTTGTCTGATGTCATACCGTAGAGCATCTATTCTAAAAATAAACAGTTTAAAACAGGGCTTTTACGAAATTATGTAACAATTACTATTCAAGTTGTAAGAATATTAATATCAGGTTTTAAAAGCCATATTTCTTTGTCAATTTCTATTTCATACGCGTGAAAAAGCAAAAATTTCCGACTGTCCATCTAAATATTAATTGAAACTAGATAAACTTTGTGACATAATGATTAGATGAATTATTAGGTTTCGAAAGATAAGGATCAGAGATCAAGTTAAACAACGAGAAATAAAAGTTAAAATCACGACAATATAATTTAATAACCAATAATCTATTAGATTGATTATCTCCGTAAAAAGCAAATTCCTATTTATTTTAATCATTGTTATTAATCTTACCAATAAAACATTCCAATTGAAATCTATAGATTCTATAGAAAACTGTGTTTCCCTAAATCACCTGATGAGATAACAACAATAGGAAACTGAAACTTGTAAAATACACTTATTTCTATACCTATATTTAGAAATGTTCATAAAAATTGAATGTTTTTATGACGCAATAAATTAGTATATAAGGCTAGAGTTCTTTGTCATTCAAATATCAAATAGTTTTCTGGTGATATAAAGATTTAGCGCTTTATCATGTCAACTAGTTTGGAGACATACCTAATTGAAGTGGGACACTATGAATCGGAGAATGAGAGGTCAAAAAGATCTACTTTAATAAACAATGTTAAAAGTTTAGCTAAGGAATGGATAATGGAAATGGTGGAAGATAATGAGGACAGAAAAACTGCAATTAAAGCTATAAAGCAGTATATCTATCCATTAGGATCCTATGTTTTGGAAGTAATGGAAAAAGATTCAAAGTTAGATACAATCTTCATTGCTCCCCAGTTTATTTCTTTGGAGGACTTTTTAACATTATTTTCCACAAAACTTCAGCAATATCCAAATGTGAAGCAAGTAATCGCAGTAGGAGTTTGCCGAACTCCCCAAATCCGACTTATTTTAGATGATACGGAATTGTTTATATCATTTTCCAACGTTCCTATTGAATATTTAACTGGGAGAAAAAATATTAGTCATCCTAATGCTTATGAAGGAATGAATTTCCAAAATGCTATAAGTTTGAATGGTTATCATATTATTCAAGATATTTTAAAGATTATTCCGAATAGACAAACTTTCCAGATAGCTCTAAGGGCTATTAAATTATGGGCAAAGCAGAAAGGCTTTTATAGCAGAAGACTTGGAATTATGGGTGGAACTTCTTGGACAATTCTAGTCGTTTACATTTGTCAAAGGTTTCCTACAGCTTCACCTTCTCAATTGATTTATCAATTTTTCAACATTTACCGTGAATGGAGTTGGCCTAAACCAGTTGAAATCAAACAGTTTATCGGCAAAAACGTCTATGTGAAGAATTTAAAACTTTTCGACTTTGAAGTATCAAGATTGGCGAGAGATAAAAATGCCTTAATGCCAATTCTGACTCCATCTTTTCCTCGAAACAACTCGGCATTTCGTATAACTAGATCTACGAAATCTCTAATTGTCGAAGAATTTCAGAAAGGATTCACTATTTGCAAAGAGATTGTAGATAGGAATGGGGATTGGACAGCTCTCTTTGAACCGAATCGTTTCTTTGATAAATATGAGCAATTTATCGTAATAACTGGTAACACCATCGAAAACTACAGAACCCAAACTTACTCTGTAATAGAATCCAAAATTAAGGTATTAACAAATAAATTGGATGATTCGAAAACGAAAAATTTCATCAGGAGAGTTCAAGCCCTACCATATTCGTTTGATTCGACTATCAACGATGAACGTAGAATATGGATTATTGGTATTAAAACGACAGATTCAATAGAAGCTGTAGCCAACTATTTAAGACCATATATTGATGATTTTAATCGAACCATTTTTGAGAAAATAGAAGAGATTCCGATGGAAAGGAATCACATTGAAATTGACGTTTCAACGATCAGACACGAAGAATTATCTACATTTCTACCCCAAGATGCTTATGATCAACTTTTCGAAAGATATCTTAATTGATATTGTCGTAAATGTAATGTTTTTCCTGTTTTGAGGATATTTCCCCAAAAGTCAGTTATTTATATATTTGAACTAGATAAAGTCTGTTAATTCTTTTGTTTCAATATACATGTAGAATTAGATTATTTCTATTATTTATTTTATTTATAATAAACAATAAAAGAATGTATTTTATATGAAATTGGATCATTTAACTTGGTGGTTTTTCCAACCATTAAGAGTTAAGCATTGTTTTTACTTTCATTTCGGCTTTGTACAAATACGCTTAAATTTTACATTTCAGAAATTACATTGTCTTTTGAAGTATGGCTTCGAGAAGCAATGGAGAAAATGACGTATCTGAAGATTTTAAGGATTTAAATTTAAAGGACACTTTATCAAAACTTGGTTATTTTGATTCTATAGAAAATGTAAGGAAGAGAGATGAAATTTTGAAAGAAATGAATAGTCATGTCAAAGAGTGGCTACTGGAAGAGTCGTCATCTTATTCAAAATCTTCATTACATTCTGTTGAAAAGTTTGTTTATCCTTTTGGATCGTATGCTCTTGGGTTTATTGAAGAAGATTCAAATATGGATTTAATTTGTATGGCACCGGAGAATATCCCTATTACAACTTTCTTTTCGTCTTTTTCTCTTAAACTTCAACAGTTACGAGACGTAACGTCTATGAGAAAAATTCCAAAGACGCTTATACCAGTTCTTTTACTCACTTATAAAGGCGTTAAATTGAATTTAGTTTATGCAAACGTCAATATTAGAGATTTGTCTCGTGCCGAATCTTTACAAAGCTCTGATATTTACTACAAGTTGGATGAACCAAGTATGTTAAACGTACATAGTTATCAAGTTGCAAACGATATATACGCAAGTATAGCTAGAAAAGAAGAATTCGGAATCGCTTTACGTGCTATCAAACTATGGGCTAAAGGAAAAAAGATTTATTATGCCAAGTATGGATTTCTTGGTGGCGTTTCGTGGACTATTTTACTAGTATACATAAATCAATTATATCCTAGTTCTGACGCTTCAACACTAGTTGCCAAATTTTTTGAAACCTTTCACAATTGGCCATGGCCTAAACCAGTCACCATCAAAGCTAGTATTCCAGTACCCAGAAGATTCCTAACTTACAATTGGAGTACAGTAAATCGTATAGCCAGATCGCAAATAATGCCAATTTTAACCCCAACTTCTCCTCGGAGGAACTGTGCTTATAATGTTTCGAAATCCAGCCTTAAAATTATAATGTCCGAATTAAGAAATGGAAATTTAATTACAAAGAGAATTCTGAAAGGCCAAGATGATTGGTTAAGTCTAGTAAAAGCAGACCCATTTTTTACTGCTTTCAAATATTTCCTGTTACTAAGAGCAACGGCTGCAAAAAGCGTTGAACAAGACTTCGCCGGTCTAATCAGCGGTAGTATTCATTTCTTCTTGAAATATCTATCAGAATTGACGCATGTAGACAAAATTCGAGTTCTACCAGATTCATTCAATTCAGAATTGGGTAATAATGAAATGATATGGATAATTGGTATTGAATCATCCGATGAATATCAGACAAAGCGTCTAGGATTTTCATCTGCCATTTGTAAATTTAAAGACCAGATAGTCGAAAGGGCGGAAGAGAGTAATATTCCGAAATCAAAGATCATGTTCGATATTGAAGGAGTAGAGTATGACAATCTAAAGTCTACTTTACCTAAAGATATTTATCATAAAATATTATCATAAAGAAAATGGTACTTAAAGACAAGAATAAGAGAACATTACTAATACTTATAACGATGTATTTTCATTGTCAAGTGTCTTTCTATTATGCCCTACAATGAAATTGAATAGAAAGTTCTTATTACACAAGAGTATTACACTTTGTGAATTTAGAATAAATATTCAAAATCTTCATTAGCTGAAGCTTATCTTCTCTTCAGTATTCGTAATCCTACAGTTCATAAACAAACTCTGTCAAAAGTCATAGCTTTGTATTACGTTATCAACGTAGACATCAGTTGCTACGAGAAGAGAAAAGATTATACTTGAACCTCTTAATGTCATGATATAAGATAAACAAGTATAACGTGTAACACATTTTGGAAAGAGTACCATTGTACCCTCTTATCTTCAAGTATCGATAAGATATTGAAAATTCTCTCTTCAACATCACTTAAATGAGGTTATTAATTTGAAAATAATAGACAATATTAAAGTTAAATAGGATTGGTTAAGCCTATTAACACCGGCTTTACCGTCTAAAAACCAAGAATTGCATTTCGTCGTTTTGCAACACTTTTTACATTCTCTACTATCGCTATTCGACGAGCAAATTTCGTTCAATGCATCTGCTGTACAAACTTCGTGTGAACAGCTTCTTTCGAATGTTATAACGCCTTTAACTTCTCTCCGATGAACCCAACAATCTGTAGTACCGCAGTCAATTAATTTAACTTTACTTTCGTCATCAAGAATATGACGGTCATTTGTTCCGCAGTCATCTAGACTTCCTTTACATTCGTAGCATTTTTCTAAATTCATTAATTTAATAAATACATATTTTTCATTGTGAAGATAATTTACTTACTTGCGCATTCTCTATCATAATTATGAAGATAGAAACCTGCTTTGCATTTTGAACATCGCCGACCGTGAGAGCAAAGATCGCAATTTGATATTGAACATGGTAGACAAGCTAATTTATCATCTTGAAGACCGTATCCTTTATCGCAAGTCAAACATTCCACTTTACTACCATTAATTGCTGGACCGCACGTAGCGCACGTAGAAAAGGTAGCCTCCTTGCAGGATATACAAGTACCATTTTGTTGAAGAGAGAATGCATTAGAATCGCATTTTGAGCATTTAGCTACATCGTTAGCATCAACGCTACACTCTTCGCATGATGATGGGCAAGCAACGCAAATACCATTAGAATCTCTAGCATACTTCTTAATGCATTTGTTACACACATACTTATTATCGTAGGAGCATTCGCTACAAAATTTTGGACATTCTCCGCATTGTTCATTATTCAAATAGAATTTACTAAAGCACTCTTTACAAACAGGAGAATTCCCATCCATTTCGCAATTGTTACAGTTGCTTTCCACACATTTGGTGCAAAATTGCCCATTCAAAGCGTATTCATTCAAACATGATGAACACTTTACGTTACCACCAGATATAAAGCATTCTTTACATCCCTCTGGACATGAAGAGCAAAGACCGCTATCTAATCTATAATACTGCTTTTTGCACCATCTACACAAAATCGTCTGTTCCGAAGAAACGAAACATTCATCGCAACCCTCAGGACACGTTTTGCACAGTCCAGAACTAAACACTGAAATGGACTTGTCACACGATTGGCATATTGTTTCGTTAGTAGATCTTGCAGATGTAAGACACCCTTCTTTAACTTTATAACACTTTCTAGTTGTTGAATCGTAAAAGTATCCAGCTCGGCATTCATTCGGATCGCAATTTCCCTTTCCCGATGAATCGCATTTTTTGCAGTTTGTAGCGCATTCTATTGAAAATAATAGAGAAAATAAAATTCAATATTAGTCAGAAATTTATCGAAATTAATTCAAACCTTCGCATGCATCTGGATTTAAATTTGCATTAAATTTGAAGCCTTCTTTACACGTTTTTGGAATCAAAATATCATCTTGAATAGTCTGATAAACGCATCTTGAAACTCCAGCTCCAGAGCATTGTATACAAATTCCCTGTGTTCTATGTCTGATAAACCCATCTTTACAACCGTTCGGTAAACAACTTACACCATCAATACAGAATGAACAGTCATTAATGCAACTTTTGCATGATCCATCCGAATCTAAATAAGTAGCATCATTACATATTAGACATTTTACATTGTTGGATATATCTTTAACACATTTGGCGCAATTTGCAGGACAAGATCCACATGTAAAATCTTTGTCAACAAGTCCACCAGTTGAGCAGGCAAATTGTAAACATAAAGTTTTCAAGTTATTGTTCGTATCAACTCTACACTCTCCACAATTTTCTGGACATTGGAGACAAGTGCCGGCATTGTTCAACGCAAAACCAGCATTGCATTTAGTACATTTATTTGCAGTAGATCCAGATGAATCGATATTGCATGTTTTGCATCCATTATCACAAGCGACACAATTACCTTTGTCTGTGTTTGAGGTTTTATTTAACGAAAAACCATCCTGACATTCGTTACAAACGTCAATAGAATCAGGTGTTGATGTACTTTCTGTGCAAACTGAGCAATTCCCTACAAATCCTGTGGTTTGTTCGGCGCAATTTAGACATTTATTGTTGGCTCTATTCTTAATACTATATGGTGGACAAGTGGAACAATCGCAAGAGTCATCTTGTTTCAATAGAAAGCTATTTGGCACGCAATCAGTGAATTCTGAATTTGAACAAGAGATACAGCCATCATTATTTCTATTCAAAAGTTTGCCACTTGAACATGAACAAATACAATTATCATTAGATAATTGTACAGTTCCTCCAGTACAAGTGATTGAAGAACAATCAATGCAAGATAGGAAATCTTTTGATAAATGCTTTCCGAATATGCATTGTGAGCAAACACATTCGTAATTGCCGTCCTTTAGACGGAGGGAATGCGTTAAACAACTGGATATAACTGCACAAGTTTTACAGTTACTGTTATCCGGTAATATTAATTTGACACTACCAGCTGGACTGGATCCACACGCACCACATCTACAATTTCCGCTATGTGACGCAACGAGCTCACAATTTGACAAGGAAGGACAAGTTTGGCACGTATATTTAGTAATTAGATTTCCAGCAATTGTAGAGAGAATCGAACCTGATGGACACTGAGCACACCTTGCATCTGATGACGTGCTACCACCTAAACCCAAATATAAAAGGCACGGAACGTTTGTTGGTGCTCTATCCGCAGGATCAACTAGAATTGGCTGTAAATTACTGACAGGATTTGTCATATAATTTTCAGAAGGTACTTCACAGGCAACGTCGGTTCCCGACGTAAAATAAAGATATCCACTTTTACAAGAACTTGAATAACCGGGGTCACCTACGCATCCATTGGCAAGGCTGGCAAAAGCATATCCATCCGAACATTTGCTACATCCAGTTACAGGATTGCCGTAATACGTAGCGCAATTCGGTACAGTAGGAGTATTCAGAGTTGAAAGACACGACTCAGAATAAGCATTATTTGTTGCAAGTACACCGCCTGTATTGGAATGAGTAGAAAGACAAGAAGTACATCCGCAATTTGAGCCAGTATTATCTTGTGCCCAAGATTTACCATTTTCACAATTAGCAACTGAACTTGTACAAGGAGTATTACAATTGTAACCAACACCCGGAGAAGTATTACTGCATTTAGTACAAACAACTTGCGAGCTTGGCGACGTTTTTAAGAAGCACTCTTCGCACGCTGAAATTCCTGAACCCGAACTACACGAGGGGCATTTCTTTGTCGATGGATCTAAATAGTATCCAGGGCCACAAATTTCACATTGAACATAAGTTTCACCAACAGGAATATTTGTAGTAGATTTAGCGCAACCATTAGGAATTTGTCTACAAACAAGACTTGGCGAAGTTATCTTTTTGTATCCACCCATACAAGTATCCAAAGTGAATGAATTGAAATTTCCCGAGCACCATAGGCCATTAGGATCAACTTCTCTACAGCCTATTCATTGGTGAAAAAATAAGAAGGAAATAAAACGTTTATTAATATTAATATTTAATAAATCATTACTTTTACAAACTCCAGAAGTAGAATCGTATATGACTGTTTTCTTTGTAGGATTAGATGAATCACCAATGCAAGAGTCGCTTTTACATTTACAAGATCCACTTGAAATGTCTAGTGTATGGCAATATTGTCTAACATTCGTACAATCTAAGACAGAAAATATATAAATATACGTAATTTCTTGTATTCTAATGTATTTAACAAACCATAACATCCAAAAATTGTATTTGAACCATCAAAAACTGCAATATATTGTTTTGTTCCTCTGCAAGTTTTACATTGAACGTCTGTCTTATCGGCGGTCAATTGACAATCAATACAATCTATACCGCAAGATTTACAAACGCCACTATTCTGTCCTGATAGAATAACAGCCGAACCAAGTGGACAATCTCTACAATAGCAATAGTCTCCTTCGTCTACAATACTTTGTTGAGTTTTGCATCCCGAATCAGAAGGACAACTGTCAGAACATTGTTTTGTATTGAAAGAAAACTTTCTATTTTGTCCCGATGATTTTGAAGCGCAAGGTGATCTTAAACACTTAACTATGTTGTTAATAACTTCGCAATAATCACAATTATTTACTGCTGAGCATGATTTGCACGATTCAATTGTAGAGCTACCGACATTGTATTTAGGAGCGTATCCAAAGCTGCATTTAAGACAGATATTTCCAGTTGATACCTTCTTACAATAATCGCATCCCGACGGACACGAAAAGCAAGTTGAGGTTGAATCGTCAAATCCATATTTTATGTTACATTTAGAAGGATAGCAAATAGGAGAAGAAGACTGATCAGTCTTGAAATAACACTTAAGACAATTTTCTGGACAAGCTTTTTGAAGAAAGATCCATTAGTTAAATGGAAAATATCCATATTAATTATAACTCACCTACACAACTTCCATCAGTTTTTCTAGCCCACGATTTACCTTGTTCATTTTCAATGCAAGAATGTATAATACTATTACCATTACACTCTAATCTTGAATTAACTCTATTCCACGAGCAAGAGAGACAATTATCCGGGCATTTATTGCAAGAACCAGTTTCGGTTAAACCATATTTGGGTAGACATTTATCATCTTTACATACGAGATTTCCATTGATAAGTTCGCATTCCAGACAATTATCAGGGCAATTATTGCAGTTCACTTTACCTACGTTAGTATGATAGGCTTTACATTTGTTACATTTGACAAAGTTTTCTTCAAATTCGCACGAATCACAATTTCGAGGGCAATCTATACACAGATTGTCTTTTAATACGAAGCCTGTTTTACACTTTACGCATTGATTCTTTTCATCGCAGTCAATACAAGCGTGATGAATATTAGCGCATGATATACATTTGCTGTCTGATAGAGTATAGCCAGATAGACATTGATTACAAGTATTTTGATCAGAGCAAGCCTTACATCCAGTAAGGGAAGAAGAGCATAATTTACATTGAGAAATTGAATTTGAAATTTCCTTATAACTATTTGAAAAACAAGTTGTACAATCTATATTGCCATCCTCCAATAGAGTACAAGATTTACAATTTGAACCACAAGCTATAAAGGCAATATTTAGACATATAATTCATATCGTATTTAATTAATTAAATAGATCTAACCTATACATGTTTTCTGTAAATTTAATGTATAGCCATCAATACAGGATGTACATTTAGTAGAATTGTTGCTTATAACGCATTTTCCAACCTTACAAAGCGATGGACAATCTATTGTTGAAGTGGGAAATACAAACGCATTATTGAATGTTCTCTACATTGTAATAAAAGATAATAAACTAACCGTAGCAGCCGAGTTTATCGGCAGAAGGAATTTTTCCAGCAGAGCAAATTTCGCATTTGATATTAGCAGCTCCAGTTTGATCTTCAAGACAATTATAAATGTTATACGGGTTTACCTGAGTTGAATAAACTGAAGAAGAAACAACAGAATGTGTATATATCAAACAAAGCAGTTTTCGTATTTTTAAACTGTATACTCTGAACTAATAAGGAGAATAGTATTATCCCGTCAAATATCTTCATTCTATCTGTAAAATTCCTTCTCTTTTCTCTCTCTCCCTCTCTCTCTTTCACTCTCTCTCTCTTCGTCTTCTATAAATCGAATATATAATTTAGAAAGGAAGATTAGGAAGGTTCTCCAATAGATAATCGTAAGATAGTAATCGCAACAATATCCAACCCTTAACCGAAACAATATGGTATAAACAAGATTTATGTTTACGAAACGACGGCCTTCTTAACAAAGTCTTTTTAATCCTTTTTAAATGGCGAATTTTATGAGAATTATGTATTGCGCAAAAATTTAATATCTAGTCTACTTTAACAATACTTCTACTTTTAAAGGAATAAAGTTAAAATAACAATTACTAAGATAACAAAAATTGGTATTTCTATTATTAAAACTTGATTGAAATTTTCTCTATTCAAGTAAGAAATAGCAGCCAGCGCTATGAATTGTTTTTTTTAATAATTTCTATTATAATCTCTCTACTATATTTGGAGAATGATTAATTAAAGGTATATCTGACAGTTAAGTAATAGAGCTAAAGCGAAATAAACTAGTTTTAGAGGTAGATAAATACATTTTGTACTTGTTTAGCATTCAAATCAATTAGAAATTATTAGGGCTTTGGATTTTATTCTTGGAATACGCTGACTCATCTTTTTTATATTTAATATTGAAGAAACTACCAATTTCTATTTAATATATACAGTAGTTTGGCTATAAATTACTTATAATGCATTATCTTGTACTTGAATCAATTTTAAACAAATAAATTTACAGTAAGAAGAAAGAGAGAGAAAGAGGGGGGCGATTGACAAAGAGACAGTCATACTAAGCTTCTATTATTATAAATGAACGTTCAAATCTTTGGCTTACTAATACAAGACAACGTGCAACGTAAGCATTCAAGTTCAATGTTCAAATTATTAAAAAGTATACACGTGTTTGTTCTTTAAACATTGTTTCAACTTTTATTAAATTAAGTTAAAGCACTAATGTAAATTTTATATTAATTTTAACATCATTCCCTTTATGGTAACTATGTTATAGACCTTATTTTTTCTTATAAAGCAAAAATATATACAGTATAAAATACATTTTATAGTTAATTTTGCAAAACAAAGGCCTACATAGCAGTTTTCTTAGTATACTTTTATAAAATATAGTAGTATAGTTTATTCAAAAGTAATACATAGGCCTGATATTATCAATGAATATTTTTAGATTAAAAAAAAATTGAAGACTTAGTAGTTAATAGAAATCTCTTTTTTTCCCCTTCAATAAGCAGCTCATCTTTCTTAACAGAATATAATTGGAATCGAATGATTTATATAAAACCTTTTACCACTATTACTTTCGTTTTCTCTGTTTTATAAAGATATACTATAAATATATATTGTTGTTGTTTTTTAAATGTTGTTTACGGAGGCAAAACACCATTGAAATCTGCAAAAAAATGCTCTGGATTTTGGTGCATATTGAATCCTTTCAAACCGCAATGTTATTAACAAAGAGAGAGAGAGAGAGAGAGAGAGAGAGAGAATCACTATTAGGATAGGAATTCTATTTTTTATGGAAATACGTAAGAAATAGAACAGAATAATGAAAAAGAAACGTAGAAACAATGAAAATTTAAAGGTTTTGCAGAGAGTTTTGGTCCAAAAGAAAGAAACACACAAAAAAGAGATTCCCCCTCTTCCAATATTCCAAAACATCTGCGCACTTATATTCGCTACTAGGAAATAAGTATTCTACGTTTCAATATGTTTTTAGGATTAGACCTAAACTGGTTCAGTTTAAAGGAGAGATAAGTAAAAGCAAAATTTACTTGCTGTTTAAGTAAACTATCAAGTTTGGTTTTGTTTGGAAAAGTAGAGAATTGTTTTTATAAAAAAAAAGTAAGCCGTTATTTGACAAATTAAAGTAGTTAAAGGGATGAAATGATAGATTTTTATCTTTCATATGAAACTGAATAAAGTCCTTTTTAAGATGAAGCTTTGAAATAGAAACTTTTGATTTATTTTTTAATGAATTTTCAATTCTTTTATTTAAAAAAGTAAAGTATTTTATTATTGATTTCTGTATCTTTCTCTCCCTCCCTCTCTCTCTCTCTCTCTCTCTCTTTCATTTGAAACCTCCATTTTATACCAGTCTATACAATTTATTATTATATATATATACAGTATATATCTTTATATATTTTCAATCAAACAAGACAAATACAGTAATATCTTATTCTCTCTTCGACATTATAACTAGATGAGACATTCGACGCTATGTTAACGTCTTAGCTGACGCCACATACCGGCCTACAACCAGTGCAGCAAAAGACTGTCGCCCTTTAATAATATTGGTTACTTAAAAGAAGTAAGATATTTTGTTATGGTATTATTTAATTGGTGAGAAAAGAGCATTAGTTTAGGCCTATAAAAACTGTATGTAAAATATTCAATGCTTTATTCTATGCATATTGAAGAAATGTGGAAAAGTAATTTAAAGAGAATTTAAACAAAAACTGTAAAAATTGCAGTAGGAGAATATTAATATAATAGCGATATTTTTTAACTGTAAAATATGTTAATATATTTATGATTTCTAAGAAAAATAGTCATAATTATGCAATCTTTATTATATATTCTAGAGGATATACGCTATTTCTTTCATCTTATATCTATTCTAATATAAAAGAAACGTCTAGCAGTATTTATTTACCGTTTTTCTTTTCTTGTAAGAGAGAAAAAGAGGGAGGGAGGAGGGAGGTAATTGTCCGTTTTTTAGTCTCTCAAACATAACATTTCCTTCAGATTTTAATGAAAGAATCTTAAGCTTTCTCTTTTCTTGTATTAAGTCAAATTTTCTTGTCAAAAACAGAAATATTTTTCAAGGAGGATTATGATTTAAAAATAGGTTTAATGATTTATTTATAAACAATGTACATGTATTTATATACTGAGTATACTTGTGTATATATACTGTTTGTAATAGTAAAGTAAGGAGAAAAGACAAACATAGAGCTAAATTAATTCCTTAAAAGTTTATTTTTCTCCTGTTTCTTTATGCTATAGTTAGAGAGAAATACCCTTTTAAGGCTAAGGGACATAAATATCTTCTTTCCTTACCGTATTATTTAACCTGGAATAGTAATCTTATTGATTTAAATACAATATATAGAGTATATTTTGTTTGTTCGCGGTATCTGTACGGATGGAGATTGTTTCTCTTTTCTGTCTCTCTAGTCAGCCAAACAAACTGGAGAAAACTGTATGGAAAAGAAAACAAAAATAGACTTCTTAAGAATTATTTGCAAATTACATCTCATGTCTAGAATTTTCTTAAAGCAAGTAAAAGCTGCATTTAAAGAGATTTTCCGAATTAATTCAATGCTTTATTTTATAAATACAACATATACAGGATGTAAAAAATGTTAAAACTTCTCAACATATTATATATATAACTGAATATAAAAGATTTCTTTCCTCTCTTTCGTCTTCGTCTTCTTCTTCGCGTCTTCTTCTTCTTCTTCTTCTTTTTCTGCTATTCCTATTTTTTATTTTCATACTCGAATACCTCATTAAATCCATTGACGGGAATAGAATTATTCATCTTATATATATTTTCACGGTTGACATAGCTGACTTAATAAAGTGGTTGTGCTCGAATTCTTTAAGTATTAGAATTCATACTTGACGAATTGTTTTATGCTACTTCTATTGGATAACGTTGGAATGAAAACTCTATTCTTAATCATTCGTTAATATAAATATATACTGTACATACTTTCCTTGCAGTGATAGATTATAGACGCTCTTGCGAGTACATGAGCAATGTTCTTTATTTATAAATACTCTCCTGTGGAAGAGAGGATGCACGAGAGAAAATCTTTATTAGTTCTATAAAAATTTTCTGTATCTAAGGCTAAGTAGACTTTATAAAACATTAAAATGTTTACGTAGACGACCTAGGTAACACTTTCACAAACCGGAACGCCCCTAGTCTAAGCCTATTAGACGCTTTCACACATATACACTAGAATTCTACCCAATCCCCTAGCTCTATCATTTGCGATAAATAAGGAGAGGGTGCTCAGTCTTTAGCTGAACTAGAAGAGAGAGAGAGAGAGAGAGAGAGAGAGAGAAGAATACAACACTCATTCAGGATAAATCCATGAGTTCATGGTTGTAGAAATCTATTTTTAAGTATGGAAAATTTTCTATTCTTTTAAAGTCGAGTAACAAGATAGAATTTCGTTAAAAAGTATAAAATTTATTTCTATTAATTAAATAGATTTTTTAATTTATTCTGCTTTTATGTAAAAAAAAAACTAAAAGTGTAAAGTAGAAAGTTTCCTTTGAATATCTCACATTTTTTTATTAATAAATATGGAGAAAAATTACATTGTTGTCTACTTTCAAAAAGATTCTCATCTCGTAATGAAAGATACAGAGCATAATTTAAAGACTTATTGACCTAATTTCTCCTCTATAAGGCGATCACAAATAAACACGGGGCAAGCCAGGCAACGTAAGAGGAAGAAATTTCATTATTATTTCCATTATTGATGGGGAAGAGCCATGAAAAAGAGGTAAGTGAGTTTTTTTCCCTTTTCAAACTCTTCCGTCATTGTACATTCTGTATTTTATATGTTTTGAGGTAAAGGTGGAGGAAAAGAGAGAGAGAGAGAGAGAGAGGTGAGGGGGTAGTATAGAGAAGAAAAGGAAAATACAAATAAAAAAAGAGTGATTGTATAGTAGGCCAACAATAACAGAATGCTAAACAAGGGAAGAACTTAAAGTTTGCTCTTGACGTTTGTGAATGATTAACATTAATAAGCTGTTTTACCATAAACAATAAAACAATGCTCTATCTTGCTTATATATAGTCTTGAAGTAAAAGAGAATTTGACTGCGAATGGAGCAACCTATTACCAAGTAACTACTATATAAACCTACATCTATGTCTAATATATAAAAAGATGCAATTGGAATTAATAATGCGCCAATATAACCTAGATATTTATGTAATGTTCCTTCATATACTGTATATTAGTATATCTATCTATACACAAGTATACACACTGTTTATATATGAATAAAAGAGTTAAATTACAATTATCTCCTTTTAAAAACTATTTCCTAAATACATCAAAATGCGGTTATTTCTTATTTGCAGATGACAGAAAATCACAGTGTAATTTTACCAATTTTCGACTCTTTGCCAAATGGAGAAAACACAACAGGCAAATTGGATACAGAAATGGCTGATCATCTCAAAGTATCATCCACATTCAGATGGATTTCCGTATCCATAGCAACAATTGGAATTGTTGGAAATTTCTTTGTAATTTTTGTCATGTTAAGAAATCCGAGAAGAAGGAGGAAAATTCACAATAAATTGGTTATAAATCAATCATTTCTTGATATAACGGCTTCGATATTTATTGTTATTGATAAATTGTTACTTAATGGAGATTTAACTTATATCCTACCTGGAATTCTTCTTAAGGAGATTTATTGCAGATTATGGAAGAGCCAAGTAATACAATGGGGTGCGCTTACGGGATCAACTTTTAACTTATGTCTTATATCTTTCGAACGCTATCTTGCCATAGTTTGGCCAATGAAACACGACGTCATAGCTACAAAGAGTAAGTATTGAATAAATCGAATTTTTCCTGACCTAAAAGATAAAGGAATATGAAGGAAGGAAAGATATCTATATATATAATTTATATATATTTTTTTGATTTTGAAAGGTCGTGTGAAAATATCAATGATCTTTATATGGCTTTCAAGTTTTACCTTTAAATTATCAACTGTAATTGCTCTTTCAAAAGTTAATTTGAAAAGAAATACTTGTTCAGGTTGGAAATGGTCCTCATTAAAGGTTCAGCAGAACTTTGGAATATTTATTATTTTCATTGAATTCGTGAATCCTCTTGTATTTTTGGCCATCTGTTATATTCATATGACTGCTACAATGTTTAAAGGAGCTAGATCGGCTAGAAATAGCTTTGAATGCGAACATTTAAAGAGTGAAATGTTTGAAAAGAGAAGGAAAAATATGGAGAAAGCTAGTAAGAATTTATTTAAAACTTTACTAATGGTTACCATTGCCTTCGTAATCTGCAATACGCCTGGCCAAGTGTGTTTCTTCCTCATAAACACCGGAGTTCATATTCCTTTTGGTTTTCTTTATCGTTCTCTCATAATGATTTCATTCTTGAATATGGTTATTAATCCTTTCCTTTACACCTTGCAGTATAAAGAATTTCAGAATGAAGTTAGAAAATTATTTTGCGGAGTACCGAGCAGTAAGAACAATAGCTTAGAAGTACTTAATAGAAGAACAATATAATCTGCATAAATGATCTCATATTTCGTACGATTTCAATGAGAATAAATGTTCTACATGAATTAAATTCTATCTTTATCTTCAAAGAAAGAAGCTAAAGCTTGATTTAAATCGTTATATTGTATGAGCTAATAAGTGAACATAGCAAAGAAACATGAAAGAATAGTATAGATTTGTTTTTGGAATAATATTTCCTTTTTGAATTATTAAAGAAAAAAACATTTCATTGTAGAATAACTATAAACTGTTGTAGACAGAATACTACCGCTTAATTGGGTTATCGTTTTAAATGGCATACCTTTAATGCTAACTTAAAATATATTTATATTATCCAATCGCTTAATAATTCTTTATTAAATATTATTTTAAATTCAAATACAAAACTTTCCCGTCTTAATAACTTTCTATTAAATCACTTATAAGTTAATTAATATTAATAATATTGTCTATCCGTCTCCAAAACAACAACTTAGAAACCAAAAACTATAAATACTATGTATTTTTCAAGAGATTTCACATATAGACAATCTAAAGAAACCTAATTCTTTACTATTAGAGGTACCATAATACTCTGCTAACGAGAGATATTTAAACTCAACAGTTTCTGCATTTCTTTACAGAGTCAAATAGAGTATTCCTGAGAATGCGCTCCATCATCTTGGCAGTATTTACTATGGCTATTCAATGTCAGTCTAAGCAAGCCATCGTTTATTTTTTAAAACAAATCTATAGAAATAAAATCCTTAAATTAACATTTTCCATAACAGATTCCCAGTCAGCCACCGTTCCAAATGGTGATGTGTATAATTGTGAACCTGGACAAACAGGAAAGCGTGTTACATCATGTGGAATATGCTCAAGTGGACGAATTCGTTCAGCAGATAGGCTTAAATGCCTTAGTAAGTTAATATGTACATCGTATCAAAAATGAAAAGTGAATGTTGATAAAAACAGAATGCCCAGATTTCTGTTCAAAAGGAAATTGTACACTAAAAAGTAATGTATTAAATGATGCTACCCTATGTTCACAATGCATTGAACATTATTTCTTGGACAATGGCAAATGTTCAGGTAGTAGCGCCATTTCTTTTTTATATTCATTTTTCACTTCCAATTATTTATTCTTTTACATAAAATCTCATTCAAGAATGCTCTACTGGATGCAGAAACTGCACATCTCCAACATCTTGTCAAAAATGTTACTCTAATTATGCAAAGAATGATGCTTCCAAGCTATGCGTTATTTGCCCATCCAACTGTATTGAATGCACATGGAATTCCGCTACTTCCAGAACTGATTGCGATACTTGTGTTGACAGATATATCAGAAAAGACAATGGATGCACATGTAAATATACTCTTAACATATTTTATACTGTGTACTTATTTCTACAATATTTCAATTTCAACCATATAATCTTCATATTTTTCTTCAGCATGTCTATCCTACTGCAAATCTTGTACTTATAACAAAAATATTGGTGTCAGTTGTAGTTCTTGTGACACAAATGCATACAAGGAAACAACCAATAATATCAACACATGTAAATTATGCTCCACTGCAATTTCTGGTTGTAACAAGTGTTCTGACAAAGATACTTGTACTGAATGCATGTCTAAAGCCTACGCTCTCACAACATCAAACAAATGTGAAACATGTAGTTCCATTCATTCAGCATGCACTGAATGTGATGCCAGCAGTGGCACAAACAAATGTAAGACCTGTAAAAGTGGCTATTATCTTAAGGATGATTCCTGTTCTGTCTGTCCAAGAAACTGTGACACCTGTGAAGAAACAAATAGCATTGTCAAATGCACGAAATGTAAAGTTGACTACACAGTAGTTGATCTGAAGAGTTGTGATAGATGTCCAGATAATTGTCTTGAATGTGAAGTTTCTGGTAGTAAACTGGTGTGTAAATCTGGCAGATGTGCATCAAAATATGCTCTAAACTCAGACAACTTGTGCTCAAAGTGTCCTGATAATTGTAAGGCATGTTCCTGGAGTTCATCAAATTCTAGAACAGAATGTAGTGGAACAGATGCAAGTCATTCATGTGTTGAAAATGAAGGTGGAAAATCATGGGGAAGAAAAAGTGATGGAAAATGTATAGGTTAGTCAAACTACTTTATCAAAAGTTTTCTATGTAATAGATATTCCATGAGATGTAATGAATAACTTTGTATATACAGCTTGTCCTGGAAATTGTTTAAAATGTTATTTCAAATCTTCTTCTGCGTCTTCACCAATTTGTTACGCTTCAAAATGTCAAAATGGATTTGCTTTTGATGATGATACTGGAAATTGCGTTTCTTGTCCTTCTGGATGTGACTACTGTAAAAAGAGAGGTTCTACTATAACATGCTTAAAGTGCAGTGCAAAATATGCACCTAAATATAATGCAAATAGTGGAGCCATTGATTCTTGTATGTCATGTACAATTTCCAACTGCGACTATTGTGAAGTGATTGGTGACAAAGTGGAATGTTTAAGATCTCCTTGTGCCTCTAAAGCAACCAATTCAAATAACAAAAAGTTTTCATTTTCAAATAAAACTTGTGCTACAAGTTGTCCTACTGATTCAATGTGTGCAACCAAAAAAGTCAATGATGAAAATGAAGCCTGTTTTTGTAGATCTTGTCCTGCAGGAAGTGCTGTAATTCTGGCAGGAGCAAATGCCGGAGTGTGTAAAACTTGTGGAACAGATTGTGAAGACTGTCAACTATCAGCTGACAAGATGGATGTTGAATGTAAGACATGTAAAGGTTCAAAGCAATGGGTATCAATAGAAGTATCTAGTAATGTTGTAAAAGGATGTTATGGTATTTATAGCAAATGAATTATTTGTAGAAAAAACTACTACAACATTTTAAAATATTTGACAGACTGCACTGTTGCATCACCACAATGTAAAGTGCTACAACTTTCTGGAAGTACTTGTATATGCAAAGCAGGTGAATGTATGGGCGATATGAGTATTAGTGGTAAACACTCTGTTCTACAAGCAGCTTCTGGAGCACAAGGCTGTAAAGGTAATATATTTCCATAAATTAATTCATGGATATCCAAAATATTTGCATTCAATACAATTTACAGCTTGTGCTGAAGAAATTCCAAATGTTCTCTGGTGTGGTGGCAGTGCTGGTTCAGCTACAGTTGTTGAGTGTCAACAGGACTTTATTCAGAAAACTGGAGCTGATACATGCATACGTATATATAATTACTTTAATGAAAACAACTTTTTTAAACAGTATGTTTCCCATTTCTTTAGCAATTCCTACTGGTTGCAAGCAATATACAGCTGGATCACCAACTGCAACAAGTGCATTATGTTCTGCATGCACAAAAGGATATTATTTTTCTGCTGGTTCTTGCACACCTTGCCCTGCTGGTTGTTCTGATTGTGATGCTGACGGTGCTAACCCAGTATTTTGCACAGCTTGTACAGAACCAACTAAAATTGGTATTGACTGCCAAACACCAGTAGCTACATGTACTCCTGCTACAGTTGCCAATTGTGATACAAAATGGGCATCAGTTCCTGACCCAGCACCCGCTGCAGATTGTAAATGTATTAGATGCTCTGATACATTTGCCACTGCAACTGCAAGCACTGTACCAAATACAAATAATAGAATAGGAGAATGTGTTGCTGGTGCACCCACTTCTCCTACTCAAATAACTGATTGTTTACAACAATATAATAATCCTGTAGGACCTGCCGTCAATTGCGTTACATGTGCTAATGACAAAGAAATAGTAACAGGAACTACATGTGCTTCAATAACTGGATGCAAAGAGAACTACTCATATGGAGGAGCAGCAGCTGGTTGTCAGGTTGCTGCGGCAGGCAAAATGTTAGATGCTGGATCAACAACATCAGTTATTACAGTTGATACTGCAGCACTAGCCTCTGGAAATTGCAAAGGGTATATTGCATCAGCGGCCACAGTTGCTCCAGCAACTAGTGGCCGATGTGCCGGTTGCGCTACTGGATTTGTTCTAGATTTTTCTCCAACTAAATATGATTGTGTAGCATGTACTGCTGCTGGATTGGATCATTGTACATTTGCTGTATCTTCAGGAGGTACATGTATGTGTGGAAGATGTACTGCTGATGCAGCAGGAAAAGTATACCATAAACATCCTACATTAACAGGATGTGTACAAAATAATGAAATTACCAATTGTGCTACTCACACATTGAAACTTAAAAATGGAGCTTATGTAGTAGCATGTGCTGCCTGTTCAGGTGCAAATGTTTTGGCTGCAGATGGACAGTAGATATGCATTACACACATCTTCAACACCTGGAACTAGTCCATCATGTATGGCATGTGGTACAGGATGTACAACCTGTACAGTAGATACATCTGGAGTTTCTGCTACAACTGATAACAAATGTACAGTTTGTCAATCTGGTTATGCACTCAATAATGTAGGACTGTGTATTCAGTGTCCTACATCACCACAGGCCTGTTCGGAATGCAGAATTGATCCTGATGATCAAACAAGAACACTATGTCTATCATTTGGATGTGGAGCTGCTGCTCTAAGAGATAGTGATTTCACTTGCGATACATGCGCCTCTCTTACTGGTTGTGACATTTGTGTTAAACAAATTGGTGATACTCTGAAATGTTTGAAATGCAATTCTGGATATTATATGGATAGTAATAGTGTATGTCAGACATGTGTATCTGGATGTGATTTCTGTGTAGATGGAACAACTTGTATCCCCAATGGTTGTAAGGACGGATTTATCAGACATAGAACAGAAGGAACTTGCACACCATGTACGGGAAGTGGAGTTTCAAGATGTGCATACGAGACAGCAACTAGTGATACTCTCATACCAAAGATATGCAAAACAGGATATAAATTAAACACTGCTATTTCACCAGTAGCATGTGAAAGTATGAAGATCATTATAAACATTCCATACTTGTTTTGAGATTGTTAAAAACGAATTTTATCTTTTCAGAGTGTGATCCTAATTGTAAAAGCTGCGAAACAAATGGAAAAGACAAGTGTGATTCAGGACAATGTAATTCTGGTTATTTCTTTGATTCTAGTGATCAAAAGTGTTACAACAATAAAGCTGGTTGTCTTGCTTCAACTAGAAGTAATGGAAAGATCACTTGTTCATCATGTAATACAGCAACTTCGGTACTTTCCAATGGTGAATGTAAAACATGTCCTACTGGTTGTAGTGGATGTTCATTTGATGCTCAAACAAGCAAATTTACTTGTTCATCTTGTATAGCAAAATATTACAAAACATCTGATAATTTGTGTTTGCCTTGTCCAACTGGTTGCAGTGCTTGTTCTCTCAATGGAGCATCAGTTGAATGTACAAGTTGTCTTGCAACATATGGTTTGAAAGGAACTGCGTGCGAATTATGTGGTATTGGAGAATGTCAAACATGTTCTGTTCCATCTGGTGGAAGTGGTTTGGTTTGTTTAACATGCTCAAATAAGTTTTATTTGAATAGTGATGATTGTGGTCAATGTCCGAAATTCTGTAAAGAATGTTCATATAATCAAAAATATGAATGTACAAAGTGTTATGATAGATATGCAAAGGCATCAGATGGAACATGTGTACCGTGCCCATCAAACTGTGAAACATGTACAGCCAATGCAGATAAGACAACAAGATGTACAAAATGCATATCAAAGTCATTTTCTTTAAAAACTGATGGAACTTGTGTACCATGTTTGGAAGCTGTTTTTGCTAATTGTGCAACTTGTGGACCAACTCCTTCAGGTGGAAAAGCGAAATGTGATATGTGTAGTGGAGGATTTATCCTGCAAGATGATAAACTAGCGTGTGTTTCATGTTGAATTATCGGATGTGGAATGTGTGCACATGGTCGAATATGTTCGAAATGTAAATCAGGATTCTATTTACATAATTATGATAGAGAATGTGCAAGTTTGTTTTTTGTTTTAATTTTAAATTTATTTATTCCGTATGATAAATTTTTAAATACTTGAATCTTTTTTTTAGGAAAATGCTTTGAATGCAGAGGAAATAGAACTGATTGTGGAAATGAACTTTCTAATGTAAAGGAAGAAACAGCAAATGTGAAATTAATAGATTGTGGAGTTGGTGATTGTTGGGCTTATACAACAGAGACTTTAGGATCAATAACATTTTCAAGAGGATGCTCAAACGAAACTTGTTCACCTCTTTATGAAAATGAAAATTGTAAAGCTGTACCTGGAAAGAAAGAATGTAAACAGTGCTGTAGAGGTGAAAAATGTAATACCTGGCCATTAGGCGCAGGTGGAACAGGATTAATTGCAACGTGTTTCATTATTAAATTATCCAACATTTTATATATGTTGATGAACTAATTAGTTGAACATTGAATTATGGATAAATCGATTAAATGGGTTTGTAATTTCAATCAAGTATTGTTGAAATAGTTGTATTGATGTAAATTGAAAATGTAATGAAAGAAGATTCAATAATGATGCTTGTTGAAATGTTGAATTTTTGCTGATGATAATAATTATGATACCTTTATGAATACAAGCTGATGAGTCTTCATGATATTTAATCAATTTTGAAAAGAATAAGAAATAGAAAGGATCTATTGTTATTAATAAATGTATGACTATGTGATATACTTTTAAGGAACGCTCTTTTATAAAGAGCCTTAAAAGAGTTTATCTTGGAAGGATTAACTATTGCTAACGAAAAAATGAATAATATATTGATAGCCCTTTTTTCCAGTTGAAAAGTGTGGAATATTAGTAATACAATATGTAATTAAAAGAAAAGAAGCTTTAGTCTAGTCTTAAACTATTAAACATATTTAATCAGTTTTTCGACTTAATCCACAATTCTAATAGTCTTCTTGCATAGTTTAGATAGGACTGAATTGTTGAATAAATGTAAAGGATTGATTGATTGTTAATAAGAAAATCATTGAAGTATTGAATAGTCAATGAACGACCTTTACATCAATTAAGCGATTAATATTTTCTGTTTTTCTATTGTGAATAGAGTACAGCTTTAAGGTTTGCGTTTAGAATTCCTCAACCTTAATAAATAAAGTAAGTTTTCTATCTGAATTTGGTTTATTCCATATTTTATTTTCTATTGCGGATACTTTTTTCTTCAAGATGCTCTTAATATCTATTTAAGTAATCTTTTTCAGTAATTATGTTCATTTTATAGATTGCGCCTCAGCAATACTACATTGCAAAACTTTTAAATATTCAAGTAGTACATGTAAATGTAAATCTATTGGATGCATTAGTGATGGGACTTCTACAGTTAGGCCTACTGTACTTGAAAGTGCAACTGGTACTCAAGGTTGCAGTCATATTTATTATATATACTTTATAACATATAAAAAAAATATTATCACTGCTTTCTTTTCATAGCCTGTGGTAGAGAGTTTCCAAATGCAATCTGGTGTTCAGGTGCTTCGGACAGACCAAATCCGAAACCAATTTATACTTGTAAAAATGGATACATTAAATCTGACACCACACCAAATACTCGTTTAGGTGAAGCTGAACATATTGTGATTCAGGTTATGTTTTGGCAGGTGCAATGTGTACTGCTGAAGTGGCAAACTGTAAATCAGGCTGCATATGCTGTTCTCAAGAGTGACTTTAGATAAGCAGAAATAGTCGCAAAGATCAAAATCATTTAACTTTTAGGATACCATTGAGAATATTCAAATATCATGAAAACAGGAAAAGCGTTTCGAAGCAAATCATTTTCTTTTCAATATTATTAATATAAAAAAACTATCGGTTATTATCATCAAAAGTCATCAGCTTGTATTGATAAATGTATCATAATTTTTATCATAAATAAAAAATCAACCTATCAAAAAGCATCATTCTAGACTTTCATTTCATTACAATCACAGTTTTCATTATTTTCAATTAACATATTAGCAATATTTAATTAAAACAGTCTTAACTTTCTTTATATTATAATAATTTCAAAGTTCAATACTTTAATTGATTAAAATGGATAGAATACAAGACACAGCAATAATGAAACAGGCTGCAAATAATCCTGCCACGCCTGCTTTACCATCTAATTCCCAAGTATTACATCTTTCTCCTCTACAGCACTGTACACATTCTTTCTTTCCATTTGCCGTTTTACAATTTTCATTCTCATTAGCCGATGTGCAAGTTTCATTTGAGCATCCTCTTGCAAATGTTATTGTTCCTGAAACTTCTGTTCTATATGCCCAACAATCACCTATTCCACAGTCGATTACCTTCACTTTATCAGTAGAATTCTTGGTAGAAGATATATCATTTCCACAGTCTGCCTGATTTCCTTTACATTCAAAACATTTTCCTGGAAAAAAACAATACATAAGTGATACATATCAAAAATCAACAAAAACTATATCAATAAAAAACAAACTTGCGCATTCTCTGTCATAATTATGTAAATAGAATCCTGATTTACATTTCGAACATATTCGACCATGAGTACATAATCCACATCCGATAATTGAACATGAAACGCAAGCTAGTTTATCATCTTGTAAAGTAAATCCTTCACTACACATATCACATTTCGCTTTTCCACCTGAAGGAGTTGGTCCACAAGTCGCACAATTGGCAAAAGCAGCTTCTGAACATGGTACACAAGTTCCATCAGTTTTTAAAGAAAATGACTTTGATATGCACTTTGTACATCTTGTTGTCTTATCTGCATTGGCTGTACATGTTTCACAGTTTGATGGGCACGGTACACATGTTCCATCTGATGCCTTTGCATATCTATCATAACACTTTGTACATTCATATTTTTGATTATATGAACATTCTTTACAGAATTTGGGACATTGACCACAATCATCACTATTCAAATAAAACTTATTTGAGCATGTTAAACAAACCAAACCACTTCCACCAGATGGAACAGAACATGTTTGACATTCTCCAATGCCACATAACTCACATGAAGTTCCTTTCAAACCATATGTTGCAAGACAACTTGTACATTCCACTGCTTCACCATTGAGTGAACAGACACTACAACCAGTTGGACAAGGCAAACACAAATTATCAGATGTTTTGTAATATTGTGCTTTACATGATGAACAAGTAAATTGGCTTGTTGTAGCATCAAATGAACATCCACTACAACCAGTAGGACATGTTTTACATTCACCATTGGAAAGTACCGAAGTTGCTGTATTACATGATGAACAAGTGATCTTTCCATTACTTCTAGTTGAAGCAAGGCAACCAGCTTTATTGTTGTAACATCTTTGATCACTAGAATCAAAGAAATAATCAGAGTTACATTGTCCTGAGTCACATTTGTCCTTTCCATTTGTTTTGCAGCTTTTGCAATTGGGATCACATCCTGAAAATATATAATTCGTGTTTTATGATCTGCAAACAAAAATGTAGCATTTATAATTATCTTCATACTTTCACATTCTACTGGTGAAGCAGCAGTGTTCAAATTATATCCTGTTTCGCATATCTTTGGTATGAGGTCGTCACTTGTTGCTGTCTCATATGCACATCTTGAAACTCCACTTCCCGTACAAGGTATGCAAGTTCCTTCTGTTCTATGTCTGATATATCCGTCCTTACAACCATTGGGGATACAAGTTGTTCCATCTACACAGAAATCACATCCAGATACACATGTCTGACATACACTATTACTATCCATATAATATCCAGTATTACATTTCAAACATTTCAGAGTATCACCAATTTGTTTAACACAAATATCACAACCAGTAAGAGAGGCGCATGAATCACAATTAAAATTGCTGTCTCTTAGAGCACCAGCTGCACATCCAAATGATAGACATAGTGTTCTTGTTTGATCATCAGGATCAATTCTGCATTCGGAACAGGCCTCTGGTGATGTAGGACACTGAATACAAAGCCCTACATTATTGAGAGCATAACCAGATGAACAAACTGTACATTTATTATCAGTTGTAGCAGAAGCTCCAGATGTATCTACTGTGCAGGTTGCACATCCTGTACCACATGCCATGCATGATGGATTAGTTCCTGGTGTTGAAGAAGTGTGTAATGCATATCCACTGTCACAATCAGAGCAAACTGTGACTTGATTAGAATTATCTAAGTTACAGTTTTTACAGTTGGAAGTTGCACCACCAGGACCAGTGTTACAAGCAACACATTCTGACTTATCTGCTTTCATAACAAAATTGGCATTGCATGTTTGGCATTCACATGAATCTGCATTTAGTTGTACCTCTGAACATCCTGTTTTTGTGTTTGTTGCACAAGCAATACAATCATCTCCAGCACTATTTTCGAATCCAACACTTCTACAATCACATGTGCATGATGTTGCACCAGCTGCAACTACTTTGATTCCTCCAGTACAAGTTTTCGAGCAAGCCACACAAGACAATCCATCTTCAGCCAAAACATTTGTACCTGAACAGATAGCACATGCTACTATATATGCTCCATTTTTAAGTTTCAATGTGTGAGTATCACAACCAGTAATTGCATCATTTTCTGTACATCCTGGTAATGTAGGATGTTTGTGGTATACTTTTCCTCCTGCATCATCAGTACATCTTCCACACATACATGTACCTCCTGAAGATACAGCAAATGTACAATGATCCAATTCAGAAACAGTACATGATTTACAGTCATATTTTGTTGGAGAATAATCTAGAGTAAATCCAGTGGCACAACCACCACATCGGCCCTTATTTGCGGGGGTAGGTGATCCCGTACCTGGTAAATATCCTTTGCAGTTGCCTGATGCTAAAGCTTCAGAATCAACTGTAATAACTGTGTTTGTTGATCCATCGTCCATCATTTTGCCTGCATCAGCTATTAAACAGCCAGCAGCGGGTCCTCCAAATGAATAATTATTTTTGCACCCAGTAACTGAAGCACATGTAGTGTCTCCTACCACTTCCTTGCCATCAACACATCTTACGCAATGGACGGTACCACTTCCAGCTGGACTATTGAATTGTTGTAAACAATCAGTTATTTGGGGAGCAGCAGGTGTACCAGGAGCACAATCTCCGATTGTATTATTTGTATTAGGCACAGATGTTCCCACTGCAAATGTATCTGTGCATCTAATACATTTACAAGCTGCAGCGGGTGCTGGGTGAGCAACTGATGCCCACTTTGTATCACAATTTTCAACTGTAGCAGGAGTACATGTAGCTTCTGGCGTTAGACAGTCAATTCCAATTTTATTTGGTTCTGTACAAGCTGTACATATTACTGGGTTAGTACCTACAGGTTTACAATCAGAACAACCAGAAGGGCATGGTGTGCAAGCACCTGAAGAAACCACTTTTCCTTTTAAGCATTCAGTACATGTTGCATGTTCTGCAGCTGGTGGCCCAGCTGCATCGCCGGTATATTTCTTACAGTCACTAGGAATTGCTAAAAGGAATAGAAGTCAAATATCTTAAAAACAATTGTTTTTGATTAAAATAAGTTTTTTACGTATGCACGTGTCTGCACCAGTTTTCTTGATATATCCGTATTGACAAGCACCAAGTGTGAATGGTGAACCATAAGTGCCTGAACACCACAGAGCATTTGGAATGTCCTCCACACAAGCTTTAAATTGTGATAAATGTATATATGTAGACATTGACAAGACAAATTGTGAAAAACTATTACCTTTACATCTTTGCTTTGATGTAGCCTCTTGTATAACAGAGCGAAGAGGGTCTAAAGATATATCGCCAATGCATTTATCTAATTTACACCTACAAGTACTTCCAGAAACTTCCAAAACTTCACATTGAGGTGATGCAGCAGTGCAGTCTGTTAAATATTTTACACAATTTTAGTATTTTTTTCTAAAAATAATTCATTTGCTACAAATACCATAACATCCTTTTTTCACACTTCCAGATAATTCAACTGATACCCATTGTTTCGAACCTTTACATGATTTACATTCAACATCCATCTTGTCAGCTGATAGTTGACAGTCTTCACAGTCCGTTCCACAAGATTTACACACTCCGGCATTTGCTCCTGCTAGAATTACAGCACTTCCGTCAGGGCAAGATCTACAAAAACATGCTTCATTTTCATCATTAACTTTTTTGGTTTCACACATTGAATCAGTAGGACAACTTGTAGCACAAGTTTTACTTGAAAATGAAAACTTTTTGTTATTTGAATTGGTTGCTTTAGAGGCACAAGGAGATCTTAAACATTCCACTTTGTCACCAATCACTTCACAATAGTCGCAGTTTGAAATTGAACATGACATACATGAATCGATGGCTGCAATATTTACTTTATATTTAGGTGCATATTTTGCACTGCACTTGAGACATGTTATAGTAGAATCTCTCTTTTTGCAGTAGTCACACCCAGAAGGACAGGAAACACAATTTCCAGTATCATCATCAAAAGCAAATCCCTTTTGACATTTCGAAGCATAACAAATTGGTGAAGATGCAGAAGAAGATTTGAAATAACATTTTAAACAATTTCCAGGACAAGCTGTATAATTAAAAGTTATTCATTAGTTTCCACAGAATATCAATGAATCAGAAAACTTTTGATAAAGTAGTTTGACTAACCTATACATTTTCCATCACTTTTTCTTCCCCATGACTTACCACCTTCATTTTCAACACATGAATGACTTGCATCTGTTCCACTACATTCTGTTCTAGAATTTGATGAACTCCAAGAGCACGCCTTGCAATTATCAGGACACTTTGAGCATAAGTTATCCGAGTTTAGAGCATATTTTGGTGCACATCTGCCAGATTTACACACCAGTTTACTACCAGAAACTTCACATTCAAGACAATTATCAGGGCATCTATCACAAGTCTTTGGATCAACTACTGTGTAGTCAACTTTACATTTCGTGCATTTGACAATGCTATTTGTTTCTTCACAGGTGTCACAGTTTCTTGGACAGACAGAACAGGAATCATCCTTAAGATAATAGCCACTTTTACAGGTCTTACATTTGTTGGTGCCACTGCTGGCATCACATTCAGTGCATGCTGAATGAATGGAACTACATGTTTCACATTTGTTTGATGTTGTTAAAGCATAGGCTTTAGACATGCATTCAGTACAGGTATCCTTATCAGAACACTTGTTGCAACCAGAAATTGCGGTGGAGCATAATTTACATGTGTTGATATTATTGGTTATTTCCTTGTATGCATTTGTGTCACAAGAACTACAACTGACACCAGTGTCTTTGTTATAAGTACAAGATTTGCAGTAGGATAGACAAGCTGAAAATAATGATATTAATAAATATGTGGTTTATAGTATGCTGTGAGAATATTTACATGTGCAGCCAGTGTCCTTTTTGATGTATCTATCAGCACAAGTGTCGCAATCAACATTTGAAGTGGCGGAATTCCATGTGCATTTAACACAGTTAGATGGACAAGGAATGCATAGCTTAGTGGCATCATTCATAGCATAGTTAGAGTAACAGTCAAGACATGATGTTGCACTTGTACAGTTTTTGCATCCAGTTGAACATTCTTCAAAAATATTTGTTGTTAATAGATACATTTTTTTTGAATGATAGAACAAAGAGAGAAAAGAAAGGTTGAGAGTACCTGCGCATTTTCCAGTGTCCAGAAAATAGTGTTCAATGCATTGTGAACATAAGGTTGCGTCATTTTCATTTGATACATCAGTTTTCAGTGTACATTTTCCTTTTGAACAGAAATCTGGGCATTCTGTTTTTATAAATGTCAAAGATTTAATGTTTTGTCTGTGTGTTTTTTTGTTTACTTACTGAAACATTTAAGTCGATCCGATGAAGGAATTTGTCCACTAGAGCACATTCCACATGATGTAGTTCGCGCTCCTGTTTGTCCACTTTCACAATTATACACATCACTGCTTGGTACTGTGGCCGTTTGTGAGTCTGTTATTGGTTTTACAATGAGTTTCAGACGATGTCACAGTTAAGGTATAAATTATATGTTGAATATTCATATGAAGAAATTTGTTTGAACTTACATTGAAATACCACAGCACAAAGTCCCAGGAGGAAAAAGTTCTTCATGAATTATTCTTTAATCAGCCCTATATGTTTGAAATGATAACATTGTAGTGTTATTTGATTTTGAAACTGTTCTACTTTACCTGTTTTCGAAAGAAATATTTTCTGTCTGGCACTGATTATGTGAAGTTTGAAGGAATAAGAATTATACTGTATTTATACTCTTTGGTTTCTATGTTCTTGTTTTGGAGTTGTAAAGAGGTTATTATTGCGAGAAATTTGCATATGAATAGAGAAAATAAATTATTGGTTACCAAAATAAAAAATAATATAGCATTTGCAAAAGAATATTTGATCTGTGTGAAATATTCAAATGTTATCATTTTCTTATAAAAAAGTTTAATTGAGATTTTTCATTTAATCCAATTCTGAAGAGTGAACTAAATAATTTTGAAATATTTATATTCATATATTTCCTTGTTGATAGTTTTAAAACGTTAGAAAGTCTGTTTTCTGTAATAGTCTTTTGTGATGAACGCAGTTATGTCCAGTGTTTTTGTTTTATTTTATTATATAGACAGAGACCGTCAGTGATTAAACTGCAAGTGTTAATTGATAAGTGTGATGAATGACATATCTTACACTTTGTTTTCAAACATTCCCCTCCCAAACCCAAAAAGTGTATGTTAGTGTTGGGATTTCTAAATTGAATTAAATATATTGATATATTCCAAGTAATATTTCAAGTCAAGTAATGTGAGAAAGGTTAATATTTATTTTTCTTATATATACAGTATACTGTTGTATTAATACTCTTAAAATATAAAAAAATTAGTATTCATTAATGTTAAAGATAAAGTTTTTGCTATAAAAAACTCTCTATAGAAATGTTATCATTTCCGATTAAATTATTCTCTATATTATATTTATGTGTCTTTATTTGTTGTGTAATCATTTTGTAGGTTTGTCTTAGTCATCAAAATTTTCTCTTTATGTTCATGCTTTAGAATTTTTGTTAAAGAAACAGCAATTTACAAATATTGAATGAAAATTATCACCAATTGAATGATACACTTTAATGTACATTTTTGTTCAAAATGTTGCTTGCTTTTGATCTACCGAGCATTCACAGTTACAATTTGCTTAAGAAAACTGTCTTACTGTTGTATAGTATTAATATCTTTAAACTATGCAAAAAAGTAGTATTCATTAATGTTAAAGTTATGACGTTTATTATCAAGTTTTTTTAAAAAAAACTGTATATAGAAATGTTATCATTTCTGATTAAATTATTCTCTATACTATATTTATTTGTCTTCATTTGTTTTGTAATCATTTTGTAGGTTTGTCTTTGTAGGGAAAATTTTCTCTTTATGTTCATTTTTTGGAATTCGCAGAGATTAAACATTTTTAATTTTTGCTAAAGAAACAGTAATTTACAAATATTGAATGAAAATTATTGCCAATTGAATGATACCATTTTAAATGAACATTTTTTCAAAATGTTTCTTTGCTTTTGATCTATGGAGCATTCACAGTTACTATTAGCTCAAGAAAACTGTCTTATTGACATATACCATTACAGACTGCTAATCTCCTTTTCTGCATTTTTGTGTGGGCGCATTAACTTAACAGAATTTATGAACAATTCGAATTGCCCACACTCGCTAATCCCAACGCCTCTGCTTCTTTTATCTGAAAATATATTTAGATAATGTTCATAATAAGTTTCCCAGAAATGTGTTCCATTCAAACACAAATTCGACCCGATAGGCACAGACAAGCAATAATCTACAACTGTATTCATATTCTTCATATTAACAACACATTGTTCAGTTTCAAGTTTCATATATTCAACCATGTTTCATCAGATATCTTTTAAGCTAAATCCTATTATAGGACTCTCTGTAAACATTCCAGCCTCTCAAGTCAGTGGATCTCTCCATTAAACAATTTCAATCCAGCTAACCCAATCATTTAATTCATTTGTAACTAATACTAAATGAATAAAAACTGACATTTCAACTGTCATACTGAACAAATCAATATTAAATTGAATTTAACATTTTGTAAATGAAGAGAAAGATAGATCTTTTCCAGTTGGTCAAATATCAGCTTTCTCTGACTGTGACAGTGGATATGAATTGCGTACATCTTCAACTCCAGGAACTAATCTGTTATGAATGCAACATGGTACAGGATGTACAACCTGCACAATTGACACATCTGGAGCTTCAGCTACAACTGATAATAAATGAACAGTTTGTTCATATGATTATGCACTCAATAATATAGGTTCAATGTCCACAGTCACCACAGATCTTCTATGTTTGCAACATTAACTTTGATGATCAGAAAAAAGCAGAATGTCTATCATTTGGATGTGCAACTGGTGCTCTAAGAGATAGCCATTTTAATTGTGATTCAAGTGCTTCTCTTACTGGTTGTGATATTTGCGTTAAAGAAATTGGTGATACTCTGAAATGTTTGAAATGTAATACTGGATATCATTTGGATAGTAGTGGTATATGTCAGTCATGTGTATCTGGATGTGATTTCTGTGTAGATAGAACAACTTGTATCCCCAATGGTTGTAAGGAAGGATATAACAGACACAGAAGGGGGTTGAAAAAAAACGTCCTAAGTTTTGGGAGAAAACGTCCTCTACATGGTAAAAGATATACTAGGCATAATTATGGAAACTTTTAATAAGAAATATTTTTCTCTTTACTGTTTACTTCATTTATAAAATAAAATATTAATGTTTTTGAAGAAAGATATATGTATTATAATGTTTTTACCAGTTTTCTCTGAATTATGTAATGTTACTAAAAGAGATATAAATTATTTCATTGTATTGTTTATAAGGGAAAGATAAATTTTGCATTTCTTGTCATATTTTAAGGCTAATTTGTTTTTTAAGCATTTATGCTCTTGTATTAACTCGGTTGATTGAATATTACAAGATTATACAAATTTATTAAAAAGCCTTCTCTTCTGTGAGTTATTATTTATAATTTTTGTATTGGCAGCCATATTTGATATTTGAAAGTGAATTTATTTTTGCAGAAATTTAGTAATGGCACCTGTTTGTATTAACTGTAATAAAAGATTTTATGGTAGACAGAGAAAGATGAAATTCAGTGACTGCCAAAGATTATGTACATGCCAAATGCATTAAAGGTCTGTCTGTTTATATGTTTTTATTAAATTATTCACAATTTTCATTTTTAATTTAGAATCTCCAAGAGTATTTTGCAATAATTGTGCAGAAAAGTTCAGGATTGAAGAACTTACATGTTCACCTTGTCATCATATCTGTAAAGGTGATATTTACTATGCAAAAACATACATTTATTTAACTTTGCTTAGTATTACAGAAATGATAGATGATAAGTGTTCTTCATGCAAAAGTTTGAGTGACAGATATTGTCTCATTAGTTTATCAGATGTGATCAATGGTGATCCCATTGTAAAAGCTGCTCTGAGTTGTACTAGTAATAACGGTAGCCGGTGAAACTGTACCTGAGTGAAACAGTACCCATTTTGGGTGAAACCGTACCCATAAAAATATTACATTTTGTTAAGTTAAATGATCCTTTAGATAGTACTTTATTATTCATTCTATTGTGCCATCCTTCCACACTGATATTAGTCCTTATGGATAATCCATATAAAGTAAATGCCTAAAATACCCGGACACCGTAAACTTTAATAGGCCAATTTTTAAAACACCCCAAAAATGTTATCTTTGTTGTATATTTGTTTTTTTTTTGTGTAAATTTCCATGAAGAAAGAGTTATATTTATGTAATACTGAAAAAAATTATAGAAAATTATCATATTTGTGAAAATTATTTAGCAAAATTTTTTATTAATTTTCATTGTTTTTTTCTTTATTTGGCCAAAAGTCCAAATTAACCATACATGCGGATTACATCCAGTTTTGCATTTAAATAGATGTCTTAAACTGAAATTTTTTTCAACAAAATTAATTTTCCAAGTTAAGTTGATTACTTATTATATATTTTTCCTTCTTTTAAATGACTTAGAGGTAGATGTAGGCCTGAAGACAATACAGAGGGAGTTGAAATTGCAAAATTTTAAATATAATCAAATTTGACAAAGAGTTGATCTCACAAGCAATGACTGTACAAGAAGGAAACAGTATTGTCTACAAACCATTCGAGATAATTTAGATTGGTCAAGAGTCATATTTATGGATGAGGCAAGGTTTTCATTGAATGGTCCTGACGACTTCAGGACCTGGAGAAATGACAGTGAAAAAGAGATCAGATTGACGAAAAATATGGGCAGGGATGGAGTGATGGTCTGGGGACTAATAACCTTGGATGGTGTGTTTGAGGTTTGGAAGGTAAGCAAAAGATTGAATGCCCAAAACTATTCTAGTTTGGTGGTTGAAAATGTTCTCCCAGTTATAGAAGAAATCTCAGATAAAATGATTACATCTTCCAGCAAGATAATGCAGGGTGCCACACTGCAAGAGTTACTAGGAGGGCATTCAGGATGAATGGCAGACATCCAATCAATTAGCCAGCAAAGAGCCCTGACCTCAGCCCAATAGAAAATGTGTGGCACCTGACTAAAAAATTTGGTGTATGATGGGGCACAATTCACATCATGGGAGAAAATTAAAAAATGCTCCTACCAACTTATAAACAAAAATCTGGACTTGCTACCAAATCTGTATGCTGGAATGAGGGGTAGAATAAGGTCGTCATATACAAAAGTAGCAAAGTATCAGTCCCCAAACCATAGTCCGGAATAATGTGACTCATGGCCAAACAAAAAAAAAACTCATGAAAATATACACTATATAAAAATGAAAAAAATTATGTAAAAACTTATCTAAATACTATTTGATAGAAATTTCTATGTAAATCCAAGTTCCGCCTAATATTTCATTGATAAATGAATGATAGAATACTAATATTTTATACTACAAAGCAAATTGATTTATTATCTAAAGGTAAAATATGGTTTATGGAGAGCACATTTAAATGTGTGTGACTGATGTCTTTATTTAGAGTACATTGAGACTGAATGGATAAATGGATTTTTTAAACCACAAGTGTGGTCTATATATATGGTGAGGCTAAAAGAACCAATAATGATCTTGAAGGCTGGCATCATAGGCTAAACAAAAATCTCCCATCTAACTCTGTCTTCTATTCCCTTTTGGATGAACTGAAAAGAGAAGCAAGACGTGATAAAACTTTACAAAAAATTGCTAAGTGAGAAGAAAATCTGTAGACAGCAAAGGAAAGCCTATTAGAATATTTAAAGCAAAAAATTCAGCTTATGGCAGCAATTTGAAATTGCTTCAATCACATCAACGGATTTACTTGAAAAAGCTTCTGACATTTATACTCCAGTTTAATATGTCTTTCTTCTACAATGTTGTTACTCTGTTATCAATCACTATTCTTATTACTCTTTTGTCAGACTTAATTAATATATTCATATTCAAATATTTCCAATTTCTCTTGTTCAGTTTTTTTCTTTCAAATTATTATGATAACTCCATATATCAAATATTTTCTTTCCTACATTAAATTTTTACATTAAACATTTTCTCCTGTACCCAAATTTTGAATTAGGTATATGGAGTGCTCTTAACTCAGTTTATCCTAATATTCCTATTCAAGGTTGTGTCTTCCATTCGACACAAGCTGTCTACAGAAAAATTCAAGTAAGCTTATATTTTAATTCAGTGGTTTACCTTATTATTAAATTATTGTAGAATTTGGGATATACACAACAATATAATATGGAAAAGAAGAAGGCAGGACTGCTGAAACAAGTTTTGACCTTTTCTTCCAGGTAAAGCTATTCTAAACAGTTTTTACATGATAAAAGATGAGGCCTTTGAGAAAAATGAATTTTTGGATTTTTTCCAATACATTGAAAGTGCTTGGATTAAATTCGACGCCAGATTGTGGGTCTGTATTTGGTCTTGCCATCAAGACCAACAATGATGTTGAAGGATGGCACAGAAGAATAAATGAAAAGACTCTTGCAAAAGGGGCATTTTATATGCTCATAGATATTTTAAAACAGGAGTCAAGTTTTATTCCAGTTGTAGAGAAACTTCTCTCAGAAAAAAGGCTAAAGAACTATAAGAAAAGTGTGATCCAGATGTAGAACCAAGTATTTGCCGTTTGGGATGAATACAAATTGGGCATCATTATTTCTGCTGTCCTCTTGAAGAAAATTGCATCAATCTATTCAAAATAATTCTTAGTTTCTTAACATACTTTGTTTGTATTCATGTAACTTTTAAACTTTGTATAACATTCTTGGCTTTTTACATTTTTAATACATTTTATAAACAAATATTCACTATTATTTATTATACTCTCACTATATTACCATTAGTTCCAAAAAAGAACAATTTTTTACCATACAAATATCTTTTCCCACTCCCTGGGACGTTTTTTGCAATACTCCACAGAAGTGACGGAACTCTCATACCATGTACTGGAAGTGGAGTTTCAAAATGTGCATATGAGACAGTAACTAGTGACAACCTCATACCAAAGATATGCAAAACAGGATATAAATTAAACACTGCTGCTTCACCAGTAGCATGTGAAAGTATGAAGATAATTATAAATGTTACAGTTTTGTTTGCAGATTATTTAACACAAATTATATATTTTCAGAGTGTGATCCTAATTGCAAAAGCTGTGAAACAAATGGAAAAGACAAGTGTGACTCAGGAAAATGTAATTCTGATTATTTCCTTGATTCTAGTGATCAAAGATATAACAACAATAAAGCTGGTTGTCTTGCTTTAACTAGAAGTAATGGAATGACCACTTGTTCATCATGTAATACAGAAACTTCGGTACTTTCCAATGGTGAATGTAAAACATGTCCTACTGGTTGTAGTGGATGCTCATTTGATGCCGCAATAAGCAAATTTACTTGTTCATCTTGCACAGCACAATATTACAAAACAACTGATAATTTGTGTTCGCCTCTGTGCTTGTTCTCTCAATGAAGAATCAGTTGAATGTACAAGTTGTCTTGCAACATATGGTTTGAAAGAAACTTCATATGAATTATGTAGTATTGGAGAATGTTAAACGTGTTCTCTTCCATCTGGTGGGAGTTGTCTTGTTTGTTTAACTTGTTCAAATAAATTTTATTTATATTACCGAAATTCCGTAAAGAATGTTTATACAATCAAAAATATGAATATATTAGGTACGATCGAAAAATTCTGTACGTTTTGTATTTATATTTATAGTAGTTTGCTTATTTTAATAATTTTTTTTTATGTTTTAGCCTATAGACTACTCTAGAAAAATTAACCATTTTATTTTTTAACAGTCCCTTCCATTATCCATACTTGTCTGCCATTTTGTGGGATGTATGTCTATGATGTTCCGATAAATGCATGATTTTTTTCTCCTCAGAAAATCCCTAATCCTTTTTTTTAATTTGTCCAAATTTTTATATTGTACTGCTTGAATGTAATCTTTCAATATTCTAAAAATATAGTATTCAGGTGTTGCCAAACTAGGGCTATAGGGTGAATGTGAAAATAATGACCATCCTTGACCTCTTAAAAAATGTATTGTTTAAAAACTTGTAAGAGGTCTGGCACTGTCATGCTTCAACATTATCTCTTTTTTGGGTGGAATTTAGTGAAACTTCTTTCTTAACCTTTTAGACATCCTTTGTATTTTTTAAAGCTTACTGTTTCTCCATACTCATAAATTCACATTGATTTTGCCACAACAGTCCCCTAAAACATAATATAACAGTTTTTTGGTTGGCTTAGTGATCAGATCTCAGCAAGTTTTCAAAATTTGTTTCCCCCTTTTATATGTTAAATACCCACCTTCTTACTGAACCTTCATGCAGAGTTTCATCCTCAAAATAGCTTTTTAACAATGTATAAATATTCTTTGAAGAGGCCATCCCATCCACTAAAAATGCAATATTTTTTGTTGATCGGAACATGTAGATATGACTTGCTGTTGCTTGCACCGATATAATTTTGTAATAGCTCGACACAGCCGAATGAAAATTTTCACAATGAAAGTTTACAGATTAAGTAATATATTTGGAAAATATTACTAGTATTAGTTAGGCCATTTTAAAATTACAGCAAAACGTACAGAATTTCTCGATCCTACCTAATACAAAGTGTTATGATAGATATGCAAAGGCATCAGATGGAACATGTGTACCATGTTCATCAAATTGTGAAACATGTACAGCCAATGCAGATAAGACAACAAGATGTACAAAATGCATATCAAAATCATTTTCTTTAAAAACCAATGGAACTTGTGTATCATGTTCGGAAGCTCCTTTTGCAAATTGTGCAACTTGCGGACCAACTCCATCAGGTGGAAAAGCGAAAAGTGATATGTGTAGTGAAGGATTTACTTTACAAGATGATAAACTAGCGTGTGTTTCATGTTCAATTATCGGATGTGGATTATGTGCTCATGGTTGAATATGTTCGAAATGTAAATCGGGTTTCTAGTTACAAAATTATGACAGAGAACGCACAAGTTTTTTGTCTCAATTCTGAATTTATTTATGTCTTATTATATATTTTTATATACTTGAATCTTTTTTAAGGAAAATGCTTTGAATGCAGAGGAAATGGAACTGATTGTGGAAATGAACTTTCTAATGTAAAGGAAGAAACAGCAAATGTGAAATTAATAGATTGTGGAGTTGGTGATTGTTGGGCTTATACAACAGAGACTTTAGGATCAATAACATTTTCAAGAGGATGCTCAAACGAAACTTGTTCACCTCTTTATGAAAATGAAAATTGTAAAGCTGTACCTGGAAAGAAAGAATGTAAACAGTGCTGTAGAGGTGAAAAATGTAATACCTGGCCATTAGGCGCAGGTGGAACAGGATTAATTGCAACGTGTTTCATTATTAAATTATCCAACATTTTATATATGTTGATGAACTAATTAGTTGAACATTGAATTATGGATAAATCGATTAAATGGGTTTGTAATTTCAATCAAGTATTGTTGAAATAGTTGTATTGATGTAAATTGAAAATGTAATGAAAGAAGATTCAATAATGATGCTTGTTGAAATGTTGAATTTTTGCTGATGATAATAATTATGATACCTTTATGAATACAAGCTGATGAGTCTTCATGATATTTAATCAATTTTGAAAAGAATAAGAAATAGAAAGGATCTATTGTTATTAATAAATGTATGACTATGTGATATACTTTTAAGGAACGCTCTTTTATAAAGAGCCTTAAAAGAGTTTATCTTGGAAGGATTAACTATTGCTAACGAAAAAATGAATAATATATTGATAGCCCTTTTTTCCAGTTGAAAAGTGTGGAATATTAGTAATACAATATGTAATTAAAAGAAAAGAAGCTTTAGTCTAGTCTTAAACTATTAAACATATTTAATCAGTTTTTCGACTTAATCCACAATTCTAATAGTCTTCTTGCATAGTTTAGATAGGACTGAATTGTTGAATAAATGTAAAGGATTGATTGATTGTTAATAAGAAAATCATTGAAGTATTGAATAGTCAATGAACGACCTTTACATCAATTAAGCGATTAATATTTTCTGTTTTTCTATTGTGAATAGAGTACAGCTTTAAGGTTTGCGTTTAGAATTCCTCAACCTTAATAAATAAAGTAAGTTTTCTATCTGAATTTGGTTTATTCCATATTTTATTTTCTATTGTGGATACTTTTTCTTTGAAGATTAGTTTGATCTCTTTTTATAATTATCTATGTCAAATTCTAAAATGCTGCAATTAAATAGTATTTTCTTTTCAGTTGTTGAACAATGTCTTTTTTACAAGATATTAGCAATTCCATTTTGAACAAATTATTCAAACATAATGAAATACTGTTCGCAATATCTAAAGTTTAAGTATTAAGAACTCGCCAATGTTGTTTTGTATCTCTTTCATGATAATTCTTGTAACATAGCAATGCTTGAGTATAGCTTGCAGTTTAGACAAGTTTATATAAAAACAAACATGAAGAAAAATCTTTAAAGTGGACTCCTACAGGTTTAGTTATTCAAAGCACACTAATAAAATACTAATCCTTTTGACTATAATTTGAACAACTCGTTGCGTTAAGTATAACTGAGAAAAACATTTTTCTATTACTATAAAATATGCCAATCCAAAGAACGCCATTTATAGAAGAACCTTACATATTGGAAAAGAAATAAGAGATAAAAGAAATAGACCAAGTGTAATAGGTATTCGTGTATGTGTTTTTATCAAAGAAAGATATAATCCTCGGATTAATAATTCTAAAACGATACTCTCATTCTTAAAAAGTTGCATTTTCTATTTTGACAACTAGTTAGTATTCTTTACATTCATGAAACAGATTAGCATTAAACTCTTTTCTATAGTTTTAGAAAATTTAATTCGCACTTTAAAGATTGGAATCGTGCAGCATTTATTCATTTTATATCTCGCCTTTTTTATTAAAGGAACAAGGTCAGTCTTATTTTTTCTATAATAAAGGTAAGGTGAATTTTTAGTTTAAAGGTTTATTATTTAGAAAGATCAGAGGAAATTACTAATGAACAGCATTTTCGTGATAGTTTCTTTTGCTCTGGCTATTCAATGTAAGAATAGAAGTATTAGTTATTTATGCCTAATAAATTTATCAATAAAACAACGAATAAAACGACAGATTCCCAATTAGCCACAGTACCAAACACTGAAATTTATAATTGTGAAACTGGAAAATCAGGTGATCGTATTGCAACTTGTGGAATGTGCTTAGATGGAAGAATTCCTTCAGCTGATAGAGTCAAATGCTTTAGTTTGTTTTTTTTTATTTATTATATCTGATGTTGAATGTCTTTTATTGACAATTATAAACGCGAATAGAATGTCCGGAATACTGTTCCATTGGAAAATGTAAACTAAAAGCTGATGTTTCAAATGAAAATGATGCTACATACTGCGAAGGATGTATAGATCGCTACTATCTCAAGGAATCGAAATGTTACGGTACGACAATACCTTAAATTTTAAAAGCCTATACTTATTATTAATCTTACTTTATGTGTAGAATGTCCAACTGGATGTAGAAATTGTACAAGTGACAGAGAATGTTTAGACTGCTATTCCAATTACGTAATGAAAGATACATCGAAAGAATGTGTTACCTGTCCGTCAAATTGTATTCAATGTTCGTGGAGCTCGTCAATTTCAAGTGCAATATGTGATGTTTGTGACAATAGATACATCAACAAAGATACTGGATGCACATGTAAATAAGTTCACTTGAAATATTTTATAGATAATTGAATTGCATTGATTACATATGTACAAGTATACAGTATATTTATCTATAGCTATATATCAAGTTTAGGTACAAACCATGAGAATTAACCCTTATCCCTCACTTATCTTATTAAAATTAATGAGTTTACTCATTCAACAAATGCTGGATAACCACCAAAATGTATAAAAGATATAGGAATCTATAGTACAGTATTTATCTTATTCAAATTCTTTATTTCTTTTCAGCTTGTCTAGCCTACTGCAAAATTTGCTCTTACGACAAAAATAGAGGGATAAGTTGTAGTTCTTGCGATAACAATGCTTACAAGGTAACAAATGATAATATCAACACTTGTAAATTGTGCTCATCTTCAATATCTGGATGCAACAAATGTTCCGATAAAGATACTTGCACTGAATGTAAATCTAAGGCCTACGCTCTGACAACTTTAAATAAATGTGAAAAATGTAGCTCAATTCATTCAGCATGTATTGAATGTGATGCTAGAAGTAGTATCAACATATGTACAAAGTGTACAACTGGCTATTATCTGAAAGACGGCTCCTGTTCTGCCTGTTCTAGAAACTGTGATTCTTGTACTGAAACGAATGATCTTATCAAATGCACAAAATGCACAAGTTATTATACAAAGGTTGAACTAAAGGTTTGTGATAGATGTCTGGATAATTGTCTTGAATGTGAACTATCCTCAAGCAAAACATTAGTTTGTAAAGCTGGGAGATGCGAATCGAAATATGCATTGAATTCGGACGGTGTGTGCATCAAATGTCCAGATAATTGTAATGCATGTACATGGGTCTCAGAACAGTCCAGAACTGAATGTATTGGATCAAGCGTAAGTCATTCTTGTGTAGAAAATGAAGGTGGACAGTCTTGGACAAGAAAAAGTGACGGAAAATGTATTGGTAAGTAAATTATTCCCACCTTAAAATGATAAGAAATATTCCTTTTAATCTCTTATATACAGCCTGTCCCGATAATTGCTTGAAATGCTATTTTGTAAGCTCTTTAGCTTCGTTACCAATTTGTTACGCATCCAAATGTGCACAAGGCTTTGCTTATGATGATGAGAGTGGAAATTGCTTTGCTTGTCCATCTGGTTGTGACTATTGTAAAAAGCGATCGACAGGATATACATGCTTAAAATGCAAAGCAAATTATGCTCCAAAATATAAGAGTGGTTCCACAGTCATTATTGAATCTTGTATGCCATGTTCAATTGCGAATTGTGATTACTGTGAAGTAATTGGTTCAAATGTACAATGTCTTAGATCTCCTTGCGCTTCAAAGAGAAATTCAGCAGCAAATAAAAAGTTCTCATTTACAACTCAAACATGTTCCACTGCTTGTCCTGTAGACACTCTTTGCGATGAATATATGCAAAACGATGAAAATGAAGCATGTTTTTGTAGATCATGCGCAGGAGGAGCTGTTATTCAAGCAGGAGCAAATGCTGGCTTATGTAAAAGTTGTGGAGTTGATTGCTCAGATTGCGGCCTTAATAGCGACAAAACGGATGTTTTATGTAAAACATGTACAGGTACAAAAATCTGGATTGCCATAAATATTGGTGATGTACCAACCCCGGGATGCTATGGTATGAAAACGTATATATGACTATTTAGTAGACTATATGTTTATAGTATTTTTAACAAATATACCCGTCCAACGGTAATTATTATACTGTATATTCATTATATAGATTGCGCCTCAGCAACACCACATTGCAAAACTTATGAATATTCGAGTGGTACATGTAAATGTAAATCTGGTGGATGTATTGGCGATCAGACTTCTACAGGTAGGCCAACTGTACTTCAAAGTACAACTGGTACTCAAGGATGCAGTCGTATGTATTATATATACTTCTTTATAAGATATAAAAGATAAATATTATAACACTTTCCTTTTCATAGCCTGTAGTACAGAGTTTCCAAATGCAATCTGGTGTTCAGGTGCTTTGGATGGACCAAATCCCAAAGCAATTGATACTTGTAAAAATGGATACATTAAATCTGGAACTGTACCAAATTCTTGTTTAGGTATAGCTATACATATAAGTGTTGTAATTTATAATGTATTTTAACTGACTTTATTTGCAGTGATTGGTAGTAAATGTACAGATTGGTCAAGTACACCAGCAGCTACAACAACAGATGCCACTTGCTTAAAATGTGCACCTGGGACATTTCTAGATACTGACAAATGTACTTTGTGTCCAGTAGCCTGCAAAGAATGTATTAGTGCAAGTAAATGTACCTCTTGTGTTGCTACAAATTCTGGAGTTCCTGCAAGTGCAGCACTTAATTGTATCGGTGATAGTAGCGGTTGTCCTGCTGATCCTGATTGTGCTACCCCATGGGTAATTACTGCCCCTTCAACATGTCAATGTATAAAATGCGATACTGGAAAAGTTTTCGATCCTGCGAATACTCCTAATGAAGAGGGTGTTATTGCTACATGTACACCAAAAAATTCTGATGCTCTAACACCCAATTGTATAATAGCTAAAAAAGGAGCTGGAACTGCTAACGATTGCACAAAATGTGATTCAGGTTATGTTTTGACAGGTGCAACATGTACTGCTGAAGTGACAAACTGTAAATCAGGCTATTCGTTTGACAATGCTGGCGTTGCGAACTGTAAGGTGACTGTTGTAAATGCTGTTCTCAAGAGTGACTTTAGATCAGCAGAAATAGTCCCAACAGCAAATCAGGGGGGCCCAAACTGCATAGGTTATATAACAAATGGTTCTCCAACTTTTTCAGGAGCAACTGGTAGATGTACAGGCTGCTCTAATGGATTTACCCTTGATACATCAGTTGCAACTAACTATCAATGTATTGACTGTACTAGTACAACATTAGCCAATTGCGCTTTAATTATTGGATTAAATGGCAACTGCAAATGTGGAAAATGTATAGCTAACACAGCCTCAGTTTTATATTTTATGAAGCTAGATCATTCTGGATGTATGGCTGTTAATACCATTCCTGGTTGTTCCGCAGATAAACATACACTAAGACTTAAAAGTTCATCATACATTGTTGTCTGTAAGCAATGTGATGCAGGAAAACAAGCATCAGCAGATGCCCAATCCTGCCTTGACTGTACGCAAACTTGTAATGGAGGAACAATAGCTGTTAAGGAAGGTAAAAGTACTTGTGAATGCACATGCGACCGGAATGCAAATAAATTTTTAAATACTGCCGGAGACAGTTGTATTCTATGTTCTACAACTCAGATTGCCAACTGTGCAGAATTTGATTACGATGGCACTAATTGTAAATGTACAAAATGTATGGATAATTTTCAATTGAAATCTGATAAATCAGCTTGTATCAATTGTCAAGCAACTACAGCTGGAGCTGTTGCTAATTGTAAAGTTTGCGAGGTAATTGGGTCATTAACTGTTTCAGTTTCAAAATGTAAAGAATGTATTGCTGGCTACATACTAAATTCCGCTGGAAATTGTATACAATGTCCAGTATCTCCTTTGACTTGTAGTGAATGCAGAATTGATCCTGCCGATATTACAAGAACATTATGTTTATCATTTGGCTGTTCTTCATACGCCCTCAATGATGCAGATTTCACTTGCGTATATTGCGGCAAGACTAACTGTGCAATATGCGTAAGAGATGTTAATAATAATGATATATGCTTAAAATGTGAGAATGGTTATTACATGGATGACAAAGGAAATTGTGAACCATGCGTAGCTGGGTGTAGCTTCTGTCTAAATGGAGATTCTTGTCTTCCTAATGGTTGCAAAATTGGATATATTCAGCATAGGACTGATGGCTCTTGCACACCATGTATAGGAACGGGAGTGTCCAGATGTGTATATGAGACAGCAGTTAGTGATGTACTTGTACCGAAAATTTGTATAGAAGGTTACACGCTGAACACTGCAATAACACCTATTACTTGTGAAAGTAAATTCTTAGCATTTATCTAGGCTATAAAAATCTTTTAATAATAACTATATATTCAACAGAATGTGACGTGAACTGTAAGAAATGTGATATAAACAAAAAGGGAAAATGTGATTCACAAAGTTGTAAAGACGGATACTTCTATGACTCAGTAGAGCAGATATGTTATAAAAACAAAGATAATTGTATAACATCATTAAGAAGTAATGGTAAAACTATATGCAACAGTTGTAATACAGCCACTGTTTTACTCTCAAGTGGTGAATGTATAGCATGTCCTCCTGGTTGCAGGGAATGTAATTTTGATGAAACACTTCAAAATTATGTTTGTATTTCTTGTAATGCCCAATTCTATAAAACGTCAGACGGTTTATGCAAAGCTTGCCCGACTGGTTGCAGTGTTTGTTCTCTAAATGGCGCAAATGTTGAATGTTCAAATTGTCTGGCTACTTATGGTTTGAAAGGAACTTCATGTGAATTATGTGGCATTGGACAATGTCAAACATGTTCCGTTCAGTCTGGTGGAAGTGGTCTTATTTGTTTAACATGTTCAAATAAATTCTATTTGAATTCCGATGATTGTGGGAAATGTCCTAATTTTTGTATGGAATGCTCACACAATGGAACGTATCAATGTTCAAAATGCTATGCTGGTTATGGTATAGCACCTGATGGAAGTTGTGTTCGCTGTCCACTAAATTGTGAAATGTGTAAAGTTAATCAGGATAAAACAACAGTTTGTATTAATTGTTCATCAAATGCCTTTTCACTCAAAGCTGATGGAACATGTGTAAAATGTTCGGAAGCTGCTTTTACAAATTGCGCAACATGTGGTGCAACACCCTCTGGTGGGAAAGCAAATTGTATTAGCTGCGAAACAGGATATAGTTTACAAGATAATAATTTAGCTTGTGTTCCATGTTCAATTATCGGATGTGGATTATGTTCTCATGGTCGAATATGTTCGAAATGTAAATCAGGATTCTATTTACACAATTACAATAGAGAATGTGCAAGTTTGTTATTTGTCCTAATCTTAAAATTATCAATGTTTTAAAGTATATGTCTAACATATTTGAAATTTTCATAGGAAAATGTTACGAATGCCGAGGAAATCAAGAAGATTGCGGAAATGACGTGTCTGATATAAAGAATGTGACAGACAAAGTGAAAATAATTGATTGTGGTATTGGTGATTGTTGGGCTTATAGAAAAGAAGTATCAGAAATAGTAATATTTACAAGAGGATGTTCCAATGAAACTTGTACCACGTCAAATGAGAATGAAAATTGCAAAACAATAGAAGGAAAGAGAGAGTGCGTAAAATGTTGTAGAGGAGAAAAATGTAATACTTGGGCATTGGATGGTAAAGCAGGTTCAGCGAGACAAACTGTAATCAGTTTATATATATATTTCTCATTTATATTCTCAATATTAATCAACAAAACTTGAAGTCTTTTATCAAAAATTGATAGATAAAATTAGCTGAAGCAGATGTTTTTATTCAATTCAACAATATCATTTTCTTTTCTGTTTTTGGATAATTGATGTATTTTTTGTTGCTGTCATTGATAATAGCGATTATTTTTCCTTTCTACGTTTTAAGTACTTGTAAAGGTAAAATAACATATCATCTGGTTTATACATAAATTATGTAGAGGTACAATCTTCGCAATATGAAAAACGCCACGCGTGCTTTGAAAACAACAGTAAAATATTGTCACATCTGGGAAACAGACGGAAAAAATGTAAAAAATAAGGCAAAAGTCCATAATATATGTTTCTGGCAATAAAAGCTATATCTTCAAGTAAAGTAGCATTTTCTCAAACGAAATGCGAGTACAGCATTTTAACAATAAGAATTCACAAAAATAACCATGAAATAAACAATTGACAGATTTATAGAATAGAGATATTGTTGTGAAGAAGAAGCTCCTCAAAGGTTTTAAGTGTTTCCTAATGTAGAGAGCTTTACATTCCTCAATGCCTTTTTGTATACTTATAAGGAAAATTTGGATATATTAGTAATATATAAATATATATCAAGTATATATAAATTTATATGTAACAACAGTTTATTTGATTATAAAAATACTTTTGGATTGTGTAATGCAACTGGATGCAACAGAAAAAGTCAAAAATTTTACCCTAACCCTAAGGTAGCCCTTATCTATTTCTAATCTTTTTGATTAGATTGAAACCTCCAACCACATTGTTCAACACAAAATGCTACCTTTCAATATCTCACTTATGAACACTTTTTGTCAACCTCTATTCCAATGTTGTTTGACAGATACGATTTTGTTACTAAAATTTTCATGATGGAGAAACGATTTTCTGTAATTACATTCAATTTTGCCTATACAAAAGCATCTTTCAATATCATTATTTGGATATCAAATTAATGAAATAGTGAAATATTTCTTCTCTTAAACAAGATAGAAAAATGTTATCTATTATACTATATATTTCTTTATGTGATTCAATAATAAACAAATATTCTTCTACAAAGAGCAAATAATTCTTTTTTCAATATTAATAATATAAAAGAACTATTGGCTTTGATCATCAAAAGTCATCAGCTTGTATTAAGAGAGGAATCATAATTTTTATCATAAACAAAAAATCAACCTATCAATAAGCATCATTATTGACTTTCATTTCATTACAGTTACAATTTTCATCATTTTCAATTAATATTTAATTAAAACATTCTTAACTTTCACAATATTATAACAATTTCAAAGTTCAATACTTCAATTGATTAAGATGGAAAGGATACTTGATACAGCAATAATGAAACATGTTGCAAATAATCCTGCTACGCCTGCTTTACCATCCAATGCCCAAGTATTACATCTTTCTCCTCTACAGCACTGTACACATTCTTTCTTTCCATTTACCGTTTTACAATTTTCATTTTCATTAGCGGATGTGCAAGTTTCATTTGAGCATCCTCTTGCAAATGTTATTGTTCCCGAAATTTCTGTTCTATAGGCCCAACAATCACCAATTCCACAATCAATTACCTTCACTTTATCAGTAGAATTCTTGGTACTTGATATATCATTTCCACAGTCTGCCTGATTTCCTTTACATTCGAAACATTTTCCTGAAAAAAAAAACAATACATTACTGATACATATCAAAAATCAACAAAAACTATATCAATAAAAAACAAACTTGCGCATTCTCTATCATAATTATGTAAATAGAATCCTGATTTACATTTCGAACATATGCGACCATGTGCACACATTCCACATCCCGTAATTGAACATGAAACACAGGCTAGTTTATCATCTTGTAGAGTAAATCCTCCACTACACATATCACATTTCGCTTTTCCACCTGAAGGAGTTGGTCCACAAGTTGCACAATTAGCAAAAACAGCTTCCGAACATGGTACACAAGTTCCATCAGTTTTTAAAGAAAATGACTTTGATATGCATTTTGTACATCTTGTTGTCTTATCTGCATTGGCTGTACATGTTTCACAGTTTGATGGGCACGGTACACATGTTCCATCTGATGCCTTTGCATATCTATCATAACACTTTGTACATTCATATTTTTGATTATATGAACATTCTTTACAGAATTTCGGACATTGACCACAATCATCACTATTCAAATAAAACTTATTTGAGCATGTTAAACAAACCAAACCACTTCCACCAGATGGAACAGAACATGTTTGACATTCTCCAATACCACATAATTCGCACGCAGTTCCTTTCAAACCATATGTTGCAAGACAACTTGTACATTCAACTGATGCTCCATTGAGAGAACAAGCACTGCAACCAGTTGGACAAGGCAAACACAAATTATCAGATGTTTTGTAATATTTTGCTATACAAGATGAACAAGTAAATTTGCTTGTTTGAGCATCAAATGAACATCCACTACAACCAGTAGGACATGTTTTACATTCACCATTGGAAAGTACCGAAGTTGCTGTATTACATGATGAACAAGTGATCTTTCCATTACTTCTAGTTGAAGCAAGACAACCAGCTTTATTGTTGTAACACTTTTGATCACTAGAATCAAAGAAATAACCAGAATTACATTGTCCTGAATCACACTTGTCTTTTCCATTTGTTTCGCAGCTTTTACAATTAGGATCACACTCTGAAAAGATAAAATTCGTTTTTAACAATCTCAAAACAAGTATGGAATGTTTATAATGATCTTCATACTTTCACATGCTACTGGTGAAATAGCAGTGTTTAATTTATATCCTGTTTTGCATATCTTTGGTATGAGAGTATCACTAGTTGCTGTCTCGTATGCACATCTTGAAACTCCACTTCCCGTACATGGTGTGCAAGTTCCTTCTGTTCTATGTCTGATAAATCCGTCCTTACAACCATTGGGGATACAAGTTGTTCCATCTACACAGAAATCACATCCAGATACACATGTCTGACATACACTATTACTATCCATATAATATCCAGAATTGCATTTCAAACATTTCAGAGTATCACCAATTTGTTTAACACAAATGTCACAACCAGTAAGAGAGGCGCATGTATCGCAAGTGAAATCACTATCTCTTAGAGCAGCAGCTCCACATCCAAATGATAGACATAGTGTTCTTGTTTGATCATCAGGATCAATTCTGCATTCCGAACAGGCCTGTGGTGATGTAGGACACTGAATACACAGTCCTACATTATTGAGTGCATAACCAGATTGACAAACTGTACATTTGTTATCAGTTGTAGCAGAAACTCCAGATGTATCTACTGTACAGGTTGTACATCCTGTACCACATGCCATACATGATGGACTAGTTCCAGGTGTTGAAGATGTGTGTAATGCATATCTACTGTCACAATCAGAGCAAGCTGATACTTGATTAACTGGAGAAGATGCTAAGTTACAATTTTTACAGTTGGAAGTTGCACCACCAGGACCAGTGTTACAAGCAACACATTCTGATTTATCTGCTTTCATAACAAAATTGGCATTGCATGTTTTGCATTCACATGATGCCCCATTTAGTTGTACCTCTGAACATCCTGTTTTTCCAGCTATTACACAAGCAATGCAATCATCTCCATTACTATTTACAAAACCAACAGCAGAACAATCACATGTACATGTTGATGCACCAGCAGCAACTACTTTTGTTCCTCCAGTACAAGTTTTTGAGCAGGCCACACATGACAATCCATCTGCAGCCAAAACATTTGCACCTGAACAGGCAGCACATGCTACTACATAAGCTCCATTTTTAAGTTTCAATGTGTGAGTAGCACAATTGGTAATTTCATTATTTTGTACACATCCTGTTAATGTAGGATGTTTATGGTATACTTTTCCTGATCCATCAGCAGTACATCTTCCACACATACATGTACCTCCTGAAGATACAGCAAATGTACAATGATCCAATCCAGCAGCAGTACATGCTACACAATCATATTTAGTTGGAGAAAAATCTAGAGTAAATCCAGTATCACACCCACCACATCGGCCACTAGTTGCTGGAGCAGGTGATGCCGCTGATGCAATATAACCTTTGCAATTTCCTGATGCTAGTGCTGTAGGATCAACTGTAATGACTGTTGTGTCTGATCCAGCATCCATCATTTTGCCCGCAGCAGCAATAAGGCATTTAGGAGTCGATGAAAAATATGAGTAATTGTCTTTGCAGTCAGTTACTGCTGCTACACATGCATTTCCTTGTAGTACTTTATTATTAGCACATCTTACGCAATGGAGAGCAGGTGTTGGTTCATTATATTGTTGTTCACAATCAGTTAATTGAGTAGGAGAAGCGGGTACACCAGCAGCACAGTCTCCTATTAAATTATTTGTATGTATCACAGGTGTGTCAACTGCAAATGTATTACTACATCTTATACATTTACAATTTCCATCAGTTGCTGGGTGAGCAACTGATGCCCATTTTTTATCACAATGAGGCACTGGAGAGGTACAGGTAGCTACTGGTGTTAGACAGTCAATACCATTTTTCGTAGGATCTGTACAAGCTGTACATATTGTTGGTTGACCAGATACAGCAGAACAATCAGAACAACCAGGAGGACATGGTGTACAAGAAGCTGTATCAACCACATATCCTTTTGCGCAATCAGTACATGTTGCATGTTCTGGTGACCCAGTTGCAACATCTGTATATGTCTTACAGCCGGTAGGAATTGCTAAGAAAAGGAAACACATATCTTACTAAAGCAGTTTTCAATTAAAGGAAATATTTATACGTATGCATGTGCCAGATGAAGGAGATTTCTCTATATATCCATATTCGCAATTAGCAAGTGTTGCTGCAGCATGGGTACCTCCACACCAGAGAGCATTTGCGATTGCTTCACCACAAGCTATAGATTGTATAAAATGAAAATATTTTGGATATCCATGAATTAATTTATGGAAATATATTACCTTTACAGCCTTGTGTTCCAGAAGTTTCTTGTAGAACAGAGTGTTTACCACTAATACTCATATCGCCCATACATTCACCTGCTTTGCATATACAAGTACTTCCAGAAAGTTGTAGCACTTTACATTGTGGTGATGCAACAGTGCAGTCTGTCAAATATTTTAAAATGTTGTAGTAGTTTTTTCTACAAATAATTCATTTGCTATAAATACCATAACATCCTTTTACAACATTACTAGATACTTCTATTGATACCCATTGCTTTGAACCTTTACATGTCTTACATTCAACATCCATCTTGTCAGTTGATAGTCCACAGTCTTCACAATCTGTTCCACAAGATTTACACACTCCGGCATTTGCTCCTGCCAGAATTACAGCACTTCCTGCAGGACAAGATCTACAAAAACAGGCTTCATTTTCATCATTAACTTTTTTGGTTGCACACATTGAATCAGTAGGACAACTTGTAGCACAAGTTTTACTTGAAAATGAAAACTTTTTGTTATTTGAATTGGTTGCTTTAGAGGCACAAGGAGATCTTAAACATTCCACTTTGTCACCAATCACTTCACAATAGTCGCAGTTGGAAATTGTACATGACATACAAGAATCAATGGCTCCACTATTTGCATTATATTTAGGTGCATATTTTGCACTGCACTTTAAGCATGTTATAGTAGAACCTCTCTTTTTACAGTAGTCACATCCAGAAGGACAAGAAACGCAATTTCCAGTATCATCATCAAAAGCAAATCCATTTTGACATTTTGAAGCGTAACAAATTGGTGAAGACGCAGAAGAAGATTTGAAATAACATTTTAAACAATTTCCAGGACAAGCTGTATATACAAAGTTATTCATTACATCTCATGGAATATCTATTACATAGAAAACTGTTGATAAAGTAATTTGACTAACCTATACATTTTCCATCACTTTTTCTTCCCCATGATTTTCCACCTTCATTTTCAACACATGAATGACTCGCATCTGTTCCACTACATTCTGTTCTAGAATTTGATGAACTCCAGGAACATGCCTTACAATTATCAGGACACTTTGAGCACAAGTTGTCTGAGTTTAGAGCATATTTTGATGCACATCTGCCAGATTTACACACCAGTTTACTACCAGAAACTTCACATTCAAGACAATTATCTGGACATCTATCACAACTCTTCAGATCAACTACTGTGTAGTCAACTTTACATTTCGTGCATTTGACAATGCTATTTGTTTCTTCACAGGTGTCACAGTTTCTTGGACAGACAGAACAGGAATCATCCTTAAGATAATAGCCACTTTTACAGGTCTTACATTTGTTTGTGCCACTGCTGGCATCACATTCAGTGCATGCTGAATGAATGGAACTACATGTTTCACATTTGTTTGATGTTGTTAAAGCATAGGCTTTAGACATGCATTCAGTACAAGTATCTTTGTCAGAACACTTGTTACAACCAGAAATTGCAGTGGAGCATAATTTACATGTGTTGATATTATTGGTTATTTCCTTGTATGCATTTGTGTCACAAGAACTACAACTGACACCAGTGTCTTTGTTATAAGTACAAGATTTGCAGTAGGATAGACAAGCTGAAAATAATGTTATTAATAAATGTGTGGTGTATAATATACTTTGAGAATATTTACATGTGCAGCCGGTGTCTTTTTTGACATATCTATCAGCACAAGTGTCACAATCAGCATTTGAAGTGGCAGAATTCCAAGTGCATTTAACACAGTTGGATGGGCAAAGAACGCACAGCTTAGTGGCATCATTCATAGCATAGTTAGAGTAACAGTCAAGACATGATGTTGCACTTGTACAGTTTCTGCATCCAGTTGAGCATTCTTAAATAAGATTAAATGTAAAAATATGAATGGTTGAAAGTGTAACATGAATAGAGAGGAAATAGTATAAGAATACCGGAGCATTTTCCAGTGTCTAGAAAATAGTGTTCAATGCACTGTGAACATAGAGTTGCATCATTTTCATTTGATACATCAGTTTTCAGTGTACATTTTCCTTTTGAACAGAAGTCTGGGCATTCTGTTTTTGTAAATATTTCATTTTAATATTGTGTCTTTGTGTTTTTTTGGTTTACTTACTGAAGCATTTAAGTCGATTCGATGAAGGAATTCTTCCACTGGAGCACATTCCACATGTTGTTGTTCGTGTTCCTGTTTGTCCAGTTTCACAATTATACACATCACTGCTTGGTACTGTAGCCGTTTGTGAGTCTGTTTTGATTTCGCATAGACTTAATAATGATATCATATTTAAAGTATATAAATTGATTATTCATAAAAAGAATGTTGTTTTAACTTACATTGAATGACCACAGCACAAAGTGCTATGAGGACAAAGTTCTTCATTAATTATACTTTAATTGGCCCTATAGGTTTGAATCGATAATATTTTATTGTTGTTTTTTCATTTGAAATGTTTTACTGTACCTTTTTTTCGAAAGAAATATTTTCTGGCTGGCACTGATTATGTGAAGTTTGGGAAATGAGAATTATACGGTATTTATACTCTTTGGTTTCTAAGTTTCCATTTTAGTTTTGTAAAGAGATTATTGTTGCTAGAAATTTCCATATGAATAGAGAAAATAAAATGTTGGTTGTCAAAATAGAAATTAATATAACATTTGCAAATTAATTTTTGTCTGCCAAATACTTAAAATGTTATCATTTCCTTATAATAATGTTTAATTGAAATTTATTTATTATGTTATTTAATATATTGCGAGTGAATTGATAAGTGTGGTAAATGATAAATCATATACTTTGTTCTCAAATGTTTCCCATAAAAGCATATTTTATTGTCTTAATTTCGGAATTCAAATATATTTCGAGTAATATTTCAAGTTAAATAATGTAAGAAGTGTTATGTTTATTTCAACTAAAAGATACAGTATAGTGTTGAATGGTATAAATACCTTTAAAATATACAAAAGAGCAGTATGCACTGATTGTTAAGTTATAACATTTATTGTTAAGTTTTTGTTATAAAAGTTCTATATAGAAATGTTATCATTTCTTATCAAGTTAATCTCTTTATTGTAATTAGTTGTCTTCGTTTTGTCATCATTTTGTACCTTTAATGAATGAACTAGAATGTATCTGTCTTAGTCATCAAGATTTTTTCTTTGTGTTCATTTTTTGCAATTTGCAGAGATTAAACACCAAATATTTTTAAAGTCTTAGTAATTTTATGATTTTCTACATAAATATATATTTACAACTGCAAAATTGAAGTGTTTATTATAGTGTTATATATCTTGGCATCAAATTCATGTTTTAACTGATTACAAGTTTTCCCTAACAGTATTCTTTTTTATTCTCTTCACCGAAGTCACATCCAAGTATATAAGATTAACTATGTACATAGTATACCGTATATTACATTTTTTAAATAAATTTGAACCTTTGTCGGCAGAGAACTTGTTATAATTTTTGTTAAAGAAAGAGTAATTTACAAAAATTGAATGAAGATTATCGCAGATTAAATGATGCATTCAATTGTACATCTATTCAAAATGTTTGTTTATTTTTGATCTACTGAGCATTTATAGTTACTATTTGCTCAAGAAGGCTGTCCTTTTAGGTTTCACCATTGAAGACTGTTGATCCTTTTCTGAAGGTTTGTTTGGGCGCATTATCTAATGGAATTTATCAACAGTTCAAATTTCCCACACCCTCTTATCCTACCACCTCTGTTTTCTTTTTCACCTAATAGATTCAGATAATGTGGTGGTGTTAGTAATAAGTTTGGTATTCAACTATCTCTACTTAGATATACTATAAGCTAAATCGTTTACTAGTACTCTCTATAATATATTCGATATCTGATATTTCAACCTCCCAAGTCAGTGCAAAATATTTAGAAAATTAGGCAAGTCTTTTTTATTTACAACGTTGCTAAAGTAGCAAATAAACAGTGTATAGAAAAAAGCTAATTTTGGAAAAAGACAACTAGTTAACTTTTGGGATAAACTGTCTGTATTCTAGTAAATGTTTTCAGCTCGTTAGTTCTTAATTTTTAATCTTAAATAAATAGTTTAGTATCTTTAACACCCATTTCCCTTTGTTCAATGTAAAAGATTGAATTTTATTTGCAGTTTAAATAATTTCTTTGTGAAATAAGTTTTTAATACAGTTTATATTGAATAGTATCATTTAAAAAAAAGGATTAAATATGATAAATATTTAAAATATAAGATCATAAGGATGGTAATGCGTGAGTGTTTCTGCTCTATTAGGGCTAGGAGGTAGAAATACTTTTAAGAGTTCAAAACTTATTTTGAGATTCGCTAAACAAAAATACAGAATAGAATGAACAGGATTATCCCAATTGTGGATCATACTGAGACAGTATTTTTTTTTGTTTATGGTAACGAATGAATCTTAAATTTTGCCAGTTTTTTGTAAATATATCTTTTATACGTTAAATACTTCTTTTTATTAGACACTTCAAAGTTCAAGCTTTTAAATAGGCATCTTGTTTCTAAGTTATACTGCACTTCCCACCGAGATCATTAATAATAACCATAAAAAATTCCTTAATGTTAATTGCGGTAAATGCATCTTTGTCATAAAAAATCCTAAAACTCTAATTACAGTGAAAATTTTGCTGTTGATCTCTCCAATTGCAAATCCATTTTAGTCTTTCTTGCTGAGATTTAAAAAGAAATTTATCGTCATAATAACATCAATTATTATTTAAGTCATTTTCTTCTAAAGAAAATGATCAAGTTTACTTCGTTGCCATAGGCCAAAGATTCTTTTTCAAATGTTATATTCTTTTATATTTTGACAACTGAGTTATTATTTACCCCCGATTCATATTCAAATAAATACCAGCATAATCTCTTTTCAACGTTAAAATCATATCGAAGAAATTAAATATTATAAGAGTTATATATTCTAGCCATATGATCTATTATTCATATTTTATATTATTTTGATGTTAAGTAATTAAAGAAAATATGTTTTTATATATGAAAACATTGAAATTTAAGTAAAAACTTTGTTTGACAATTTGGATGTTTATTCAGTGTTTAAAAATTAAAAAAAGTGAAGATAAATATTACACCTACTTTTTAAGTTATTGAAATTGCAACACAAGATATTCAAAGCATATTCTGAAAATTTTTAGCCTCATATTTGCTCAAAAAGCATGTTGTCTGGAGAATTAGAAGCAGAAAGAACAATTATGTTTTACGAAGCAAACTAAACATGTTAGAATAACAAAAAGTAATAAAATAAAAACTACTGATTAGTTTAATCAAGTCAGCGTCTTGTATCGATAAGGGTATCATAATGTTTATCATGTACAAAATATTAAACTCTCGTAGAGTATAATTATCACTTATAAAATTACAGCTATTCCTATAGTATAAGAAAGTATTAGTTTAAAAGTCGCATGTCTAAATTTACTACTATCCAGGGAAATTTTGTCAACTATTACCTTTATACCATATATATCGTTGAATAGTATTACTATCTTTAAAATATACAAAAGAGCAGTATTTACTGATTGTAAAGTTATAACATCTATTGTCAAGTTTTAGTTATAAAAATTCTAAATAGAAATGTTATCATTTCTTATCAAGTTAATCTCTTTATTGTAATTAGTTGTCTTCATTTTGTAATCATTTTGTATCTTTAATGAATGAACTTGAATGTATCTGTCTTTGTCATCAAGATTTTCTCTTCAATTTCGTGTTTTGCAGAGATTAAAACATCCAAAAGTTTCATAGCAATTCTATGTTTTTTTACATAAATAAATTTTATATATCTTGGCGGCAAACTGATCTTTTAAATAATTACAAGTTTTCCCTAACACTACTTTTTTTTTCTCATCACCTTAGTAACAATATAAACAAATAAAAACAAGTTTATTTAGTCAGATTAATTCGTTACCAATAACAGAAAAATAACTGTCTTTGTCCGTTTCTGCACTAAGGTCCATACGTTAGTCCCATTCTATATTGTTGTTTAGTCTCTCTGCTTGATAGCACTTGCAAATACTTAATGTCGTACCGCCATATGTTTTTTTCCTTAGTATGTTAAAACAAATTTAATGGTATTAATATAAACAAATTAAAAGGATTGTAGTCTGACAATGAATGCCAATTTAATGAAAGTAGTTAGGAAAAGTGATTAGTGAAGCATTGTCCTTAATAGATCAAATTCAATAGGTTTTTTAGTGGAACAATTAATCTTATATTAGAGGTTTACTGCATCAGACAATTATTTAAAATATAAGATGTTTAGAAAAAAGGACATGTTTGAATGTTTTACATTCAATCTTGAGCAAAGTAGTACTAATAATCTAAAAGAATAAACCACAAAAAGGGATTTTTAGAATTTTCCCTTTTCTCCATTATTCAATCAAAGTACGCTTAGCTGGGTTTTTTTGTAAATAATTAATAATAATTCTTTAATACAATGTATAATTTTAATAGCTATTTTAGCAACGTTATAAATAAAAGAAAATCTTGCTTAACCCTTTCTTGTGCAAGTTGAAAATGTTATGAAATTTTACGAAATCTTTGTTGTCACCCTTTGTCTGCCTCTATCTTGATGTCTATTCATGAAATGTTAATTTGAAGTTTTATCATCAATTTGTAAGTCTGATTGGTTAAAAATCTTTCTACTAATGTATTTTTTATATATGTACTATAAATATATTAAATACAATAAATACTGCATTACACCAAGGTCAGTAGGGATAGAATCAAGGAATTAATTAAAATATACAGTTTATGAAACGCTTAGGAAGTATGTTACAATTAGTTTGAGATTATAACATTAATAAGAGAACGTGATCAAACAAATATAACAAGTTCAGGCGGACACAATGCTAGTAATCCTTTTCATTTATTAATAGAAAGAAACTCGTGCTCTATAATAAGATCTATAAGCGACACCTACAAATTTTTTGCAAGTTAAAACAGAAATATACTGCAACTGCAAATGTTGAATCATACTGAAATCAGTAGAAAATTTGCTTGAATATGATAATTTAGAGAGGAATTTTTCAATGAATTCAATTTCTTAATGTTTTTTGCGAAAACCATAAAAAAGTTATAATGAATAATCCTTTTGTAAAAATAAAAGAAAAGTTCAGCTGTTATAGCATTAAAAAATATACCAAACTAACTTGTGATATTACTATTTCTAGTACCGACCTCTAGTTTCTAAACTTAACATTAAAATTCAAACAATACTAATAAGTTATCTCTTTTAAGTCTCTATTGCACTCATAATTTTTAAACATAGAAAATGAAATCAAATGCCATTCATCCAAAAATTCACAAAAATAACTTGAAATACAAGATTTAAAAAAAGGAGTAAACGAAAAAAGTAATAAACATTTTCACTTCTTTTCTATTAGAATATAAAAGTATAGTTCATGCTCTTCAGTAAGAATACTAAAGAGCATACATCTAATTTATAAAGTGTTACAGTGATAGCTGTCAGTTTTTCAAGCACTTGCTGCTTGTAATTCTAGCCTAAAAACTAAAAGAATTGACAATAATGAAACATGCTGCAAATATTCCTGCATATCACATTTTGCTTTTCCACCTGATGGAGTTGGTCCACAAGTCGCACAATTTGCAAAAGCAGCTTCTGAACATGGGACACAAGTTCCATCAGTTTTTAAAGAAAATGACTTTGATATGCATTTTGTACATCTTGTTGTCTTATCTGCATTGGCTGTACATGTTTCACAATTTGATGGACATGGTACACATGTTCCATCTGATGCCTTCGCATATCTATCATAACACTCTGTACATTCATATTTTTGATTATATGAACATTCTTTACAGAATTTCGGACATTGACCTGAATCATCACTATTCAAATAAAACTTATTTGAACAAGTTAAACAAACAAGACCCCTTCCACCGCGTGGAACAGAACACATTTGACATTCTTCAATACCACACAACTCACCTGAAGTTCCTTTAAAGCCATATGTTGCAAGACAACTTGTACATTCGACTGCTGAGCCATTGAGGGAATAGACACTACAACCAGTTGGACAAGGCAAACACAAATTATCAGATGTTTTGTAATATTGTGCTATACATGTTGAACAAGTAAATTTGCTTGTTGCAGCATCAAAGGAACATCCACTACAGCCAGTAGGACATGTTTTACATTCACCATTGGAAAGTACCGAAGTTGCTGTATTACATGATGAACAAGTGATCTTTCCATTACTTCTAGTTGAAGCAAGACAACCAGCTTTATTGTTGTAACATCTTTGATCACTAGAATCAAGGAAATAATCAGAATTACATTTTCCTGAGTAACACTTGTCTTTTCAATTTGTTTCGCAGCTTTTACAATTGGGATCACACCCTGAAAATATATAAGTCATATTTAATAATCTGGAAACAAAAATGTAACATTTATAATTATCTTCTTACTTTCACATGCTTCTGGTGAAACAGCAATGTTTAATTTATATCCTGTTTTGCAAATCTTTGGTATGGTTGTCACTTGTTGCTGTCTCATATGCACATCTTGAAACTCTGCTTCCAGTACATCAGTACATGGAATGCAAGTTCATTCTGTTCTATGATCTAATTCAGCAACAGTGCATGATATACAGTCATATTTTGTTGGAGAATAATCTAGAGAAAATCCAGCATTACAACCACCACATCAGGCCTCATTTGCTTGATAGGTGCTGCCACTCCCGCTAAATATCATTTGCAGTTGCCTGATGCTAAAGCTGCAAAATCAACTGTAATAATTGTGTCTATTGTTTCATCTTCCATCATTTTGCCTGCATCAGCTATTAAACAGCCAGCAGCGGCTCCTCCAAATAAGCAATTATTTTTGCACACAGCTACAGAAGCATATGTTGTGTTTCCTACCACTTCCTTGCCATCAACACATCTTTCGCAATGGACGGTACCACCTCCAGCTGGACTATTAAATTGTTGTAAACAATTAATTATTGGGGTAGGGGAAGGAGATACAGCAGGAACACAATCTCCAATTATGTTATTTGTATTGTACTGCTCTTGTTTGGTAAATTTATGCGTTTGTAAGTTACAACATACTGGTTCTACTCGAACCTTTAAACAAATGTTTAAATTAAAACGGTTTATTTAAAATAAGAATACTTAGGCAAGTAGCAATGTGAGAGTTCAATAGCAGAGAAGATAGTTCGTAATAGCACGTTGCCAAATTATCAAACTGCTTTCCAATGTTGAGAAGTAGATAGATGGCTCCAGTTGAGGTTGTTTCCAGGTTACCTTCCCAGATCCTTGGGTCCGGATAGGTACACTTAGAATGAAAATAATGAGGATTTTTATACTTTGAGGTTTGCCTCTGATATCCAATCATCACTTTATAGTTGCTGAAATATTTATCTTTATTGACAAGATGTTACAAGATTCAACATTTGTGAAGGTTAATTGAATTATAGCTTGGCCACACCTTAGGCAAGTTAATTGAATTTATAACTTGCTTATTTGGCCGCGACATGTTTATTGGAACAATGTTCAATTGTTAAATTTTTGGTCTATTTTTGTATGTGCCCACCCTCTCTTTCTATACATTTGCTTATTCTACGGCCCATTCCCTCATATAAACTTGGCAACAAGAGTGGATTTCTGTTGATAACCTCGTAGGAGCATTTCTTAATCTTTTCCCACAGTTCATCCTCTGTCTCGAACTGTGGACCATCATAGACCATTGTCTTGGTCAGATGCCACATGTTCTCTATTGGGCTGAGATCAGGGCTCCTTGCTGGCCAATCTATGGGTTTGATGTTATTGGTTTTAAAGGCCCTTTTCGTTTTTCTTGCAGTGTGACAGCCAGCATTGTCTTGCTGGAAGATGTACTGCCTGCCCATTTTTGCCTCAATTTCTTCTATGACAAGCAGAACATCTTCCACAATGAAGGAGCTATAGTTTTCAGCATTCAGCTTGCTCCTTATCCTCCAGACTTCAAATATGCTGTCAGAGGTTATCAACCCCCACACCAATACTCCACCTCTCCCCATATTTTTCGTGACCCTGAAGTCCTTTTCGCTGTTACTGGTCCAAGTCCTAAAATCGTCAGGTCCACTTAGCGAAAACCTAGCCTCATCAGTAAAAATAACCCTAGACCAGTCTAGATTTTCGCTAATAACTTTGAGGCAGTATGCTTTTCTGCATTTACAGTCTTTAGAGGTGAGATCAGTTCTTTGCCTGAATCTTTTATACTTAAAATTTTGTCTTTTCAGCTCCCTCTGTATTGTTCTTATGCTTATATCTACTTCTAATTCCTTTAATATCTTTGCTGCTGTCACTCTTTGCTTGTTATCTTTCAGTTTCTTTACAATTCTTTTCATCCTCACTATCTCTCTGTCGGCAAGCTTCTTCGGACCTCCCCTATTGTCTTGTTCTGGCTGCTTGTACTTCAAGATGTTGCTAACTGATGATGGTGCCATTCCCTAAAACTATTGCTGTTGCCCTTAATTTCCCTATTTCACTATATTTCTTGATTACCAAATCTCTTATATCTTGACTCCAAACCATAATTAAAAAAATATAATATAAATTATGTACAGTAATTTTGAATATTCAATAACTAATTAACTTAACTTAAAACAGGAAAAAAGTTGAAAAATTTTTTGTTTGAGACGTCTATTTGAATGTCAAACCGGATGTCAACTCAATGTTCCAATAAACATGTCGCGCGGCCAAATAAAGAAAAAACTTATGAAAATTATTAAAAATTTTTGCTAATAATAATGTTCACAAAATATTATCATTTTCTTAAATTTTTTTCAATATTAAGTAAATTTAACACTTTTTCTATATAAATTTAGACAAAAAATAGTAATTTGCAGAGGACAAATAATTTTAACCGTTAATTAAAAATTGGCCTATCAAAATTTATGGTGTCCATATATACATCTTGTCCACTTTATACAATGTTTTTCATTACATTTCATAGAGTATATCAATCAATTGTACTTTTTTTGAGAATGTAATTTGACTAACCTATACATTTTCCATCTTTTTCTTCCCCATGACTTACCAGCTTCATTTTCAACAAATGAATGACCGGCATCTGTTCCACGACATTCTGTTCTAGTATTTGATGAATTCCAAGAACATGCATTACAATTATCAGGACACTTTGAGCACAAGTTATCCAAGTTAGAGCATATTTTGATGCACATCTGCCAGATTTACACACTAGTTTACTACCAGAAACTTCGCATTCAAGACAATTATCTGGACATCTATCACAACTCTTCAGATCAACTACTGTGTAGTCAACTTTACATTTCGTTCATTTAACAATGCTATTTGTTTCTTCACAGGTGTCACAGTTTCTTGGACAGACAGAACAGGAATCATCTTTTAGATAATAGTCACTCTTACATGTTTTACTTTCATTGGTGCCACAGCCTGCATCACATTCAGTGCATGCAGAATGAATGGAACTACATGTTTCACACTTGTTTGGTGTTGTTACAGTGAAGGCTTTAGACAAGCATTCAGTACATGTATCTTTATCAGAACACTTGTTGCAACCGGAAATTGCAGTGGAGCAAAATTTAGAAGTGTTGATATTTTTGGTTGTTTCCTTGTATACATTTGTATCACAAGAACTGCAACTGACACCAGTGTCTTTGTTATAAGTACAAGATTTACAGTAGGATAGACAAGCTGATAGAAATTTTAGCTATAACTGTTTGGTTTATGATATACTTTGAAAATATTTTCATGTGCAGCCGGTGTCTTTTTTGACATATCTATCAGCACAAGTGTCACAATCAGCATTCGAAGTGGCGGAATTCCAAGTGCATTTAACACAGTTAGATGGTGCACTGTCTAGTGGCATCATTCATTGCATAGTTGGAGTAACAGTCAAGACATGATGTTGCACTTGTACAGTTTCTGCATCCAGTTGAGAATTCTTCAATAAGATCAAATATAAAGGAATAAATGATAGAAAGTATAGTGTGTGAATACTAGGGCCGACACAAAACGTCCCCAAGTGAGATTTTTGAAAACAACATTTCTGATTGAAAAATGGTTAGCAGGAGTAAAGTAGCTTTTGATTTATTGTTAGGGGGGTTCCATCTAAGGGTTAGGGATAATCAAAAAGGTTAGAGAGAGACAAGGGCTAGGTTAGGGTTAGGGTTAAACCATGAATTTGGGGACGTTGTATCCGTGAATACCTGAACATTTTGCACTATCCAAAAAATAGTGTTTGTTACATTGCAAACATAATGTTGCGTCATTTTCATCTGATACATCAATTTTCAGTGTACATTTTCCTTTTGAACAGAATTCTGGGCATTCTGTTTTTGTAAATACATAACTATCATTTTTTGTCTTTGTGTTATTTTGTTAACTTACTGAAACATTTAAGTCGATTCAATGAAGGAATTCTTCCACTAGAGCACATTCCACATGTTGTTGTTCGCGCTCCTGTTTGTCCAGTTTCGCAAGTATACACATCACTGCTTGGCACTGTGGCCGCTTGTGAGTCTGTTATTGGTTTTGCAATGAGTTACAAATGATGTCAGAGTTAAGATACAAAATAATACAATGAATATTCATATGAAAAAATTTGTTGAACTTATATTGAATGACCACAGCACAGAGTGCTACAAAGACAAAGTTCTTCATGAATTATTCTTTAATCAGCCCTTTATGTTGGAATCGAAAATATTTTAGTTTTGTTATTTTGTCATTAAAATGTTTTACTGTACTTGTTTTTTGAAAGAAATATTTTCTGGCTGGCACTGATTATGTGTAGTTTGAAGAAATGAGAATTATACTGTATTTATACTCTTTGGTTTCTATGTTCTTGTTTTGGAGTTGTAAAGAGGTTATTATTGGAGAAATTTGCATATGAATAGAGAAAATAATTTATTTGTTGCCATAATAGAAATTAATATAACTTTTGCAAAAGAATTTTTGATATTTGTGAAATATTTAAATGTTATCATTTCCTTATAAGAAAGTTTAATTAAAATTTTTCTTCTGATCTGATTTTGAAGAATGAACTAAATAATTTTGAAATATTTATATTCATATTTTTACTTATTATTTATAATGTTAGAAAGTCTGTTTTATTGTAATAGTCTTTTGTGATGAGCGTGGTATTGTCCAGTGTTTTTTGTTTTATTTTATTATACAAACAGAGAGCATCAGTGATTAAACTGCAATTGTGAAATGATAAGTGTGATGAAAGACATATTTTACACTTTGATTTCAAACGCTCCCCTCCAAAACCCAAAAAGTATATTTTATTGTTTGGATTTCTAAATGGAATTAAATATATTTGGAGTAATATTTCAAGTTAAGTAATGCAAGAAATGTTAATATTTTCTTCTACAATATATACAATATACTGTTGTATAGTATTAATATCTTTAAACTATGCAAAAAAGTAGTATTCATTAATGTTAAAGTTATGACGTTTATTATCAAGTTTTTTTAAAAAAAACTGTATATAGAAATGTTATCATTTCTGATTAAATTATTCTCTATACTATATTTATTTGTCTTCATTTGTTTTGTAATCATTTTGTAGGTTTGTCTTTGTAGGGAAAATTTTCTCTTTATGTTCATTTTTTGGAATTCGCAGAGATTAAACATTTTTAATTTTTGCTAAAGAAACAGTAATTTACAAATATTGAATGAAAATTATTGCCAATTGAATGATACCATTTTAAATGAACATTTTTTCAAAATGTTTCTTTGCTTTTGATCTATGGAGCATTCACAGTTACTATTAGCTCAAGAAAACTGTCTTATTGACATATACCATTACAGACTGCTAATCTCCTTTTCTGCATTTTTGTGTGGGCGCATTAACTTAACAGAATTTATGAACAATTCGAATTGCCCACACTCGCTAATCCCAACGCCTCTGCTTCTTTTATCTGAAAATATATTTAGATAATGTTCATAATAAGTTTCCCAGAAATGTGTTCCATTCAAACACAAATTCGACCCGATAGGCACAGACAAGCAATAATCTACAACTGTATTCATATTCTTCATATTAACAACACATTGTTCAGTTTCAAGTTTCATATATTCAACCATGTTTCATCAGATATCTTTTAAGCTAAATCCTATTATAGGACTCTCTGTAAACATTCCAGCCTCTCAAGTCAGTGGATCTCTCCATTAAACAATTTCAATCCAGCTAACCCAATCATTTAATTCATTTGTAACTAATACTAAATGAATAAAAACTGACATTTCAACTGTCATTCTGAACAAATCAATATTAAATTGAATTTAACATTTTGTAAATGAAGAGAAAGATAGATCTTTTCCAGTTGGTCAAATATCAGCTTTCTCTGACTGTGACAGTGGATATGAATTGCATACATCTTCAACCCCAAGAACTAATCCGTAATGCACAACATGTGGTACAGGATGTACAACCTGCACAATTGACGCATAAGGAGATTCAGCTACAACTGATAATAAATGTATAGTTTCTTCATATGGTTATGCACTCAATAATATAGGACTCTGTGTTCAATGTCCACAGTCACCACACATCTGCTACGTTTGCAACATTGACCTTGATAATCAGACAAGAGCAGTATGTCTCCATTTGGATGTGTAACTGGTGCTCTAAGAGATAGCGATTTTAATTGTGATTTAAGTGCTTCTCTTACTGATTGTGACATTTGTGTTGAACAAATTGGTGATACTCTGAAATATTTGAAATGTAATACTGGATATTATATGGATAGTAATTGTGTATGTCAAATGACAAAGGTAGAGAAAAGCAATCGGATAACTCAAGATTGCGGAAGTTTTAAATAACACTTCCAAAATATTCAGAAGAGGATTAGGGAAATCTTTTTTTGTGTATAACGTTGCTAAAATAGCAAATAAAGAGGGTACAGAAAAAATTTGAGTTCGGAAAATGACAACTAGTTACTAACTATTTCGCGTATCTAATACAGGTGCGAAAAAAGTTTCTGTTGTCTAGTAAATGTTTTAGTGTCTGGTGAGAAATAATATGTTGTTTTCTTTTTATTTCAGTTTTACTATATAAGATTTTATTGCGCATCACATACGCAAAACACTGTTGTTAAACATTCAATCAAAGTATTGTTGAGAAAAGTCAGGATTTGTCTAAAAAGGCATCGTTGATAAGCTAAAGTTCATAAAATCTCACTCCTTTAAGACATTGCTTTACACAAAAGGTTTAGGACTTGTAATAATTACTAAGAAATCTTTCTTTGTGAATGTGAAATAACTTTGTAGTGGTGTAGTCTCCAATTCAATATCTGGAATACTATAGTATAAAATAGCTTTGTTCCACTCCTTAATTTACTTATTGTGTCACCTTTTTCCAGAAGTTGGAATAATTTTGCTAATTGTGATTATGAGATATTGCAGATAGTGAGACTCGTGTTATATTTTTATTCTCTGCTTGATATGATCTTTTGTTCAAACTTTGAAGTGAATAGAGTGGATTGGAATTGTGAATGAAGAAGTACAGAAAAAAAATTTGTATGAATATCTCTGATTTGATAAAAGTGTCCTAAAAGCAGTTGGTCTTTCAATATCTAAATATATTTAAATGAGAATTGCTATTAAAAGGGAAAGACTGTCTTTTTTTCCGAGGAGAAGTGAACTGAAACTATGTTTCAAAATGACTTTTTGAAAAGATGGTTCACTTTATTAGGTTTTGTTACAATAATAATTTTATTAATTTGTTAAGGAATGTCTTGAATAGAATCTTTTGTGTTTCATGAAATAAAGGCTTTTCGATCCAAATATTGTTTGCATTTAGGATTTTAAATAAAAGAACATATTATTTACCCTGTCAGATCATAATAGTACTTTAATCTTTAATTTAACAGATTATTAATCTTGTTTGAGGAGAGTACCTCTATTTTTATGGAGATCAGGGTGATTGGGATATGATTATTGGTATGTAAATGAGGATATTTTTAGAAACTGAATAATCTAATATGAAACTATTTAAAACATTCAAATTTGTTTTTTTATGGCTTCCGAATTTCATCTGGAGTAATTCAACAAAAACTCTATTTTCAAAGGATAGCAATAGCAGTAGCTAATGTTCTTCTTGACAGAAACATTCATTTTTACAGAGAAAATTGGTTAGAATGAGATTGTAAGTAGGTAAAGGAAGAAGTATTTTTGGGAATTTAATAATCTATTATTGAATAATATATTAAATTCCAATATGTTTTCTATTGGTTCTCAATTTCATTGGGAGTAGTAAAACAGAAATTGCTTTTTCAAAAGATACTAATTTTTTGATTAAAACTTGGATTGTTATCATGACTATTACATGATATAAGAATGGCGCATTTTACGTCTTTCTTTTCAAAATCAGCTAAGGCTCCTAAAATATCAAACAGTCTTTTGTGGCACATTCTACATCAACGTCTAGGCGTGAAGTTTGTAGATGATGTTATTATTAATATTAAATATATTTTTAATCAGTAATTCAAAGTATACGCGGCATAGATATGAAAAAAAGACACAAGTTTTAACACAATATAAATTCCTTTACAACTTTATACAAGGCTCATCTGAGCAAAAGATTCAACAATGCACAATACAATCAATAGAGTTGAAGACACAAGACCAGCAACTCCTGCTTTACCATCCAATGCCCAAGTGTTACATCTTTCTCCTCTACAGCATTGTACGCATTCTTTCTTCCCCTGTACTGTTTTACAATTTTCATTCTCATTTGACGAAGTGCAAGTTTCATTTGAGCATCCTCTTGCAAATGTTATTGTTCCTGAAACTTCTGTTCTATAGGCCCAACAATCACCAATTCCACAATCGATTACCTTCACTTTGTTAGTTGAATTCTTGGTACTGGATATATCATTTCCGCAGTCTGCTTGATTTCCTTTACACTCAAAACATTTTCCTGAAACAAAATATCATTACATTAGTAATATACTGTATATCAAGAAATCCTCAAAAATTTCAGAATAGAGAGAGAAAACAAACTTGCACATTCTCTGTCATAATTATGTAAATAGAATCCTGATTTACATTTCGAACATACTCGACCATGTGCACACATATCACAACCAATAATTAAACATGAAACGCACGCTAGTTTATCATCTTGCAGAGTAAATCCTCCACTACACATATCACATTTCGATTTTCCACCTGAAGGAGTTGGTCCACAAGTTGCACAATTTGCAAACGCAGCTTCAGAACATAGTGAACAAGTTCCATCAGTTTTTAACGAATATGAATTAGATATGCATTTTGTACATCTTGTTGTCTTATCTGCATTGGCTGTACATATTTCACAATTTGATGGACACGGTACACAAGTTCCATCCGATGCCTTTGCATATCTGTCATAACACTTTGTACATTCATATTTTTGATTGTATGAACATTCTTTACAGAATTTCGGACATTGACCACAATCCTCATTACTCAAATAGAATTTACTTGAACAGGACATGCAGACCAAGGAGCTTCCTCCAGATGAAGCAGAACATGTTTGACATTCTCCAATACCACATAACTCACATGAAGTTCCTTTTAAACCATAAGTGGCGAGACAACTTGTACATTCAACTGATGCTCCATTGAGAGAACAAGCACTGCAACCAGTTGGACAAGGCGAACACAAATTATCATTTGTCTTGTAGTATTGTGCTTTACAAGATGAACAAGTAAATTTGCTTGTTGCAGCATCAAATGAACATCCACTGCAACCAGTAGGACATGTTTTACATTCACCATTGGAAAGTACTGAAGTTGCTGTATTACATGATTGACAAGTTGTTTTACCATTACTTCTTGTTGAAGTTAGGCATCCAAATTTGTTAGGGTAACACTTTTGATCAGTAGAGTCATAGATGTATCCACTGTTACATTGTCCAGAATCACACTTATCTTTTCCATTTGTAGGACAACTTTTACAGTTTGAATCACATTCTGAATAAGTAAAAATATAATAGTTATGAAATGTTTTATCAGTAAACTATGAGAAAATATTGAAACCTACTCTGGCAAACGTGAGGTGTTACTCCTATATTCAGTATATAACCTGTCTTACATACTTTTGGTACTAGAGTATCTGATTGGGCATTGCTGTAAATACATCTTGAAACGCCGCTTCCTGTACAGGATATGCAAATTCCCTCTGTCCTATGTCTGATAAAACCTTCTTTACATCCATTCGGTAAACAAGTGGTTCCATCAATGCAGAAATCACAATCTGCCACACAAGTTTGACATGATCCAACTGAATCCATATAATGCTTATCATTACATTTTAAACATTTGAATGTGTTTCCAATATCTTTAACACATTTTTGACAATTGGCAATTGAACAGCCTTCACATTTAAAATCGTTATCTCGCAATGCGTTAGATCCACATCCAAATTGTAAACAAAGTGTTTGTGTTTCATCTGCAGGATTTATCAAACATTCAGAACAAATTGTCGGCGTTTGTGGACATTGAATACATTTGCCAGCATTGTTGAGAGCGTAGCCTGGATTACAAACTCTGCATTTATTACTTGTTGTAGCTGGTGTAGTAGTTGTATCAACTGTACATGTTTTACAACCAGTTTCACAAGCCATACAACTAGGAGCAGTTGGTGCTGTTTCGGCTTTCAGTGCAAAGTGATCATTACACAATGTACACTTATCAATACTTCCAGCAGTTGCTAAACTTTCTGTACATGTTTTACAATTGGGAGTAATTCCTCCAGGTGTAGTGGCTGTACAGCTGAGACAAGCACTTTTATCTGATTTCATTACGTAACCTGTTGCACAACCACTACAACCACATGTATTATCAGAATTCAATTTAAACCCATTAGTTTGACAGTTGGCAAAATTTGCCGCAGTACAAGGAACGCAACCGGTACCATCTGCCTTTTTAAATGATCCAGCTGCACATTCGCATGAACAAGTTGTTCCTGAATTAACTGCTATCGTTCCACCACTACATGTTGAGGAACTGCAATCCACACAATGGAATCCATCAGCGCTTAGTATTCTGCCCATACCGCAAGCAGCACAAGCACAAAGGTATCCACCATTTGCTAAACGTAATGTATGAGTCGTACAATCTGTTATTAGAGTGCACTGCAGACAACTAGAGTGATCAGGTTTCATAATAAAAAAGTTTGGTGAAGCATCAGCAGTGCATCTTCCACACCTACAACCTCCATTATGCGCAACAACAAATTCACAGTTATCTCTTCCCGAAACTGTACAAGCTGTGCATTTATATTGGGAGGGTGAAACAACTTCCAATTCTTGACCAGTAGGACACGCACCACACCGACCATCACTAGCTGTAACGCCTTCAATAGCTAGATAGCCTAGACATCCACTGGGTGATCTACTTCCTGGATCCACAGCAACAGGTACATTAATGGGTGTTGTTGTATCTGTAAAATGGTTTGGAGAAGGAAGCCCACAAGTAAGTTCACCAGGAACTAATATATCCTGTTTGGCATGTACTAGTAAATGGAGTGATGTCTTCACATGCAGCATTTCCAGCCTTTGTTGTATATCCTGTACTGCATATTTGACAATAATCTGTTGCTGATGGAGATGGTACTATAGCCTGAGTGTCACAATTGGGTATTGCAGCGGATTGCGGTGCACCACATCCTGTTCCAAAGAATTGATTAGCATCAAGAGGTGTTACAGTTTCCGTCGAAGGACCAGTACATAGATGGCATTTACAAGTTGAACCGGAATCATCCATAGCCCAAGGTGTAGCACAGTTTGGTATTGATGTTCCACAATCAGTTGTTCCACATTTGTATCCCTTTTTACTAGGTGAATTACAACCAGTACACAGCACATTTCCTGAATCATAAATACATGACGTGCAAGAAGCTCTTGTAGGGTCTGCATTACATATTGGACACAAGCCAGTTGTTGGATCATAGTAAGCATTGGTTGCACATTGTGTGCAAGTGGCTATTGAAGGAGAAACTGGGGAAGGTATGGGGAAAGCGAAGGCACAATTTGGCACTATTTCTGTATTATAACATAAAATAAAATATAAATATATGAACAGAATGGATTTATAAAGTAAGTCTTTTCAACATACTCAAGCAAGCCGTTCCACCACAATCTCTCATATAACCAAATTTACATGTGGCAAGAGTAGGCATTGCATATGTTCCACCGCACCATAAAGCGTTTGATACATGTTCATGACAAGCTTTAAACACATTTATTTTAAATCAATTGAGATGATTATTATATTATTACTAACCTTTGCACTCTTGGTGATTGGTTGGAGATTGTAAGACAGTCAGTCTATCATTTGGTGAGGTATGAGATATATCACCTATGCATTCACCAGTTTTACATTTGCAAATAGCAGGACTACCGGTGTATTCAAATAGTTTACACATCGGAGAAGCAATTGAACAGTCTTTAAATAAAATTATTATTTTTATTTTGCATTAAATTAAAGAACTCATATATAGATTAATTACTTATTAATGAATATTAGCATTGATTTAATAATACATACCATAACATCCTCTTACAATAGCAGCGGGAGAGCCTGTTTCCACTGTAACCCATTGTTTCGATCCTTTACATGTCCTACACTCAACATCTTCTTTATTAGCAGACAATACACATTCCTCGCAGTCGATTCCGCAACTTTTACAAACACCTGCATTCGCTCCTGCTGTAACTGTTACTGATCCTGATGGACAGTTCCTACAGTAACAAATTTCATTCTCATCATGAACATCAGCCGACGGGCAAGAACTATCTGCTGGACATGCAGTAGCACAAGTACTACTTGAAAATGAAAATTTCTTATTTGTTCCAGTCGACTTTGATGCACACGGTGATCTTCTACATTTTACATCATTTCCAATAACTTCACAATGATCGCAATTGCTTAATGAGGAACATGAAATACACGTTTCTATATTTGATGTTCCAGTAACGAATTTAGGTGCATATTTTTCACTACATTTTTGACATATGGAACTAGTCGATGCTTTTTTACAATAATCACACCCTGTTTGACATGGAAAACATGTTCCAGTAGTATCATCAAAACCGAATCCTTTAGCACATTTAGAAGCATAACATACTGGAGTAGAAGATGAAGTAATTTTAAAGTAGCATTTTAGACAATTACTTGGGCAAGCTGCAAAATTTTATATTAATAAAATTACATAATGAAAATTTAATGTCCATTAAAAAAGAAGACAACAACGATAGAAACAAACTTACAAACACAGGTTCCATCATTTTTTCTCCCCCAAGATCTTCCTCCAAAATTTTCAACGCAAGAATGACTTGCGCCATTTCCGTTACATTCAGTTCTGGAATTTGCCGAGTTCCAGGTGCATGCATTGCAATTGTCTGGACATTTACTACATAGATTATTCGAATTTAATGCATATTTAGATGCACATCCTCCTGTTCTACAAACCAATTTGTCCACTACTACATGGCACTGGAGACAATTATCTGGACATCTATCACAGCTCTTTACATCAACAATTGTATAATCTACTTTACACTTTGTGCATTTAATAATATTGTCCCTTTGTTCGCAAGTATCACAATTTCGTGGACATAGAGAACAGGAGCCAGAGTTTAAGTAATAACCACTCATGCATTTTTTACATTTGTTAACTCCACTACTTGCATCACATTCTATGCACGATGCAGAAACTGTGCTACACGCTTCACATTTATTTGAAGATGTAATAGAATATGCTTTTGATAAGCACTCAGTACAAGTATCTTTATTTGTACACCTTTTACAGCCAGAGATTGCTGTTGAGCATAATTTGCAAGTGGAAACAGCACTATTTGTTTCTTTGTAGGCATTAGAATAGCAGCTACTACAACTAACACCGTTATCTTTGGAGTATGAGCATGACTTACAGTACGATCCACAAGCTGAAAATGCGTCATGTTTATAATGAGAAAAGCCGTAAGATATACTGTATCTATTGTGTCAAAGAAAAAAGAAACTGACCTGTACAAGTTTTTTTATCGTTGACAACAAACTCATCTTTACATGTCGAACATTCGGCTGCTGCGTTTGCGGTATTCCAATTGCAGGCAACACAATTCGATGGGCAAGAGGCACATTCCTTAGGCGTATCTTTCAGTACATAATTTGAATAACAAGCGTTGCAAATAGTTGCATCAGTACAATTTTTGCACCCAATTGAACATTCTGTAATACAGTATATAGAATTTTTCAAGTACTACAATTTGCTGTAATGCTGTATACTGTATAAAACTTATTTCATTGTCTTAAAAATCACTTTACCTTCGCAAACTGTCCCTTTAAGATAGTAGTGTTCAGTGCAAGCTTTACAATCAGTTGCGTCATTTTCATTTGTCCAAGAAGATTTCTCAACGCACTCGCCTTTTATACACCAATTTGGACATTCTATTTAAACAATAAATGACTAGAACACAATATCTTTGAAATATTGACAAAATGAAAAAACAACAGACTTACGTAAACATTTTAACTTATCTTTAGTTGGTATTCTTCCCGAAGAACACATACCACAAGTTACACGTCGAAGTCCAGTCTGTCCAGCATCGCAGTTGTAAACATTAGTTGTTGGAACAGTTGCACCTCTTGATTCTAAAGTAAGATTAAAGCAAACGTGACTTTTTTTATGAATGTGATATTGAACAGACATTTACCCTGAAGAATAATTGCTAAAAAGAGGATAACTATTGTTCTCATTCCTATCTTAGTTAGTTTCCTGGGGTGTATTGAAATTACTGAAAAGTTATTTTAGGTTTTCAACTGAAGTGTCTTTCTCCTAAAATATTATGTCCTTCAATTGATTTATATCCTTTTATATTAAGTCGTTGTTTTTGGTCTATCTCTAGGATAATATCTTGGTTCATTGCATTTTAAACTACTAATATTTGCATGAAATTATTTGTTTTGTGGTTTTTAAATACTTCTTACTTGTCTTGTATTAGGATCAGAATATTAATTTTTTTGGGTATTGAACTTATGATTGTAATCAGCGTTTGATTGAACTAACTATTTCTTTCAAAGATTAGAATAATAAACAGTATTCAAATATATTGTATTTACAAAAGGATTAAGAGTAGCTTATAATTTTTAAAGTAGATAATAAATAATAAGATAATTTGTCTTTTAATCATGTTTATATATACTAGAAAATGGATAGTCTATAACCAATTTGTACTCATTCTGTTTCTACTGCTTTTCTAATTTACTGGGATTGGTGGGCAAGGATTGTCTTTTTCAAATGATATGTCTTTCTTCAAGTCTTATCTTTTTTACTATTATAAGAAATATTTAAAGCTTGTCTAGTCATTGTTGGAAATGAGATAGCTATGAAAATTGCACTCCTTTCTTCTATATATTGATATTTTTTTGAAATTTTTGTCCTTTACACCTAACTTTCAAACAAACTTTGATAGCAGATTGCTATCATGACCCTTACATTATACAATATCATGCTCTACATCAAGTCTTTCGAATGGCACAATTTGCATTTTTTTTTTCAAAATCAGCTAAGGCTCCTAAAATATCAAACAGTCTTCTGTGGCTCATTTTACATCAACTTTTAGGCATGAAGGTTGTAGATGATGTTATTATTGATATTAAATATATTTTTAATCAGTAATTCAAAGTATACGCGGCTTAGATATGAAAAAAAGACACAAGTTTTAACACAATATAAATTCCTTTACAACTTTATACAAGGCTCATCTGAGCAAAAAATACAACAATGCACAATACAATCAATAGAGTTGCAGACACAAGACCAGGAATCATCAATTCCACAATCAATAACTTTCACTTTATCAGTTGAATTCTTCATTCAAGAAATATCATTTCCACAGTCTGCTTGATTTCCTATACACTTAAAACATTTCCCTGAAAAAAAAATGCTAATGTATTGAAAAACACAAGAAGTAAAACATTTCTCTGCATCAAACATGCACTGAAATGTCTTGATATTTTGAATTCATATTCAAACTTGCTTAAGATTGTGGAAATGATGTGTCTGATATAAAGAATGTGACAGACAAAGTGAAAATAATTGATTGTGGTATTGGTGATTGTTGGGCTTATAGAACAGAAGTTTCAAAAACAGTAATATTTACAAGAGGATGTTCCAATGAAACTTGTACCACGTCAAATGAGAATGAAAATTGTAAAATGATAGAAGGAAAGAGAGAGTGTGTAAAATATTGTAGAGGAGAAAAATGTAATACTTGGGTATTAAATGGTAAAGCAGGTTCAGCGAGACAAACTGTAATCAGTTTATATATATATTTCTCATTTATATTCTCAATATTAATCAACAAAACTTGAAGTCTTTTATCAAAAATTGATAGATAAAATTAGCTAAAGCAGATGTTTTTATTCAATTCAACAATATCATTTTCTTTTCTGTTTTTGGATAATTGATGTATTTTTTATTGCTGTCATTGATAATAGCGATTATTTTATTTTTCTACGTCTTAAGTACATGTTGTAAAGGTAAGATAGAATTTCATCTGGTTTATACATAAATTATGTAGAGCCACAATATACAGCATACATACTTTAAAAACAACAGTAAAATACTATCACATCTGATAAACAGTGTTAAAAAATAAAGCAAAAGTTCATAATATATGTTTCTGGCAATAAAGAGCTATATCTTCAAGTAAAGTAGCATTTTCTCAAACGAAATGCGAGTACTGCACTTTAACAAAAAGAATTCACATTCCTAAATACCTTATTGTATACTTTAAAGAATGTTTGGATATATATACTTATATACAGTATATTAGTTTATATAAATCTATATGTAACCACAGTTTATTCGATTACAAAAATACTTTTGGATTGTGTAATCCAACTGGACGCGACAGAAAAAATCAAAAATTGTGTGGTTTATCCTAACCCTAATGTAGCTCTTATCTATGTCTAATCTTTTTGATTAGATTGAAACCTCTCGCCCACAATGTTCAACCCGAAATGTTACCTTTCAATATCTCACTTGTGAACGCTTTGTGTTGACCCCTATCCCAATGTTGTTTGACAGATACCAATTTTGTTACTAAAATTTTCATGATGGAGAAATTACAGCATCTATTGATTGTCTCCTCTCAAATTAATGAAATACTAAAACATTTCTCTCTTGAACACCATAGAAATTTATTATACTATATACAATATTTCTTTATGTGACCCAATAATAAAAAAATATTCTTCTGGAAAGAGCAAATCAATCATTTTTCAATATTAATAATATAACAAAAACTATTGGCAACGATCATCAAAAGTCATCAGCTTGTATTGAGAGACGCATCATAATTTTTATCATAAATAAAAAATCAACCTTTCAAATAGCATCATTACTGACTTTCATTTCATTACAATTACAGTTTGGTCCACCAGTTGCACAATTTGCAAAAGCAGCTTCTGAACATGGTACACAAGTTCCATCAGTTTTTAAAGAAAATGATTTGATATGCATTTTGTACATCTTGTTGTCTTATCTGCATTGGCTATACATGTCTCACAATTTGATGGACATGGTACACATGTTCCATTTGATGCCTTTGCATATCTCTCATAACACTTTATACATTCGTATTTTTGATTGTATGAACATTCTTTACAGAACTTCGGACATTGGCCACAATCATCACTATTCAAATAAAACTTATTTGAACATGTTAAACAAACAAGACCACTTCCACCAGATGGTACAGAACATGTTTGACATTGCATGTTTTGCACTCCCATGTTGCTCCATTTAGGTGTACCTCTGAACATCCTGCTTTTCCAGCTGTTGCACAAGTAATACAATCATCTCCAGCAGTATTTACGAAACCAACAGCAGCACAATCACATGTACATGTTGATGCACCAGCAGCAACTACTTTTGAACCTCCAGTACAAGTTTTTGAGCAAGCCACACATGACAATCCATCTTCAGCCAAAACATTTACACCTGAACAGGCTGTCCATGCTACTACATAAGCTCCATTTTTAAGTTTCAATGTGTGAGAAGAACAATTGGGAATTTCATCATTTTGTGTGCATCCTGGTAGTGTAGGATGTTTATGATATACTTTTCCTGCTACATCAGCAGTACATCTTCCACACATACATGTATCTCCCGAAGATACAGCAAAAGTGCAATGATCTAGTCCAGCAGCAGTACATGATGTACAATCATATTTTGTTGGAGAAAAATCTAGAGTAAATCCAGTAGCACAACCACCACTTATAAGAATTCATTTATAACATCTAACGGCTTAAAAATGAATAACCTATTATGGATTTATTGATTATTTCTAATAATAGCAATGAATTGATTAGCATTATCATTAGCAACTAACTAAATTTGAAAAATTGTTGTTTGGTATAACGCAATGTAAAAATTATTTAATTGACCCATTTATGCTATTTGACAAACAAATTGTCAATACGCTTATATGTCACGATTGTTGTTTACTAGAGGAACGATTTTCTTGTCTTATCAGTTATCAGCTCTGGATGTGTCTTTTCCACTATATGACTAAAGTAGTTGATTTTTTAATGAAACACTCTATGATGACAAGATTGAAAAGTAGAAGGTGTTGCCGATTTCAATCGACATACAAGTACTGTCCAAGTGGAATGTAGTATTTCACAGATGTATTGTAATAAATAAATATACATACATGATGCTTTTTTAAGAAATTTATAACTTATAGGAAATAGAAAAGTGAAAAATGCGTAAAATATAGATATATTACATACTAGTAATAATTAGTTAACTAATTGATAAAAGTATAATACTTATTAAACATAGAACATATGAAATACTGAGTTTATTTGATCCAGCAGAGCCGTCCAAGAACCACGTATTACATTTTGGTCCCTTACAACATCTTGAACATTCTTTCTTTCCCTCCACAGACTTACAATTGACTTCAACTGTTCCTGAAGAACATGTTTGCTTCGAACAAGATCTCTCAAATGTAACTACGTCTCCCTCTTCCCTTCTATGTACCCAACAGTCTCCAATACCGCAATCGATGAGTTTTACTGTATTTGTAATATTTTGTATTTTGGAAATATCTTTCCCGCACTCTTCTTCATTTCCTTGACATTCGTAACATTTACCTGTAAAAATATTAAAAAACATTATGACCTGATCTTTTCACTTCTTCAAACGTTAAAATTAATTACTTACGAGCGCATTCTCTATCGTAATTATGCAAATAGGTTCCTCTCTTACATTTTAAACAAACTCTTCCATGACTGCAGTCATTACATCCTGAAATGGAACATTTAACGCATCCCGATTCATCGTCTTTTAATGTATATCCTTTTGCGCATGATAAACATTTTGGCCTGTCTTTCCCATTTTCAGATTCACAGATTGAGCAATTTTTGAATATGGCCTTATTGCAAGGTCTACATACGCCATCGAGTCCTAAAGAAAATTCACTTGATATGCATTTTATACATTTAGTCGATTTATCAGGTTTTGCAGTACAAATTGCGCAATTTGATGAACATTTAATGCACTTTCCATCCAAACTCTTTGCATATTTATCATAGCATTTAGTACAGGTATACTTTTGATTAAAGGTACATTCTGCACAAAATTCTGGACAAGATCCGCAATCATCAGTATTTAAATAGAATTTGCTAGAGCATTTCTCACAGGAGGCTAAATTTCCCGAATCGAACTTACATTTATCACATTCGCTGATTCCACATTGAGTACAACTTTCACCTTGAAGACTGTATCCTTGTAAGCAATCTTCACAAGCCACTCTTCCCTCAACTATTGCACAAGAAGAACAACCAGAAGGGCATTCAAGGCAAACTCCGTCGTCTCTTTTATAATAGCCGCCCTTGCAAGAAGAACACGTAAATTGATTATTATTTGATGTACAACCGCTACATTCATTCGGACACGGTTTGCATTCATTATCAACTAAAACTGAAGTTGTTTCATTGCACGATGAGCAAACAATCTTGCCGTTTATCCTAGTAGAAATTAAGCATTCAGGATTATTTTCGTAGCACAGTTGATCAGAGATATCAAAAAAAAATCCAGTTTTACATCCATCTGTATCACATTTATCCTTTCCAGCTATTTCACATTTCTTACAATTTTCACTGCAAGCTAAAATTAAAAAGTATAAAATATTAATTGAATTCAATTGAATGAATTTTATTTTGTCTACTTGCCTTCACAAACGTTGATTGTTGGCTGTGTATTTAATCTAAAACCTTCTTTACATATGATTGGTACTAATACATCGGTTGTTGTATCTTTATAAATGCATCTAGAAACACCATCACCTGTGCATTTCTGGCAAGTTCCATCTGTTCTATGTCTAATGAATCCTTCTATACAACCACTCGGAATACACGTTTCACCATTCACGCAAAAATCACAGCCACTAATACATTGTTTACACGTTCCATCTTTATCCATAAAGAATTTTTCATTACAATCGAGACATTTGAAAACGTTGTTAACATCTTTGACGCATTTTGCACAGTTGCTAATCTTACAGGATTCACATTTAAAATCTGAATCTCTTAAGGCATTCGATCCACAACCAAACTGTGTACACAAAGTATTAGTACTATCTTTAGGATCGATTCGACACTCGCTACAAGTTTTCGGTTCTGTGGGACACCTAATGCAAGTTCCTTGAGTATTTAAAGTATAGCCTGTTTTACATGCTGTACATTTCCTCTCTGTGGTTGGAGGAGACTTGCTTCTATCAACAGTACAATTTTGACATCCAGATTGGCAACTCAGACAAGTCGCTGCTAAATTTCCATCTGCAGGATTTAAAGCATATCCATCATCACATGAAATACATTTATCTATTGTTCCAGATACTGTCGTACTTTCCAAGCAAACCTTGCAGTTGGGTATTATATTTCCAGGGGTAGTTTTTGTACAACTTAAACATGCTGATTGATCAGACTTCAAGACATGCCCAGAAATGCATTCAGAGCATCCACATTGATCATTTTCAAGTAATTTGTAATGACCACTTTTGCAATTTGGTAAATCCGAATTTGTACCACACGAAACGCATCCATTAGTGTTATTTTTCATCAATTGTTGGTCATTACAAGAACATTCACACTTTGAATCAACAGCTTTTACCTCTCCAGGTGAGCAAAGCTTACTGCTGCAGTCAATACAGCTGAAACCGTCGCTATTTACAAGTTTGTTATTACCGCAACTAGCACAAGCACATTTCAATTCGCCATCAAGTAAACGTAGGGTGTAAACGGAGCAATCAACAATACCTAAACATTCAACGCAGCCTCTCTGATCCGGTCTCATAACATAAGCAATAGAATTACTCGTTTTACACCTGCCACATCGACAAGATCCTTTATATGCTACTGCAAATTCACAGTTAGGGAAGCCTGTTGTAGAACAACTTGTACATGTATATTTTTTCTCCGATAAAACATCAATAACTTTCCCAGTTTCACATCCACCACATCTCCCATCTGAACTGCTATCAGAATTTATCGAAAGGTAGCCTGTACAACCGCTCCCAGAATTTGCCAGATTATCATCAGCAACCTTTATGGGAGGATTATTTTTGACAGAATGCTCCATAAAACCGTCTTTAGGAACTCTGCAAAGAACACTACTTGGATCGAAAGCGAATGAATATCCTTCTTTACATCCTAATTTAAAAAAGCTTGTACCTAAGCAAGCATCTCTTAAAGGAGATAGAGCATGATCGACGTTACATTTGACACAAATATCTGGAGATCCACTGCCATATTTGTTACAACCAGATATTGTCATTGTTTTTCCTCCACAGGAACTTCCGAGGACAGATGCAACATATGGAGCAACGATGTGAAGATTCTGGGGATTAGAACTACCAGAGCAAGTTTTACATTTACAGGTATTGGCATTTGTAGTAGCCCACATTGTACCACAATCCGGGATAGGAGACGATGTACAAGGAGTTTTACAATTAAAACCAGACCCTGAAGAGCACTCAGTGCATACTACACTGGATGGCTCTCTAGCACATTCAAGACAGTTCTCGAAAACGCTAGAACAAGATATACAATTGCCGTTAAAAAGATAATATCCAGGAATGCATTTCAAGCAGTCAACTCTACTGACATCAGAAGTAGATTGTGTATCACCCCAGTTTGCGCAATTGTCAGGATAAGCTAAGAAATATAAAAGACTATATAATCTAAAGTGCTGTATATTTGCAATGAAAAAAAACTATACCTTTACAAGTATTGGTACCAGAAAGCTTTTGATATCCCTGCTGGCAGCTTTCTAATGATTCGCTAGCATAATTTCCTCTACACCACAAAGCTTTGGGAAACAAATCCGAACAACCTGAAAATCTAATTGTTAAATATCATATTTATGAATAAGGAGATATTCCTTTACCTCTGCATCTCTGACTGCCTGAAGTTTCTTGAATAACAGTATGTCTTTTTGTTGGTGAATTTTGAGTTTGATCTCCTATGCAATTGTTCATTTTACACCTGCAAATAGGTGGATTTCCAGCGTACTCCAATTGTTTACAATGAGGCTGAGCTGCCGAACAATCTATAATGAAAGAGAATTAGGTTACTATAGCTTATAAAAACCATAAAAATGTGAGAAAGATACCAAAGCATCCCTTAACTGATACAGCCTGAGGGCCCACTTCAACAGTAAGCCATTGTTTAACTCCTTTACAAGTTTTGCATTCGACGTCGTTTTTGACACTATTCAATTCGCATTTTTCGCAATCGGGACCACAGCTTTTACACACTCCAGCATTTGAACCAACTAGGATTACAGCCGATCCTGCTGGACACGATCGACAATAGCAAATTTCATTTTCATCATTAATCTTCCCTGAATCGCAGCTCGAATCAATTGGACAGTTACCAGAGCAATCATTATTAGTAAATGAAAATTTTTTGTTAGCGGAACTAACTTCTTTCGATGCACAAGGAGATCTTCTACATTTGACAGAACCGTCAAGGACTTCACAATAATCACAATCCCAAATAGAACACCATTCGCAAGACTCAATTGTATTATCACTTGTGTACTTTGGTGCATGTTTTTCACTACACTTTTGACAAATATCACCTTTCAGTGTCCTCTTACAATAATCACATCCTGATGGGCAAGCAAAACAAGTACCTGTAGCATCATCAAAACCGTGTTTAATAGAACATTTAGAAGCATAGCAAATTGGTTGCAGAGTTTCGTCAGTAAAGTAGCATTTGAAACATTTATCTGGGCAAGCTGTAAGGAAAAATAGTTATATATAAATCAAGAATACTTAAGAGTTATCAACTTACCAACACACGTTCCATCACTCTTTCTTGTCCATGATTTCCCATTCTCATTTTCAACACAAGAGTGACTAGCACTGTTTCCATTACATTCAGTTCTTGAATTCGAAGTACTCCATGTACAAGCTTTGCAATTATTGGGACATTTAGCACATGATTTATCGTCATTTAATGTATATCCTGGAGAACACATGTTCGATTTACAGACTAGCTTATCGTTAGAAATTCCACAATCCAAACAATTGTCAGGGCATCTATCACAATTATTTTGTTTTATAACAGTATAGTCTGTCTTACATTTGGTACATTCAAGTTTGTCGTTTGTTTCTCTGCAGGTATCACAATTCCTCGAACAAGATGCACAAGAATCATCCTTAACGTAATAACCACTTGAACATTTTGAACATTTCTTTGAGCCGCTGGTAACGTCACAGCTTATACATGCTGCATGAATAGGTGAACAAGATTCGCACTTTCCGCTTGAACTGAGTGAATAGCTCGAAGATAAACACTCAATACAAGTATCCTCGTTTGAACATCTTTTACAACCAGGTAATGCTGATGAGCATAATTTACACTCTACCGAGGTACCAGTTGTTATATACATATTTGGATGACATCTATTACATTCGATGCCTTTTCCTTGAATAAAACTGCAAGATAGACAATTGCTGCCACACGCTGAAACATAATCGTTTATAGCAATAAAATTTCAAGAAACGTTTCAATTACTTACAAGTACAAGTTTTCTTATCATCTAAAACGTATCCTTCAGAACAAAATTCGCATTCAGATTTCTTATCTATGATATTCCAAGAACACCTTAAACAATTAGATGGACAAGCCGTACAATCTTTAACAGGCGACTTGAATACGTAATTGGATAAACATTCGTCACATTCATTTTCAGTAGTACAATTTTTACATCCAATGGGACATTCTATAAACAATAATTTTAATTAATTAATTAATTAATTAGTTCATTTCTAGAAAGTATACTTTCACAAAGTTCTCCTTTAAGGAAATAGCTACTCTTACAACTTGTACAATTCGTTGCGTCATTGATATCAGTCCAAGATTGTCTTTCTAAACAGTACGACTCATCACAGTTATCTGGACATTCTAACAAATGAAAAATTATCATTATTCAATTTGATTGGTTGTAGAAAATTAATAAAATATTACTAAGGCAATTTTTTTTATCCTTTGTAAGAATTGAACCAGTCTTACAAACTCCACAAAAAACGCTCTTATCTCCGCTCTGTCTTTCTTCACAATTATAAATCTCATTGGTTGGAGATGTAGCCGAGTCAACGTCTTAAATAATTTTAATAAATTAGTTATAGATTTCTATGTGAAAAATGAATATTAAGATATTTTACTATAGTTATAAATCACTGCCAAGAGAACGAGAAAAATGAAGTGATTTTTCTCCATTGAAATCTCCTCGAAGTATCAACTAAATAGATCGTTTTCTTTTGTAAATAAAATAAACAAACAAACAAATCTTTCAACTTTCTAATTCAGAATCCAATTTAGAAACGATACAGTATGAATATCCAAGAAAGAATTTCTAAAGCGGTTGACTTTCTTTATTGGGGAACGGGGCTGTCGTGATTTACTTTATTGATTAGTTTTTAGAGGCCTGTCTACCTGTTACTATAACAATTATTAATAGAATAGATAGTTTAAAGGAAGGCCTTTGATCTAAGTTTTGATCTGTTCTCGTCGATTGATTTTTCTATATATCAGATTTTGCATTCTTCTTATTGAATGAGATTTAATGGAAGAAGAAGTATAACCCAGTAATAAAACATATTAAACAAGAAATGAAATGAAAAATCTTTTATCTTCTTAGAAAATAGCTTCAGACTAGTTTGTTGCAGATTATATAGTATAATATTTGGGTAGGTATGGGAGAATAGATCTCAACCTTAATCCTAGCCAATCTTCCGGAACCTGTTTTAATCGTGCCAAATCTTTATACTGACCTTTATCTAACTTGTTTCTCCAAACGTATATAATGCATATACTAAGACGTATTAAGAGGAACTAAATGTTGGTTTCCATTATCTCTTCTTGAAATTTTAAAAGCGTTCGCTGTTCAACTTTCTTTAAAACGTCACTCGATAAGCATCTCACACTATGAACAAGTGTTTCCGTATATATGATTATTGCAGTAGCAAATATCTTCCTTTCGTGATAGGTATTTGCCTTTTCGTATGGCAAAGGACCAGTGACTCAATGTACACAGTTTTGGGATGATATTATCCGTTTCGCATCATTTTTGATATATCTTGAAACACTATAATAATGTCTACTGCAACATTTACATTTAAGATCGTTATTTTTCAATACATTAGATCCGCATTCAAATTGTAAACAATTTATTTGCTTTTCATTTGTCGTACATTCTGAATAAATTGTTCCAGATTGAGAACATTGAATGCATTTATCAACATTGTTGAGAGTGTAATCAGCATTGCAAACTGTGTATTTGTTCTTTGTTGTAACTGTTGTAGCAGTTGTATCAATTGTACATGTTTTTACAGCCAGTTTCCTGAGCCAATGGGTTACAAGTAAGAGGACAAATTCGTAGATTTATATTGAGAGGGTGAGTGAGAAGGTATTACTATTGAAAACGCTTATCTAGAAGATATTTTGTGGTAAGGTTGTGTAATATCTGTAGAACGATTTGAAAATTGCCGACTATATCCAAGTGCATTTGGAGCTGATGAAGGATAAATATATTCTGTTTGACAAGTATAAAATGAAAATTTTCCCACACGCAGTATTATTATCTTATATGACATAGCGTTGATTACAAAGTCTGCCTTCATCTATGGGGTACAGGAGACGAAAGTTTATTTCACTTTTGCTACTCTATTTGGAGCGAGGAGCACGTTCTGTTCCAAAGACTCCATTTGAAATATTAGGTGTTACAGTTCCAGTTCTCATGAGATCTTATTTATAAATTGAATCGACGCCATTGTGGTACATACGTCAAAGTTTCTGAATCCAACTTGATAGAGTTTTTAAAACAGTTTTAACCTATTTTATCAATTCGCTAAGGAAATGAGCTAATTATTCAATACTTGTATGTATTCTTCTTCTTTAGCATCTTCTATAATTGATTAGAAAATGAGGGAAACAAGAGAGAAGATTAGCAGAGTATGATGAATAACTCATTTTAAATAGTTTAATTTGTATTTTATAATAATTAAATTAACACAAAGAACACTAACAATATTAATAATTTGTTCAGTTGAAATAATACAAGTCTATAAATAATCCAGTCTTTAAGGATCTCTCTTTGGTTTACACACACAAAAAGGTCTTAGACTACGATCTTTTTCAATGACGCAATTGGCTTGATTTCTTTTTGAATTTATCCTTACAATATCATTTATTAAACTTATCTTTGATAGTTTTTTATTAAACTCCACTATTGAATTGTATTGAGCTTTGTGCGGATTAGTCTCAATTTCTATTTCGTGATATTCACTATCAAGATTTTGCGCCATCTGTTGATTTAATCAGAATTCGATTTTAGTAATTATATACTTATTATTTATGTTTATGAATATGATAACCTACCTTATTAAGGATTAACTGTGTTGATTTAATAACTCTATTTGTTGAATGCATTGAGCAAATATCGGTGTATTCTTTAAGCTTTTCGTTTATTTCGTCAACTATGATTTGTTGGAATTTATTGCTTAAACCTTTTTCCGTTTCCTTTCCATAACGTATACAACTACAATGTTCTTCCGATATTTTAATGTCTTTACAAGATCTCAATGGAATCTTGTGAAAGAGACTGACCGCGGAATTGTCTGTGCTATGCTTAAAAGGTTCAGCAATATCGTATAAAGTTGCGTGAACATCGTAAGGTGAGACAAGAACTTCAGAATTTTCTTGTAAATTATTGATGCTTCTCGATTGATTTGTAAAGTAATCTTTTGGAGGTTTAACAAGTAATAAAGGTGATCTTTTTCCAACTTCATCTTCCATAGTTATTGGCTATATTTAGAATAAGCATAAATGTCACATATATACTGTATAAAAGATAGAAGAAGATCAAATAATACAAACCATTTTATTAGAGTTTGTAGAAGTTATTATTATCAGAGTTTTATCAAGATGTTTTTCAATTGATTTCAACATATTTACCAGAGAATCATCCACATTTCTCATATTAGTTTCAGCCTTAATTAAAGCTGCAGCAAATTTTGGCTGAACAATAGGATACATTTCAAACATATCTTGAATATATTGAAATATATGGTTATGACGACATTCACTAGCAATATTGTCATGAATAGACCAAAATGGTTTCATATAATGATTAACTGGACTTTCTTCAAATCTAGAACAGATAAAGGATAATATGCGCAGAAATTCTTGTATGTATTTAAATAGTATTACCCATTCAATTTTTCTTCAAAAACCGTCTTCTTTTCATTATCTTCCGCAAATAGTGTGACGTAATTTTGCTGTTCAAAAATATTCCATATAAATGGTAGACTGTCTGCCAAAGATGCTTGATTTTTACCAACAAACTCCATGGCCTTTTTGGTACTATATCCTAAATACAATAGTTTGATTGAAATACATATATATATATAGTATAAACTATATACAATGTACAGTATATACAGTACTTAACAAAATATATTGAAAGAAATTGATTACCTGTCAACAAAGGTAAAACAGTATCAAGTACGTCTACCGATGCTTGATAGCCGTACAGAAGCTGTGATTTCAAACGTTTGCTTCTCAAATACGAAAATGTTTGAATGAAATTCCTAACAAATTCATCTCTAGATAGGCTTTCCAATGTCAGAAGAAGAATATTGAAATTCTTCGCCTTTGTACTAATGTTTTTTGGTTGTACATTAATAAATATATGACTTTTTGGTACGTTTTCTTCCATTCTAGTGTCCTTTGGGTGGTTTTTACTCTCATCTTTATTCTGCTTATCACATTCTATTTCGAATATATCACTTTTCAATTCTTTGAAACTATCCGTATAATTTTTCTTTGTCAAGGTCATTATAGGCTTTTTAGTATATTTATCTGCTGGTTGAAACTCAAAAACGGACAACTTACATTCTTGAGAGCCTGATTGAAAGGATGCTTTCAGAAAAACAAGAGGTTTAAATAATTCTTGACAAGAATTTATTGCAGGAGTCTTGTTGGTAGGGGATAAAATATTCCTAGTAAAGACCGGAAGGTAACATTTCATTTCGTCTAATTTTGTTTTATGTCTTTCTTTACTGGCTTTAATCCTTTTCTCTTGAAGTAAATGTACTTCTCTTTCAAATTCATACTTGGACTCATTCTCTTGTAAGTCACTCTCAGTCTTTATATATAAAAATACAGTTAATAGAATAATTATCAGTGCAAGTAGAGATAATCCAATTTTTGTTCTAAAGAATCGAAGCATTCGAAAGAGAACCAGTTTTACATATCTCATTATTTAAATAATAATAATTATATAAATATGAGCAATAGAAATAAAAGTGGTTCTTAAATTCCGAACAAAGGATATCCCGGGAGTAGAATGCTATCAAGTTGTCGACGTGTAAATGTTGAGGCCGCGTTATTATCTGACCAAAGTTTAATTTAGGCTTAGGGGATCAAAGGTTTAAGCAGAGTATTTTTTTTTTTGTTGCCTAAGCAAGAAAAAGGTTACGAAGTTCATTCTTAAGTAAAAATTCTCAACTATAAAGTGTAATATTCATTCAAGCTATGTGCACAGTTATTACCTCTATCATCTCTTCTCTTTGTAAAATCTTTACTTTAATCAATAATAACCTCTTTTTAAATATTTATTAACGTTTATTACTAATACATACACGATGGATTTTGTACGTGTTTTGTCTAGAAAAAAGGCCAATAGGCGTCTAATTACCTAACAAAATACTTAAGTTAAATTTTGTATTTTGTAATGCTTATATAGTGAAAATGGAATGAAAAACTTGGATTACGTAATCGCTAGATATTTAGATAAGAATAGATAGATAAGAGCTGATAAATTTGATTGTCTCTATATTTTTCTTCTATTTCTGTTCTTTCTTCGCCTATCGATCTCTCTCTCTCTCTCTCTCTCTCTCTCCCTTTCTCTCACTTTATTTAATTTCTTTATGATCAAACTTTAGCGTCAACGAATCAACACCATCACGAAACTTATTAAGGTATAATAGAATTAAGAAAATACAGACCTTCCATCCACAACGCCATCTATTAAAGAAAACATTTTCGAGTGTATCTTATTTAATAATAGTTCTTTCTGTTCTTAACGTTTGATTTTTTATTAATGTAATAAGAATGATAGTAACGAATGTTTATTACTATATGACCTATTTAAATAATCATTTTGGTTCAGTTTATTTCGGGTTTTTTTCATTTTTAGGTTGGCATAACAAGTAATATGTGTAATGTATACTGTCTATATATAGATATTATACAGTATATTAAATAAACCTTTTAAACACCTTAATTTCTATATACTGGCAAAGACAAGGGAAGCTCTTGATATGTCTTTCTAACGTCACCTTTTCCAATTTTCTCGTAATTAACATATTCAAATATTCAGCGCTGTGGTTTAAGATCAGTCTTTCGGCGTCGGATTGACGTTTAGTATTTGACATTATAGGTTGCCGTTCACTCATTTGAATTACGTGACAAGAACCATCTTGGGAGATTTCCGTTAATTCTTTTGAACTAAGCAGGGTTTCTTCTAAATACTCCTGTAGGTATTATTTAATTTCTTAATATATATACTAAACTAAAAAGGTTTCGTATAATGGGAAATATACTTTATAACATTCTCCTCTATTTCAATTTACAAACACTATATAGCAGGGTTTAGATACGAAACGATACGATAAATTAAGAATTAATTGATGTAGCCTCATCATGAATATTTATAAGGCTTATGAATATTAAATACGCGAATGATTTATATACCTTATAATTACATATATACTTTTTGATATACCTACCAGGCAGTAGGATGATTGATAATAGAAGAAATGCAGCTGTTTTGAATATATATACAGATATATATACACAACTTGTTAGTTTATTTAAAGCCTTGTAAGACTTAACTAACGTAATATTTGTTCCAATCTGTCAATCCTAAGTTTTCAATACAAACTAAAATGTCGTGTTTCATTGTGATGGAATTAACTTTACCCAAATGCCTATAGGTGTCGCGTTTAAACTGGAATAGAAAGGAAGTAGTAAATTGAGTAAAAATAGTGAACAAAGCTGGTTTTATTACCTTTCTTTTAGTTAGGCCGGACACACCCATATAAAAGGCTAAAAAACAAGACCAAAGAACGCCAGCGTGCAAGAGGGATGTTTCAATTATTGCCGTATTTGAGACGCAGCTCTCAATGATGGGTACCAAAAGGAAAAATAAAAGTAAAAGTACAGAAAAGAACACACAAGCAAAGACGGAATTATAGCAGAATGAATGCCAACGAAATTTTGGCTGATGCATTAAGTATCTTATTGCCTGTTGATATTCTTCAGCGGGTAATTGCAGATGTTGCGGTAAGGTCGAATGCTTAACGTACTCGCCACCGCACCAATTGCAAGTAGACTTAATACTATGAACAAGAAGACCGTTCTTTGATTTATCAAGCGTAAAACTCTTTTCAGTAACATTTTGACCAAATTTAGTTGAATCTGTTCAAAAAGAGAAAAAGAGAAATTATGAATAAAAGGAAAAAAAAAAGAAAATTCAATTATTTCAATTCAAAAGAGAGAAATATAAATAAATCAAATTGAATGGAAAAACAATTAAAGACAAAATTTAATTACGCAATAAATTCTTTAGTTGTTTGTATGGAAAGTTTTAGTTTGAACGTGAATAAAATAACGATGATTTATAATCGAAGAAACAAAAACAAGCTAAAATTTTTATTTTGACCAACTAGATTAGTAGTAGAACGTTTCTATACGAATAATTACTACTTAATAAATGATTCATTTATAAACATATATGCCATGTCCATGAGATGCGTATAGAATGGAAGCGACTATTAGGGCGCAGTCTATATGTAAATCGTTTTTTTTTTGATTTTTATTCGAACATATGTCATGATTGGGGGAAAAGTTTGATTGAGAGAAAGTAGCAAGACTGATTAACATAAAGAGAGAGAGAGAGAGAGAGAGAGAAAAAAGAAAATGAATTTCCCTCTTTTACTAATAAGATTATTCAATTTTTAACTACTTAACCTTTTGTTTTCTATATTCAATATATAAAAAGTTCAATATTCTTGAATGCAAATAGAAAAGCAAGCCTAATAATCGAATATTGACATAAAGTATAGAATTTTATACGATTATTAAGAACTTTAAAGCTTTTTGAGAATTTTACAATAATTTACTTCTTTCCGCTTCAAATGCTTAAAAGACTATGAAATCCGAATTAATGTTTTTTTTTGCCTTTTTTCTCCACTTTAACCTATTTATATTTCTTTTTCTACAGTTTCTACTCTTCTATCTTTTTATTCTCTCAGTCTCTGTCTGTCTGCCTGTCTCTCTCTCTCTCTCTCTCTCTGTCTCTTTCTTTCTCACTTTCCCTCTTTCTTTTCTCTCTTTTTCTTATAAAAAAATGAATATTTCATGAGTAGAGAGAAAAATATCTTTGCTGTAATATATTTGATGCTAAAAATAGTGAAATTGATTCAAATTGTAACAAAATGGATAAAATACTATGTCTGATACTCTACTAATAAATGATGAAGAAAAATACATTAATCTATTGTTGTGTTTTTTTCCCCTACTATTAAATCGACCTCTTAATGAATAACATTAACAAAATTGCTAGTTCCCTTCAAATTAGCTTTATAGGAATTTCTTAATGAGACGTTAGCCTACGGTGCTCCTTTTTTTCTACTTAAAAGGGCTTCCCTCTTATTCCATAAAATTACTTTTTAATTATCCAGATTGTATATATTAAATACCATAATAATAATTACTTCTTAAATTGCCTCTATTCTCACTGTTTCCATAAATTTCTCATCTTCCTTTTTCGTGTCTAACTATTTCTCTCTCTCTCTCTCTCTCTCTTTCTCTTTTCCTCGCTCTTTTTAATAAATATTGGTGTTTAGCCAGCATCAGATAAGAAAAGGGTTTGTTTATAAGAAAGCAGAGGGTAATTTTCTGAGAAGTAAACTCGAAAGCAGATGCATATCGACAAACCATCAACAATTCCGATACTCGATATCTTAAATTAGCTAATATTGTTTCTTTCTTTGCTCCCTTCCTGGAAGGACATAGGAAACCTTCCCTTAATTACTTTTTCTTGTACGTTAACGTTGTTCAATCATCACTACTTCTCTTTTAAATCGTTAATCTTTGCGAATGAATCTTAAATTCCCTTTTCCTTTTGTATTTTATTTGTTTTTCCTAGTTTGTTTGTTGGACATTGTTGACGGATAAACTAATTTCTAAATATTGTAGACATAGCTGTTTTTCTAGAGCAATGGGATCGGTCAACGTTCGGACAAGGATTAAGCAGGAAATGATCCGGAAAATTGGATAAGGTGAAAAATAAGGTTGAAGTTTAAAATTAAAGCTCTTTTACTTTTATTTTTGTTGTTGATTGGAGAATAGTATGTTTGATGAGGACAATAGAATAAAATTAATGTTTATATACTACTTACACAGTATTCTTTTCTTTAATATAAATACAAAGAAGCAGATCAAATAATAATGTTATTTACAAAAGCTACGCCCCTCGGTACAATTTGGGAATTGCAGTTGCACTGCAAAATATTTCAATTTAACTAGACGACAGTTAAAAATAATAAATTATCATAATAAATTATAGTTTGATAAAAAGAGAAACACAAAAACATAGAAGAAAAGCTCTGCAAGCTATTTCGTACTTTTTGTTAATTTCTTTGAACAATACGAAAAGGAGAAGGAATAGAGAAGAAAACAAGAAAGAGGAAGGAAGGATATGAATAGATTTTAAATAAAAGTAAAATAACAAAAAGGCTTTTCTTTGAAATTGTTTTTCCTTTCAAAATTAGAATTTATTAAAACGGAATTTTGAAGCATCCCAATAGAAATCAATATCATTAGGAAGAGGGAAAAAAAAACAGTTACACATCCTACTTTGTGGCTTGAATCCCAAGCGTTTAATCCAAAAGCTCAAGCTACGTGATCAATTTTAAAATAAAACAACCATCTATTTTGTGGAATGAAAGAAAAAAAGGGGGCAGTTGTTCGAAACAAAAAGAAAAAACAAACAATTGAAGAACAATAGAAAAAAAGAATTAAATAGTTTCTATAAGCTATTGTTATAGGTTAAGTAAATATTAATATGAGGATATAGAAGGACTAGGAAAGATGAATAAAGACATAGAAGCAATAAATAGAAATGTTAAAGTTTAAGATTGCTTTTAAACCGCTTTAACCTAATCTGAATCATTTAGCTTTACTCTAAAACGAGACTAATATCATGTAACGAAACGATAGCCGCTCTCCTATTCTTTTCTATCATAGTCAATTAGCTAAATGGAAAAATCTACAGTAAAAAAGAACATTGGATAAATGAACACGAACCGTATTTAAAATGCTGAAGAAAAAGAGACCACCAATTTTCATCCGTCATTGAATTGAAAAACGTAAAACTCATACGAGAAAGTAGGACTGGCAGTTGACATTCTTTTACCATAACCAGAAGCAATTGCCTATTTTCAGTCGATAAATCGGCTAGTGCTTGGAGGCCGCATTCGCACCAGGGACTCTAGAAAAACCAACAAAAACTTTACAAAACCATTTGCATACGTTTAAGTAGCAATAATTTAATTTATAGATTTTCCCTCTACCTTTTCCCCTCTGCTAAATTATAATTTCCTTAACCCCCCTTTCTTCCCATTATCATTCGACCGGATTAAATGAATAAAAGTCTACTACACAATAAACTCCTAATCAGACAACTACTCAACTATTCTATCGGATGATCAACATCATGCGTTCTTTGTTTATATTCATCAATCATCTAAGCAAGTAAAAGAATCCCATTTTTAGGTCAACTAATAATTTTTCTGAAGGTCATACAATCATCGCTTAGGTGAGCTAAATAAGCTCATCCATTTACAAATTGTGCCAGTTTCTTTTTTGTATAGAGTAGGAAGATTGCAAAATATAATTGACGTGAATGATTGAATAGGGTGAGAAAAGAGAATAGACAAATTAGTACATATATATATATATATATATATATAAATTTCTACAGTATATATTTATATATATATAGATGGAAATAAAAAAAGACAGACATATAGATAGACGGAGGGAAAAGCCCCAAGATGAAGAGAAAGCTCAGGGAGGGGGATAACTTGTAAAAAAAAAAATGATTTATAGTTATAACGGTTTGTTGAACCATTAGTAAATTGCTGACTGATTTATGTTCTAATATAGCTAAGAAAAAAGGTCTAAAGAGATTAATCTATAGAAACAAGTTAGAAGAGAAAGAAAATGATAGGAAAACAAGAAGAAACACTTTTTTTTTTTATAAACAAGCCATCAGGAAAATGCCATGTTGTAATAAATGGAGAAATACGAATGGCATAATGTGCCCAAACTTATCAAGAAATTCTATGCAGCATCTCTATTTGAAGGTCATCTTTTAACAATGAATAAAAGAGAGTTTAGCCCCTACCCCGTCTTTTCACTCTTTATCTTTATTGGTGAATGTGAGAAAAGGAGCAATGATGAAAAGAAAGCGGAAGTTATAGAACTAAGATGTTTTCAAATCAGATGTAAAATTGCTGTCAGTGTCAGATTTAATCAATCAGCTACTTTTCATTGCCTATTGATTTCTGCTCTTTCTCCCATATTGCCGTATCTCACATATATATGTAGGGATATCGGTAAATTTAGGCCTATTTATTACTTACTTCCTTTTCCTGTAATTTCAGCCTCTGTGAGCTACTGACTAAACGCCCTACCAAAAGTGATAGCTATAAGCAGAGAAAGAGAGAGAGAGAAAGAGACAGATCGGGGGAGAGGGGGACGTACTTTGAATTTTTGATAAACTCTCTTTAAAGGCTAAGATCCAACCCAATACACTTTAGTAAAGATGAAATTGACTTCCGGATTTAAAGAGCGGACAGAGTCTAGGGAAATAACATCTTTTTTATGAAGAGTGTTGTCAGAATGATTGTAGTTGGCATTAATGAAATTCTTGTAGAAAAAATAGTAATGGGAATAGTCGTATATGAAAAATAAACCACTCTTTACATTAGCATTAGCCTCACCAACCATGTATCTGTTCCCTTTCCCTGTGTTTCCTTCTAACGCTTTACTTTACCACAAGAATTAATAGAGTTGTCCATTCCAGCAATCTTTAATAGTACCTCCAAACAAAATGAGATAATTGAATGCTAATAAACAAAATGCTACGAAAGTAGTAGGGGTGAAGCCTGAAAAAGGAATTAGGACCTTGGAAGTCCGTCAACACGGACATCTTTTAATAGTATAACCGTGTATTAGGCTCAGAAAGATGAAAAGGAACATGAGAGAGAAGTGATATTTCTTGGATCAGTGATGTCTTTTTTTTTGCGTTTAAATAAGCAAAACATGAAAAATTGTTAAATGAAACAAAAGAGAAATGGGAAAAGGGACAAGAAACAGCATTTTAAAGTAATGGAGATTTTTTTTTTAAAGGCACTTTCAACACTATTTTTTCATTAAGAATAAAATAGAAATGTTAATTTTTCATTTTAGATAAATAAAGAAACGGTACAGAATTAAGAAAAACAAAACAAAAAAACAAAAAAGAGACGCTTTTACCATAAAAAAAAAAGTTAATTTTAAACATATGTGCTTGCAGGTCGTAACAGATTAGTATCTACTGTGAAAAAATTCTCGCCAATGCCTGATTAAGAAGCGGGAAAAATCTCGTTTGCATTCCGTATGCGTATGAGCGCCAATTTCCATGACGACTTTGATATATGACAATTTCCATAGAGTATTACCCTCCTGGGTTTTGCATGGTTATAAATACACAAAAAAATAGAAGGGAAATATTAATATAAATACCTGCAAGAAGCTTGGAGACAGGAGAAGTATTACCTTCCTCGCTCTTCTTAAATGAGAATGAGAGTGGCAGAGGGCCAGAGATGCATCTAAATCGTCGTTGGAGTAGTAGCAATTGACATTTATAGATAATTCATTAAGTTTTTCTCCAACTTTTCTTGCCCAACTTCTGTCCTGGTCAGCATGTAAGAAAAATACAGTCGTCTCGCTTGTCATGCTTAGAATAGATAGTACAGCAGCTCGAATTATAGATGTCGCTAGTGAGTCGTAATTTGTTTTCCAGAAGAATGTATAGCAGTGTAAAGGAATAATTTTCTTTATAGCCATACAATTTACGAGTCTATTCTAATAAAGCCCGAAGAAATGTTTCCATTCAAAAAGTTCTCCTATTCGTTTAACCAACCAGACATAATCCAGGTCATGTTGAACAAATACATGACATTAACAAAGAACAAATTCAAGTATATTTTTCGACCTATTCCACTTATTCAGTTTGTCCATATCTTCTTTTTTCCTTTATATTTTTTCTGTGCCTCCTCCATATTCCTCAGCTTTCTTGGCTCCATCTTCATTATTTATGATAACTATATAATACTTTAAGCGAAAGATGGAACAAATATTAATTAGAGAGAATAGCAAGATTAGAATGATAAGAATCGTAAATTTAAAGAAAATACTAGGATTTGGTTCTAATTACGATTGATGTTATATTATTGAAGTATTACAAAGGAAAGGTGGGGAATTTTTGTAGAATAGCTTTCTTTATTGTCTATAGTAATAGGAGAAGAATGCATAGAAAAAGGAATTTTGTTTTCAAAAAGAAAAAGCCTCTTTTCGATAATATTCACTCTATTGTCTTCAAACCAATACGCCTCAACCTAACTTAACCGCCTCTTTTCACTTATTAAACTTGGTAGTGATTCAAATGATGGGGGAAAGAAACCATACTTTAGTCCATTTTTTTTAGATAATTTTAATTAAAATCCTATTCATTCTTCTCCTCTCCTCTCCTCTCTTCTTCCTACTGCCCTCTTCTTTTTTTACTGGTTCTTTTTTAAAAGCGCGATTCATAAAAGAAGGAACGAGCAGAGAAGAGTAGAAAAGAGAAAAAAAATCTTTATTATTCAGCTCTGCTCTATAACTTGGAGTAGTAGATCAATGAGAATCTTGAGGAATTGTCTAAATATACTATTATGTATGGACATTTTTTGCAATAGATGACAGTTTATATATATATTTTATCCTCACTTTTTACGCTACCCTATATTGTATTAGATGAGATATAGAAGAAGAAAGAAAACTCAGAGTGTTTCAAGAATCAAATGTATTTAGATAGCGTTACAAATTATATTATCTGTGACGTTTTTTTTTGTTCTAGCATCAAAGTTAAAGCTACGAGGATAAAGTTTTCTAGATGAATTACTTGGTACTGTCATGTTCATAAGTAAAATAAGGAATAACCATGTTTGATTAACGACGAACTCTAAAGCAGTAGATATATAGAACCTAATTGGACCAACGACCCGTAATCCATTCTTCTTCATTTTTAGATTGGTATCTTTTTTTCATGTTTTGATTTTATTCCTTTTCGAATAGTTGGAATTAGGGGAACTGATAGAAAAATTGTTTACAACCTCCACTGGATGCAACTTTTAGACTGACCCAATTTTCAGTGACCATCGAACAACGTGCACAAAATGAAAAGATAACGAATTAATTCCGATGTCTTCTTTCGCGTTACTTCGAAAAGGGGACAGGTGTTGTCAAAATAACGAACATCCCGTTACCTTGACAAAGAGAAATTGTCATTAAGATAGATTAGAATAGGATGATTAGACACTTTATTGTTGATTACATTAAAACAAAGTCAATTAGGGCCACGATGAGAGAAAAAAGTAATTAGAAAAGACCTTTAAGTTTATAATTAAAGGGTTATCATTAGAAAGATTAAATAGAAAATCTTAATGAATAATTATATAATAAAGACTAAAAGCAGGAGAGGAATGTCTTTGGTAAGTTTATGCTTAAAATGAAAAGATTAAAATAAATTAAATCAAGATAAATAAACTAAACTTGAAACTCGTGATTAAATTTCTTTTCTTCGCCTCTATAACAACACCAGATGTCGACAAAAGTCGATATAAGCCATTTAACTTTTGTACCAGTACAACATATATTTAAAAGCTAAACGCTAGATGGCAGTATTAAACCTAAATTATCGATCTTGCGCGCTATTCTGTGTTCCGATTAAATATTCATGAACCTTGCTGTAGCAGGCCAGCTTAGAAAATCGGCATTGCAGAATGTCTGATGGCGGAGAGAGTTTGGAAGAGCAGGGGTTGGGGGCTAAAGGTAAGATATTGATTTAACAGTTATTTAATTGAAGTTGTATATATATACAGTTAGCTTTTATAAACATGTTTATAAGAAATCTTTCTACTTGTAGCCGAGGCCGGCGGAACAGAAGAAGAGCAAGAGCTGGCAACTAAAACTCTGCATATACAATCGAAACGATTCTATCTAGATGTCAAGCAGAATAAGAGGGGACGATTCATCAAGATTGCAGAGGTCTGTGGCATCTGATAGGGTGTGATATACAATTTAATAGGGCTATTATCATACGGTTTGTGTACATTTTTTTGCGCATTTTTTATATACCAGTTTTTTCTGGTAGTGACATCTGTAAAACCGCTAACCAGATTGATAGATAGATCAACGGTAAGATATAAAAATGGGAGGAAAAGGGTGGGAAAGATAGATAGACTATAGGCAAGAAAAAGAGCAAGAGACAAATTAGAGTTGTTATAGAGAAAGGGGAGGTTGAACGGAAGAAGAAAGAAGGAGAGAGAGATAACAACACAATAGACAAGAATAAGAAATATATATATATATACTGTATATATATATATATATATATACTGTATATATATATATATATATATACTGTATATATATATATATATATTGTATATATACACGTGCATGCATGCAAAGATCTAGATAGAGAGATAGGTGAAGTAGGAAGCGAGGGCGAATGACACTAGCACTTTAAACGAAAAGAGTATATAAAAAATCTCTGAATCCACTCCCTTTTGAAATATACATAAAACCATAAAAAAAAAATCCAGGGTTGTATAATGCACCTTGCTAACAAAAACGTTTTGTAATAAACTGACTTGTTAATAATAACAAGGTTTTATTTAATCTACTTTTTCATCACGCACTTGTCCTGCTAGTATTACTACTTCTCTTCCTACTTTATCTACCCACATTCCTCTTCCCTTGTCTTTCTCTCGCTCTCTCTCTCTCTCAAAACAAAAATATCACACCAGCGTATACAATTATTTATCTTAACGTAAATTTTTGTTTGACAATCAGTAAATCACTAGAATTTTTAATTAAGCAACGTTCATGAGTAGTAAAATAATTAACAAACTGTAGACTATTGCTAATGCTTGTCCTAGTTTATATATCACGAGTCTTTGTACCTCATTAACGAGTGTTATCGTGTTAAGAAAGTAGTTTTCATACAACCATTTACCTTGTTTCTTAATAATTTCTTCAGTTTATTTTCCTATAGAGAAGAAATAAAAGATTACATAGATATTATACAGCTATAGACCAAGTGCAAATAGAATAAAAGAATGAGTCTTTTCTCTTTTCATTGTTATGAGCAGTCTTTGGTAGGATTATTAAATTATTGAATTACATATGCTATACATTTATCGAACTAGTTTAAATTCCGTTACTATATTAAAGAAGTTGAAATATTAAAGCAAGGTTAATATTTAACAACTTCTTACTTATTGTTGGTAAAGTTCGGGAAATAGTCTCTCTCTCTCTGTCTCCCTCTATGTCATACTCTCCTCCCCTATCACTATTTTCTCTTCTCTTACCTGCATATACTACTGAATTGATAATGCTAAGAATTGAATTGTGAAACGAAAACGAAGAAAGACTTTCAGTCATAAAAAAAGTCTTTGGCTAAAGATTAGCCCTAACTTAATACTTTATAGGTATAAACTAGGTAAATATTTAACAAAAAAAATATCCCTTAACCAAAAAAACACTGTTTCCAATTGTAAAAATCTTCTCTTTGAATGTAATTTATCATTTTATTCTTATATCTTTTACATAAATAGAAAAGCGTTAATAAACTTTAATAGCGAAAGATGTTTAATTAAATATATACACGGCATACGTAAACTGGTTTAAAGATAAGTGGTATATCGTGAATAGATCTCAAATTAGGATGGGGATAAAGTAGTTGAAGGAGCAGTGTACACTATATATTTGTATATTTTGAATAGATATTATATGGAAGGTAAAAGGACTAAGGAAAGGTAAAATTGTAAGATATTTTCAGTTCTTTTTTATCGAACCCCTATTGAATGATAATAGACGAATATTGAAATGTTTATCATAAGATCTATATGAATTTTCAGTTAAACGTATTGTTATAATTTCGAGTATTTTTTATTATAAAAGCCCTAAAGGATTGTTAAGTTTTATTTATATTTGCATGGAATATATCAATTCCAAATACATATTCTTTATGATTACGTAATGATAAATTGACTATTTTATATATTTAGATGATGTTATCTGGAGAGAAAGCATCTCGACTAAACCGAAAGAATAGGCTTTTACTCCCAATGTCTACGGCCGGTGAATTTCGGGACCACTTGACAGAGTTTATTGAAATCTACAGTTCTTTAGGACCAGCTAACGCTAATGCAAGTGGAACGGAAGATGTAAAGATTAAAAGTGAGTCCATGATTAAGGATAATCGCCGGTACTATTTGGATTTAAAAGAGAACGCTAGAGGTCGATTCCTAAGAGTTTCGCAAACTGTTCCTATATCGAACTTTAGATCTCAAATTGCAATCCCGGCTCAAGGTATGGTCGAATTTCGAGATAGTCTGACTGATCTTCTGAAAGAATTTGGAACTGATGATATGGGTAGGTCATTTTAATTTATATACCAAGTATACGGGTATACAATATTTTGCTAGTCATCACCTCATATGAATATAGACATGTATAAAATGATGAGCTACACTGAAAATGTCATAGTAATATGTGAAACAAAAAAATAAGAATAAGATGGAAGATTGCTGACTTGATCTTTTCTTCTTTACTTATATAATCAGAAATTAATTGATCATTGTGGTCCAATTACGGAGTATTATTAACTTAATTAGTAAATAAGGTTTTATATAGAAGGTTAATGGTGAGAACACGCGAGTACTGAGGGAAAAGATGATAATAAAAAGAAAGAGAGAAAAGAAAGAGAGAAAGGGAAAGAAAAAAAGAGGAGAACATTTTTGTAAGAGAATGAACCTCTAACCTCCCTCTCCCTCTATTCCTTTTAAATAGATTGAAAAAACTGTTTTTCTCTCTTTTTATCACGGCAACCAGATGATTATAAAAGGGAATATAAAGTATATTCTTATTGAAATTCTTTTTCGTATATAACGCTCTTCTTTTCAGTTTTTTTCCATTTCCCTCTTTAGGCAAATCAATGCAACAAATAGTAATATAGTAAAATTCTCCGTATATAAAACAAAGGTGTCAATTTTCAATCAATTCTAATGCTTTTATATTTAATAATAACAAAATACCAACGGCTGACGGGTTATTACGTCAATTGGTTAGCCCCTAAAAACTATTCTGAATATATTGTGCACCTAATGAGTGAGATTTTCCTTAAGGCTATGACATTTGAGAGAGATGGAATAATTAATGAAGCAAAAAATTACCATAGTTTTTTAAGTAGTTAGTTTAGTTTAATGACGACACTAATATGTTTAAATCAGCTATTAATGTTATCTAATAATTGTTATAATCATAGTATTACAAAAAAAGAGAACAAATTTTACGATTACAATAAGTAATCCTTTGTTTTTTTAAAAAAAAAACCAGAGATTTTTTTCCTTATCCAGTTATTCGTGTACCGTATGGATCAAATTGTGTCAAGAACATCTGGTACATGTTGTAAGCCTAGGGGAAAGAAAAAAAATACTATGTTTCTTAATTCTATTAAAAGGTTATGAAAGAGTAAAATTTTCTTCAAACTGCTCTCCATAATGTACGGAAATAACACATTGGGATATGTAAATTAAGACGACGAAAAAACCCAAATGTTATTGTAAGAATAGAGAAAAAATACCAAATAGGAAGAAAAAGACAATTGTTTCCTCTAAGCCTATAGTTAAAAATGTAAGTAAGATATTAAGATAGAGATGAAAATAGGAATAGAGAGATAGATTGAAAGATAGGGAGGATAAATATAGCAACATTAAAAATTCTAAAAGTATAGTATTAATTAGGCAGCTATTAATACAACATGCTCCTACTACGTGATGTTTACTCTAATTTCTTATTATCGTAGTAATTCAGCGAAAAAGAGTATTTAATATTAAATTAGACATTGATTACTTTTGTTCGTTAATCCTCTTTACTCCTCATAGCTTTGTTTCTAATTGGTGATGCAAATGATGATAGTATAGTTAAATAAACTTATGTAAAATGTAATACTAGTCTCTTTTTGTTTACTGTTTAAGTTAAGTTCAGTTGTTTCGATGATATTAGGATGAATAACATTACAAAAGAGACTATAGATAGAGTAGGAGGAATGGATAATTAATATGATAAACCAATTGAATTTTAAGTAAATTGTTTTTCAGCATCTTTTTATTCTGACCAGGAAAAAATTCAATTAAATTTCACACTCTTTTTCCTTCTGTGTCACGAATTATTCATTTGTTGTAGAAAACTCTGTCCATTTGGCCTATAATGATCTAGAATATATCATTTACTAACATCTCTTTTTTTTTCTTTCTCTCTTCTTTTGTATTTCTTTCTTCACTATGCCGCCTCCTTAAATAACTTAGGTCGATAGTATGGCTGATCTGTAATGTTTTTATTGCGAGTATCGTAACATAGTATATAATGGGGGAATGGAAGAGAGAATGGGAAGGAGGGAAAAGAAAAGAGTAGTGGATATTTTGTTAAGAAGAATGTATTGATTTTTGTTTCACAGCCTGTGCTAAAGCTGTCTCTTCCTCCTTCACTTTCCTCTTCCTAGAACATTTCACCTTGATAAATTTTATAATCTCTTTTCACACTATTTCCACTGCGGCCCCCTCCCTGAACACTCTATGAATATACTATATATACATAAACGAATTTCATTCATTTTCATGCATACTCATAGCAAAAAAAAATCATTTATGTAAATAGCCGAATCGTTTCCCTCACAGTTTGACTTCAAACCATCAGTGTCAATATTAAGGAGTTTGAATGATTAAATTTCCTGTTTTTTCGGGTTAAATATTAATTTATATAATAGAAAACATACTTAAAAGAAATATTATAATAGAGAAGAGGTAAAGTCTGTAAAAATTGAAAAGAGACTGTTAAGCCAAGTATCTAGTTCATATATAATTCGTGAAAGTATCCGTATGGTATATCGAAAGCAATAGCAACATTAAGATAGCTATGGTAAGCGAGAGAGCCGGCTCTCAGAGAGAAAGATAATAAAGTAGAGTAGTTTTGTAGTTTTATAAAAGTTTGTAAAAAGAAAAAATGAAAGGAGAGAGAAAATATTTTATCATAGCTATGCATATATATTAATGAATTATTTGTTAGAAGCAGCCCAGTTTCTACACTCAAGCAATTACATTTATTGACTAACTGTGAAAAAAAATAACAATAAATTGGATTTAAAAGGGTAGATTACTAAATAAAAAATAGAAGCCTATATTAGAAACTAGCTAAAGTTTATACCGTATATATATAATGTAAAATTGCAACGCAAAATGTATTGATTTTTAAATGTACATATTATCTTTTCTAAGATTATATTTGTTTACTTCCTTCTTTTCTTATGGACACGTTTATAAGAAGTCAACGAATAAATGATTACTGGGAGAGATGAAATAAACAGTCTATGATTTCATAAGAAAAGAATTGTCGTACTATATACAATCTTTTTTCTTTCTCTGTCTTTGTCTCTCTCTCTCTCTCTCTCTCTTTCATTCTCTTTTTCTAGAGTTTGAAATATGAACATAAATTAGATTTTACAACAACTTCATAAAAAGAAATCAGAGTATTTTAGACCTGAAAGATTATCATTTGTATAAGACTACTATTTGATGTCTTTTTAATATGTAGTTCTCTTTAAATAGCTTTTTAACTCTGGCTGTCTTTTTCACCCTTTACTCCCCGCCCCAAAATAGTCATAAAGAGAGAAAATAACGCAGAAATTGGCCTCTTCGTTTGAGCCTACTATTACAGCTCTTCTTAAAAAGTCCTTGAATTTTTTCCCAGGCCTACTTACAGTCTAAATATTTTATTTGGAATTCAAGTAAAAAGCACAAAATGCTGCCATCTATAGTATAAATTATAATTTAGAAAAATGTTGATACCATTTCATTATTAATAAATTATTAATACATAATCGTTTTTTGCAGAGAGCAAAAATGGAAAAGAAGCTGATCTTCCCCAAGCTCGTCAAATTAGAGCGGATAACAAGATGTTCTACTTTGACGTTGGTCAGAACAAGCGTGGTACTTTTATGCGTATTTCTGAAGTTCGACGAAATTTGAGAACAGCTATAACGATCCCAGAATCAAGTTGGGAGAGTTTTCGGGATGTTTTAAATGATTTTCTGGAAAATAAGCCGAATACTACTAGTACTACTACTAATAATCAAGAAGGTGAAGCTTCGTCATCCTGATCCGTCCACTACAATTGGAAAAAAAGGAAAAAAGAGAAGATAAGAAACATTAATATATACATTATTTTAAAATATGAAAAAATGGAAATTTAAAGAAAATGAAAACCTAGCAAAAAAAAAGGAAAATAACTATAAAATATGAAATATTTTGCATCCTGCAGTGAAGTTCAAATTAGAATTTTGCTTGGAGTAGGACGGAAAAAATTTGTTTTTAGCTGATAGAAATGTTCTCACTTTTCGTGTTTGGGTCTTTTAGTTTTTAATACACACAACTTCCTGCAGAAGACTTTTATATACAATTATATAATTATATATATATATAAATATACAGTATATATATATATATATAATGTGCTACTCTTTGCCCTCAATTCTTTCATAAAAATTAAAAAGTCTCTATGCACCTAATGAAATTATGAAGAAGAGAGATACATCTCTTTTCTTTAATAATATATACAAACTATTCGCCATTAGCTAGGAGTAACAAGACAATAAATAACCTTTTCTACATAATTCTTTCCCTGCATTTATTATTCCTTTTAAACCTGATAGCCCATCGAATAGCTTAGTAGACCTAATGAATAAAAAAGGAAAATGTCTTTTTTAATATTTTATATGAATATTAAGAATTTATGGTTCATATACCAAGTTTCTTTCCGATCGAAAAAGAATCTTTCGCTCTTTATTTGCTGTTTCTTCTTTATAAACTTTGGTAGACTTTCCTCTATACCTAAAGCTAAATCGATTTGTAAGCTTAATTTTCTAGCTACAGCTTTCTTCCTAAGAGCATTAACGTCATCTACCGCTAAACCAGTTAATAAATTCATTACAATAATTGCCATTAAAATGAGAAAGATGACAAATATTATATAAGATGTGAAATTCCTGTGAGACTCCATTTCGAATAAATCGCCAAAATCCATCTCTCCGATCATCATTACAGAAGTCTATAATATATCATTTTATTGTTATCCTTATAATAATTATTTAATCTATATGTATCTCTCATTACAATAGGTATTAGTGTGACAGAGGAGAGGGAAAATGAGATAAAACAAGAAAATGATATAATGTCTACTTTTAGAATTGATGTTGAAAATTGTTTAAATAGGTCAGTTCTATGGAAAACAATTTGAAATGTACATGAGAAGGCCAGAACAAAAAGTAGAAATACGAAAACAAAATTAACGAATGATTTAAAAATTTCTATTATCATGGCAACGTAAATTCCAACTGAAGAGAATTTTCTCAAGTATAAAATCAAATTTATCCAAGCTAATAGAACTCCTATAGAACCAATTTCGAATATTATTAGATCAAAATATACAAAAAGTGACGCCGTGTAAGTTAGCACGTCCAAAGCGTTTTCAAATTTGAAATAATTCTCTCTCTGTATTATGTTGACAATGATTTGTATTATTTCAAAGAAGAAACCAAGAGATGCTAGTATCAGCAAAGACAATTTCCAGAAACTTCCAAATCCTCTTTCTTGCTTTAATAAAACCACATTATAGCATAAGAGAAATAACGTATAATTAATGAGAAAGGTAAAATAGAAGAAAGCCGAAAGAAACCACTTTTTCCTTAGTAGTGCCAGAACGAGAGGATGATTTAGTAACGTTTCGTTTTCCGATTTAGCAATAGCGTATAAAGGATGATCTAATTTCTTTTTATCTTTATTTATTAATTCGTAATCAAACTCTATGAATTTCTTGTTTCTCAACTGACTATCGTCATCCTTATAAACTTCAATCGTTATACATTGATTTAATACTAATTCCGCTACGTTGGGCATATATTCAATTAAATTTTTCATTGACCTTATCGACTTGCGCCAATTTTTTGAGTTGACTATCAAAATGGCGCAAGACTCGTAGTTGTTTTTATAGCAATAATCTAGACAATTGTCTCCCTTCGAGTCTTTTGCATCGGCTTCGGCACCTCGCTGCAAGAGGCATTCGACTACCTGGATTAGGAATAGTCGAAGAAAATTAGCTCTATTAAAATTCATAATAAAGAACATAGCTGAGAGGAGAGGTGAGACAGAGCACGAGATTGAGAATAAGAGAAGAGAGTGTGAGAGAGAGAGAGAGAGAGATAAAAGAAATGAAATAATAAGTAATGTATAGATAAAAGGAAAATGCGGAGCTGTTTGACACAAGAATGCAAGAAACCTCTATTCTTCCCTTTTCGCACGCTATATGTAATGGAGTTTTTAATCCTAGTTTTTCCTTTATATTAACATCAGCATTGCTGTCGATCAACAGTTCAACAATATCGCTAAAGCCATTAGACGCTGCAAAGTGTAGAGGTGACCATCCATCAAAATTTCTATCATTCACAATTAGTGGACATTGATTTAAAAACGTCTTTACAATTTCCAAATGACCTTTTGCGCAAGCTATATGCAATGGAGTATCAAAATCTTCATTCTTATGATAACAAGAGATTGAATATTCGCTACAAATATTTAAATGGTTGTTAAGAGCTGCATGGTGTAGAGCAGTATTTAACTGTTCGTCTTGTTGACTTACATCTAATTTTAGATCTAGGATAAATGTATAGAAGAAGAATTCTAATTAAGACATTGAATAAATTGATTAAAAGAAATTCTCCTAACCGGAAACTTTAGCTAGAAAATTGACAATTTCTAGATGGCCATTTTTGGCAGCAGTGAGAAGGCAGTTTCTTCCGAATTTATCAACGCTTGTTAGTTCCATTTCCATGCTATGATTCTTTAAACATTCGAAAAGGAGTTGGGTTGTTGATAAATGGCCATTTTCGCAAGATAAATGCAATGGATTTCTTCCGAATTTGTCTCGGTCTTTGAGGAATTGGACACTCTTAGAGAGAATTTTTACTATCATCCGGTCATGACCGGAAGCGGATGCTCTTAGAAGAGGAGTCCTAAAGTCTGCATCAGTTACTTTTAGATCTATTTCTATATAAAAGTAAATAAACACTTGTATAGTTTATATATATAAATGTATAAACAGTATATTAAACTTCTAAAAACAAAACTATTAAGAGATTTAAAACCTTCTAAATCTATTAGATATTCTGCCAAAACTCCGTTCTTTGAATCGGCAACAAGATGCAATGGGGAATTCATTTGAGAATCTTCTAAGTTTACGAAGGTTCCAGTTTTTATCAACACCTCTGCTGCCTTTTTATAAGCGTCTTGAACTTTTACATCATTAAGGGTCTTAGCACAGGCAATATGCAAAGCAGACGTAACCGTCTTGAAATGACTACACAGAATGTTCACATTTGCTCCGTACTTAATTAATTCGCGTACAACAGCAGGTAATGGAATATAAGGAAAGTGTTCAAAAGCTAGATGTAACGCAGTTTTTCCCAAACTATTCCGAACGTTGACAAAGGTAGTTTTATTTTTAGACGCTGCGCACAACCGCTTCAGAAAGGACATTTGTAGTCTTGATTTACCGCCATTCCAATTTGTAGAAAGAGCTACGTGCAGTGAAGTTGTACCTTCGTTGTCTTTTGCTTCAACATTTGCATCATTATCTATTAGCATACTTAAAAGAGAAAGCCATTAATCGCTGTGTCCTAGAGTTCTTATTATCATTAATTTATTAATTAATTACATTATAACTATAAGTAGATGAATATGAAAAGTTTTAAATTGCTTAAAGTATTTATAAGTTTAACAAACGCTAGAGACATCTAGTGGAATGGTTAAATGTATTTTTTTTAAACAGTATATATAATAATACGGTAGTAGTATCTATCTTTGTCTACTTTATATATATTGTGTATATAAGCTAATAGGCTTGTCATAGGAGTAGTTTTTCACTTACCTGCATATATTTGTCCAACCACATTTGACGCTTTCAATAAGAGCAGTCGATCCGAAATTATCGACAGCCTCAATGTTCAAGTAACTTTTATACTTCATTAAGCTTTTAACAAATTCTTCATTGTTTCTACTTACTGCCACATGTAGTGGAGTTAGACCGATCTCATCTTGAACTTTTAGGCAATTTTCATCGAATTTCGTACAGATGTTAATGAACGATAGAATTCTGTCTATATCATTAAGTTTTGTATTCTTTGCGGCGTAGTGAAGCGCATTTTGCCCTCTGTTATCATTTGTAAAGAACAGACTAGGACTCAATTCCATAAGCATTTTTATAACTTCTACATGCATATTTTTTGCAGCGTATAGTAAAACACTGGCACCATTTTCGTCACGTTTGTGCAGTTCCTGTCTGGAGAGATGTTTCAATTGATCAATTTGACCTTCGGAAGCTAAATTAAAAACATTTGAAGCTTTCGCCGTCGAATTGGTATCTTTAATAGAAATATTGCTAAACTCTTTAGTTGTCATCTCTATATTTGTCATGTTTATTGAACAGACAGAGAAGAGACAATACACATGTAATTTTCATAGAAGTAATTATACTATAACGTAATGGGCAGTAATTTTAACCTATTATCTTATCACGTGTTAACTAATAGTACGGGATGGGGGAGGGGAGAGGAAGGCGGCGGGAGGGGGGTAATGAACTGCAAAAAAAAGGAAATAGAAATATGACTTCAATTAAATATTAGAGAGTCAGTATTCCCTGTTTATTTTTATAAATAGCTACAAATATTACTTGGAGCTGAAAAAGAACAAAAAGAGACAGCGATCCCTACAACAATCGAGTCAAAGTGATTAAGATTAATAAACTGTCGAAGCGAGGGTAGTCTGATAAGAGTGTCAAATGAATTGTCCTATTTAGAGAATAAGCCTATTGAAAGGATATAAGATAAAGCACACAATTATATATATAATCGTATATAAAATGAGCTAAATATAGGACTAAATTAATTCAAAAAAGGAACAGTACAAGAAGCAAACAAGATCGATAAGAGTAAGTAAACGATTTGAATAGTTTTTACTTATTGTTCAATTAATACGTGAAGGTAGACTATATATGTTTACAGATTGCTCTCAAACGTTAATATTGATTATAGCAAGCAGAGAGTATGACAGAATTTTAATTGTGTTGTATATTCGTATTAAGTGTAGATCAATCTATCCCGACATTCTTCATATTTCTGATCAAGAATAGATTATAGGCTTGAATTGTTTGAACAAACATTCAACGTAACGAAATAAAGTAATTAAAGGAGAAGAGAACTTGCAATGTTTATAGAATATTGCTAAAAGAGTAGGACTGTGTAAAAAGAAAAGAAAAGAAAAGAGTAGATTGTAATGATGGTATTATCAAGTTTATTGAACTAGATATTCAAAAGTAGAATAAATAGTAATATTACCTATAAAAGCAAAAATATATTAATTACTTAATAAATGAATGAAGAGAGATAATTATGCAAATATTTGCTACTGTCTCTCAGTACGACTAATCTTTCGTTTTGAATTTCCCGTTACGTAATTATTTAACCATTTATTGCATTTGGATATCGCTACTTGTTTTTCATAACCAGTTGGTTCTTCTGCATTCACTTCTACCCGTTTTTCTTGAACATAACGACAATCATAGCCAATTGGAGTAATTTGGAATGATTTTTCTCTTTTTAAGTTTGAATAAGCTAATTGTTGTTGGTTGTATTCGTTATTGATAGGAAGTGATTGTTCATCCAGTCCGCAAGTAGAGTTACAAGCACCATCAACGATTCCATTACGAATTTCTCTACTTTTAAACCTCTTACCATCCTCCTCCTGTCTCACTCTGTTTGATCTGAAGAGAACGATAGATACGAATTGAATATAGATTTGTAAAACTGTTCTACCTGTCTGTCTATTTATTAATAAACTTTTCATACGCAATTGTTTTACTGTATTAATTAAAAGTCACTAAATAATTACTGAAACAATATAAAGACGAAGAGGAGAAAAAAGCTCTCATTTCGTATAAATTATTGTTTATAGACTAAAAAGATAGATAATTAATTTCTTCATATTTTCTTATAGACGTCGATTAGTCTTAAAACAAGAGAGCCCCTTATATAGGCTTACGTCTGTATGTATTTATTTATAAATATATATGTTTAAATAGAAATTTTATAGCTCTTTTCACCCATTCTTATTAAAATTATAAACGGCTAATAACAATCATATTAATAAAAGAAAATAGTATATTCTCTTTGTGATAAGAATACATTAGAAAATAGATTAGGTTGGCGAAAAAGAAAAAAAAAAGAGCCGATTGAAAATAAATCTCTCATAATAAAGATTGACAATAATGTATTTAAATGATAAGATCGTTTTGTTAATGTAAAAAAATCGCAAGTTAATCCTACTTGCCCTGGATTCAAACTTTACTAAATATACGTTTAAAACTATTGCTATTTTATTGGTTTCTATAAAATATTGAATGTAAGAGTATGCAATATACAGTATATATATAATATATAGTGTACAAGTTCATTTTGCTTTCTTCTTTCTCTTTGATTCTCTTGAAATACTATGCATATTATTAATTTAAACTTAATAAATGAACCAATCGAACCGGATGACTTTTCAGGTAAAATAAAAACCAACTAAATAGTATAGAGGGCCTAATTAATGTTCATTTATCTATAATCTATTCAGTTTTCTTTGATTGGCTAATTAGCCCGACAGAGAGGGAATTCTTACCTGTTACGATCTTTGTAGTCTGAACTCCATTTTCTCACATTGTCTTGTTTTAAGTCATCGAGAACAAGTCTAGCTTCAACCGACAAGGTTTTCTTTTTTAAAGATTTATCAGCATTTCCCTTCGATTCGTTCAAGTAGACGTGCCGATACTTGACTGGCGTTCCCTTCAGCATTCGATATTGAATTGTTTGTTCGAAGCTCTCTCTCTTTTTTTGTTTTGTATTTTGTCCTAAATTAACTCTATTTATATCTATTCTTTTTCTTCTAATTTACTTCTCTGTCTCTGAGGACCGGCTATTTTTAAGGTTATTGATAAGATTAAAGCTTTAAGTAAAGATGAACAAATAAACAAAACAAAAATTAACTTTTAATTTTTCCTTACTATTAGAGGCAGTTAAATACCTGCTTGTTTATTTGTGAAGATTAAACCGGCCTTATATATTAAACGTTGATTGTCGTCGAGTGTAAAAATCGGTATAGTGAACAACTATAATCCGATCGACGACCGTAATCCTCTTAACTGCAGCTTCGTCCGAATTACCTCCCTCTAGCGGGATTTATAATAACCAATTATTTAGTTAGAAAACTTAGCATGTTTTAACGGCTCCTTTCGTTTTTGTCTATTCAAGACAAATTTAAAGTGAATGTTTATTTAAAATAGAACAAAAAAGAAACCGGCAACAAAGCTCTCCTATTAAAAATCGAGGTCGTCTTTAGATAAAAAGCAAGCCAAGTTTAGAACAATCTTCTTATCACTATTATTAAATAAGTTGACTTTTTTACTTAAACGCATACATGTATATCAATATTTATAATCACTGGTTTATTCATGCCCTATATATCATAGATCTTTGTCTTTCTTGTTTGAATTTCTTACAACACTCCGCTCTCTTCCATTCTAGAGTTGATATGGAAGGAAATCTTGGAAAGAAAATGAACAACTCAGACTGTAGATGTCACTGAAAAATGGTTTATAAACAAATTGATAATATTTTGTATTTATTTAAAGAAAATCAATTATTTCTTTTACTTGGAATATTGACAATATAGATTGCAGATCATTGTATACATTTTATTGAAATACTCTTCTTATGAAACGGTTTTTTTTTATCAAAAACGCGGTAAAACTAAAGGTAATGAATCAGTTCTTTTAGTAATAACAGACGCCTTTTTAAAAAGTCTTCTTGTATATATATATATATATATATATATATATATATATATATATATGTATATATCCAATCATGTGTAAACAATAGAAAATGTGGGACAAACTGACTCTGAAAGTACATTGTCTCTTCTTCAAAGCCCTAAAAATATTTTATCTTGCAGAGTTCTTTTTGTTTTCTGGTCCAAAACTTGTCTTTTGTTTAAGAAAAGAGAAGGAAGATATTAAATAATAATTTCTTAAATAATTCTATATCTTACGATGATTTAGTCAAGTTTGTCAATATTTCTTCAGCTACTCTATCATTTCCACATTTCCTTAGAACTGCGACAACAGTTGGTAATTTATCGCCTTTACGAAGTAAAATTTGGAATAATTCTGTGCATTTCGACACTTGAGTTGGCTTTATCTTAATATTTAGATTAGAAAAAGATGAAAAAATTTGAAATATTAATGATTATTTGCCAAATAAAATTAATTACATCTATTAATTCCATTTCATCTATATTTAAAACACATTCACTCACTAAATGAAGAATAAGTGTCGATCCATTAAATCGAACATATTGCGAAAAAGTTTCAAAGGACATTTGCAGTGCTCCATTGTACAAATCTGCTCTGTAAAGCAACAGAATATACTATATCATATAGAATTGAATATATTGAATAGAGTATACTCTGCATCATATATTCCATGATCTATATATTGTTTTAGAAGAGGTTTCTTCTCAAGGATATTAACAAAGTTCTGAACAACATTTACATTATTGGAATTTAATATTTCCTTCATTAGTACTGATTTAATATTTTTCTTCTTACTTCGTTGTTGAATATTCTTAATAGGAACATGGTATTATTCAATTTATTATCATTATTATATAATAAATGCTTTATAATTTGTACTAACGTTTATATAATCTATTCCAGCCTTTTCACTTAGGACTCCCTCTTTTATCAAATCTCTAATAAACGTCTCATCTATCTCTAAAGCGTCTCGTATATCTTCGTAGTTCCTCACTATTGCATTCTTTAAAATATACAATTTGAAGTCGTCAGAATTCGCCATTTTTACTTTCCCTACTGAACAAAAATAACACCATTAATTGACACTTTTGTTTTCAATCGCTCTTTCCCGCTTTTGTTATTTGGTATTTGGGTAAGTTTCCTAAACATAGAGCGATAATTGAGCTATCTGCGTTAGTGATTGATTATTCTACCATGTAGTTTAGTTAGCTAATTATTTTAATTTTAGAATAGACATTTATTGACTTTTCTAGAGGTTAATCACAAGTCAATTTCCTTTAAATTGGATGCAATTAGACAGCTGTAGTTCAACAACTGAACAGAAATACCTGTTTTTTTTCTTCAACAAATTATTATGGTATTTACTTAGAAAATGATATTCCTACCAGTTTATCTCGACAATAACCTGTTCAATATCTATTCAATATGAAGCCTGTTCAATAGTCTCCATATTTCTTTATTTATTGTATTACATTTACAGTATATTATCGTTCATCAAGCTGTATTGAAGAAAAAAATTGCCAAATAGTAAAAATTTAATGTATTTCAAAGTAAAAGCGTATTTTTGCAAGATTTATCAGTCAAAGCTAAAGCTACCTTTAACCTTTAAATCAAAATTGATTATTATTTACTACTATATTATAAATAATACTTCTATAACTATTGAGTAATCTTTTCCCTTTACTATTATGGTATAGATAGCATTGCTAGAGAGGGAGAGATGGAATAGGGGGTTATACAGCATACATTGTATAATAAAAAACTGTTCAGGTGTTTTCCAACAAAGAACATAATAAACATGAGTAATTGATAAAATTAATCTTTGGATCCATATTGCCAAATCATTCTCTGTATACTTGCAATAAAATAATATGGTTTTCTATATATTTTATGGTTATAACAGTTAGGCATATCAAATGAAATAGAAGAATTCACAGTATTTACCATGGAAAAGGATATAGATTATCCTGTTACTGAAAATTTATCTAGGCTATTGAGACATTTAGATATTGAAATACAAATTATCCTTATTAATGAATTGAACTTGAAATATGAAGTAATAGATTCATTGGATCTACTACAGAAAATAGACATTTTAACTTTATGCTTTGATCAGAAACCAGAAATGAAATTGAATAGCGTTTTACAGCATTTTATATATTTATTCAATTTTGGTGATGACTTCTACGCTGAGAATTTTGAAAATATGATAAAAAGTGGAAAATTGGCAAATTTAGCGTCTTATTTAACAATAGAAGACTGTTTGGAGATTTGTATTGAAGAAAAGATTAATGAAAAAGAGTTGGAAAGTATATCAAAAACATCTAAAAGGAACTATCGATTATCTGGAAAATACGTTTTAAATCTTATACATTCGTGGTGCAGCGAACACGTCTTTGACAATGAAGAGCTAGACAGTTGGGAAAAGACATTCTTATTTGTAAAAAAATTGGCTAATAGGATTAAACAGAGAAGAAACTTATGTATTAAACTGATAAATTACACATTTCAAGAGAAAGATGACTTTATTAAAAAGTTGAAAAGGATTTATCAGTTGAAATTTGATGAATTAAAAGCATTTTCTTTAAAGAAAACTAAAAAGCTATTAAGAGATTCATATACAGAAATTACATGGAAAATTATAAAGGAAGGTAAATATGAAAGGAAAGGGGAGAAGGTATTTGTAAATTTTTATGAATTAGTTAACTTTGTTTATAAAAAGAAATTTGAAAGAATTTTAATGAATGGTTGCTCTGGAATTGGTAAGACTAGTTTTGCTATTAAAACTCTGGCAAATTGGGCAAACGGAATTGTTTTTAACGAATTTCAGATTGTTATTTATATAAATGTCAGAGAACTTCGTCACGGGAAAACACTTATTGAATCTTTTATAAATCAAACTTTTGGAGATTGTACTGAGAAAGATGAATACGTTTCACTTCTTCAAAGGATTACCGATCACTCGAAATTGGATATTTTATACATTTTCGACGAAATAGAAGGATTAAACGATGGATTGATTGAATATTTAAATAATACTCTTGAACTGATTTCTGGACATCCAATAATTGTTTGGCTATCTAAAGAAAAATCTAAATTAATTGAAGAAACATGGGATTGTGTTGTTGAAATGAATGGTTTTAATGATATACAATTAATAAATTTCTTTAGAAAGAGTTTTGGTACGAGCTCTTCCGATTTAGTACGTCATTTAACATCTTCGAATATCGATAATAAAGATGGAAAGAGTTATTTAGAAGAAGAATTTAGAATTATTGAACGCCAATTGCGTTTGGAGGATAATATCAATGATCCAGTTTTAAAAGAATCTTTGGAAACAATTAGAAAATTAAGTGAAACTGTTATCAATCCAGATCTATTCCAACAGTCGTCGTCTTTTTTCTCGGCCTGTTCTATTCCTCTAATCGCAACTTTCTATGGAGTTTGTTGGAAAAGACTTGAAAGTAATTTACCAAACAATGAACTTGATTTATTTAAAATACTACTAGATAAATCAATTCAAACAACTTTGAAAGATACTAAAACTTCGACGACTAGAGAAGAATTAAAAGTAATATTACAGTCAATAATTGGTAAAATAGCGTTAAAACATATTGGTGAGAATGCTATATTCGTTGAAAAGAAGTTAATTGAACCAATCGATAGCTTTTATGATAATTTAAATAATCTAATACGAAAGGTTAATTGTAAAGAATCCTTAACTGAAAATTTCAGTATTGAATTGAAATTTTTACATTCATCCGTTCAAGAGTATTTTGCAGCTGTATATTTGACATATTTGTTTGAAGTTAATCGATCAAAATTCGATAATTTTTTAAAAGGTTTTCAAGATATAAACTCATTAGGTAAATATATTAGAGTCTTTCAATTTATCGGTGGAATTAATTTCGATTGCTTTAAACGATGTCTCGATTTATTTAATCAACTAATGAACGAAAAATATCATCAAATGGAAATCAAATGGAGAGAGAATGAATTGAAAGATGAAAATCGATTAAATAATTTAATTTTTCATTATACAGCCAAGTGTATTCGTAGATTTTGGAAAAACATACAATTAACATATATTAAGTATATAAGCTCATCACAGCTATCAATCATCTTTAGCGATACAGATAATCAACCAACTAGACTTTTAGAAGTAAAACAGGAATGCGATTTAAAACTCCTTTCCAGTGAACATTCAATGATTTCAAAGAATTGTGAAATATTTGAAATTCATGAAATATTTGTCGATTATCAAAAATGGCAAAATATCCTAACTTGGAAGAATATTAATGAACTTAAGCTCTATAATTGTTATATTGATGATAACAGTTTTGAGCTTATTGGAGAATTACTTATTTCAAATATTTCTAGTCTTACCTTTCATTCAATTTATGCAAACTGGAAAAAATTGATGAAAACTGCAAGTAATTGATTATTATATATACAATATATTGTAATATTACTGTTTTGATTCTAATAGTTTTAATGTACTTTACATAAATTATTATAGATTGCAGTACAGCTCGTTTGAGAAATTTGGAATTATCTGATGTCAACTTAGATGCTGATGCGAATATGCTTATTAGTCTTATAAGCGCAAATCTACGATATCTATCTTTACTTAATTTTAAAGGGGCGTTATCGACAGACTCTAATTTGGAACTTTTAAGTACAATTTCGAATAAGACTGCAAAATTGAAATATTTAAAATTCGTTGGTTTTAACTTAACTAAGGAGAATGAATATGAAGATAAGTATTGTAATTCTCTTCAACGTTTCACATCGCTTCACAGTTTAGATATGACAGACACAGTCTTAAAAGGAACTTTTGAAAATATATTGAAAGCTTTATGCCTTGGATCGAGAGGAATTATTGAAGAATTGATATTTTCAAATTGTTTAATTGAATTTAATGATATTACAAAAATTCACGACTATTTCAAATGTTTTACCGGTCTACTTGAACTTCATTTAAATGATAATAAGATATCGGATACAAATATATTAATACTTATTCAACAAGTTGTTTTATTGCCAAGTTTAAGACTATTCAACTTTGAAAACATGAATATAAATATAAATACCATTCAACTCATTGAACATAGTTTTCAACGATGTTGTTCAAATTGTTGCTTAGTTTCAGATATTGAATTTGAGGAAAGTGCGTCTAACGCCTCTTATTCAAGAGATAAAGAAGAAGTAAAAGAGGTAAACTGTTATAGTCAGGATATTGTGGAAACGTTGAATAATATTTTAAATATCGAGAAACGGAAGACTATTCCTATTGTTACTCTTCAGACTTGTCTTGATAAAATAATAAAGGTAAGTTCATCAATAAATTCACATCACAAGACTGAAGAATCAATGGATATAATAAAAAATATGTTTAAAAAATCGATTCCAAACAAACTTTTCCAAATCTATCAAATTCCAAATTGGAATATAATGAAAAATTACGAAATAGAAAATTATACACAAAGTGTAATGAATCTATTAAAAAATTGGATAAGATTAGATTTAATTAATGAATTAAAGATTGATAAAACAATAATTTCAATAATTATGAATATTGAAAGGAAATTTTCAGTAAGGAAATATATTTACTTTAATAATTAATTTTTCATAATATTTCTATTATTTCTCTCTTTTCTTCCATCTAGAAAGAAAATTTATATACTGAACATGTAGCTTATTTAATATTTAAACTATCTTCAACTAAAAATCCTATTGTTCTAATCGAAAACAACATGATTAGTGATTTTCTATTGCAAAATGCTAGCCATCAGAATATAATTACGAGAACATATTGTTTATTCTCATTAAAATATATAATGACAGATATTGAAATAGACGCAATAACTGATATTGAAACAATTGATATATTTTATAATAAATTAGTTGAATGTTATGAAGAAAATGATGAAATTCTATTAAAGAGTTTTATAAACGGTAAGTGAATATTACAATAAATTAGACGCTTTTTACCTGATTTTACTTGTATATATCATTATAAAATACTATTTTAATAATCTACTTTATCTCTTACAGACTTTACTATATTGTTTATTAAAGAAAACGAGGTAAACAGAATGATAAAGTTAAATATAATTCGAATGTTTACACCTATATTACAAAAGTTCGACAGTGATAAAATGCTATTAAAAGGTAGATATTTGTTACACTTATTAATAATATAGTTAGTCTGTTAAATACATTGATAACCAATATTTTCTTATAGATATTTTAAAGTTATTAAAGAAGATTGCATCAAGGAAAATGGGACGAAAACAATTGAAATTGAATATTGCTTTAATTGATATTCTAAAATCTTTAACTGCAAAATTTGACGATGATTCAAGTTTTCAAATGGACTTAAAAGAATTCATTTGTGAACTTTAACATTTTTTTATACTCGTAATCGTTTTTCCATTCTTCTCTCTGTCTTTCTCTCTCTCTCTCTCTCTCTCTCTCTCCTCTTTATATAGTACAGGATATACAGTACGTACTTTTATAATAGATTCTCACGTTCTTAAGCAATTTCTATTCTAGTTTGGATAGAAATTATCCACTACACTAGATATGTTCATTTACTATTAATCAAGCATAAACGTTTGTATTTTAATTGCGTATAATACAATAACTCTTACAGTACTTAGCCTTTGAGGTAAAAGATAATCAATATCGTTTTTCTTTTTATTCTAGTAATATAAGGAAGTTATGGGAGAACTATACATGTCAATATATTAGTATATGCAGTATATATATATACAGTATATATAAACATAACTACTGCTCTACGTATTTATAGTAGTGATAAATAGAAAAACGATAAACAGCAATAATTACTATATATACAGGATACAAAGAATAAATATAGGTTCTTTGTCTATTTTATAAACGGCGTTGAGATAATTGTACACATTTTTATATGCAAAAAGATAAATAATAAGTCTAAATAGAGTGAAATAATAAAGAAGAGAGAAGATTGACGAATTTTCTTCAAAAACTAAAGGAAATGATATCATTACATTGATATTAAATGTATTTTCTAAATGGGTGGGAAAAATATAATAAAGTATTTGATGAACTTTCTCTAAGTATCTGAAAGTGCTTCATAGACTAAACTATTTAATTGTTGAAAAATAGGGAAGAATGAAAAATAAAGAAATATCTACATGCGTTTTATTCATTCTCACTAAGATTTAGAGGGAAAATCGAAGGTTAAACGTGCAAATTTCATATATGCAAGATTACTACTATTAGTGAGAATTCGTTTCAGTATGTAAAACATTCTGTTAAACTAGAGAAAAGCGGTCAAGGATTGTTTTTTACTTCATTCTTTATTAACTGATTACAAAGAAATTGAAAAAAAAAACACAATTCGAATAAAACAACATAGTTGTAGTTGTATTACTGACATATTGAAAAAATATTTAACTTTCATTCCATATCTTAATGGTATGATATCTATTTCTTAAGATTAAGTTTTCTTTTCTGTTTTCTATTAATAGAGAGATATCATTTTTTATTGAACATCTGGTTTATTTTTGTTTTCATACAGTTTAATAGTAATTATTTTTATTGGCACATTACGTATTCAGTTGGATTAACTATGACACCATTTTTATATAATTGAAAGTGGGAATGATCTGTCATAGCCAGGGAATAGCAACCAGAGCAATGAAGACCTATATGTGTACCAATTTTGTCACCGGTTGAAAATGTCTTTCCGATTCCGTTGGGAACCATTTTGTTGTACCAAATGGAAAATTCGTATTCTGTAATTCAGAGAAAAAAGTCGAGTATAATCTATTAGATTTATAATATAATATTAAAAAACTCATAATTACCTGACCAGGCTCCGATTCCTCTATAATGTAGACCGTCATTGCAACACCTATTATCTGGATATGGTCTCGACCTCCTTACAATAGTTCCTGGAAATGGGGCATAAATATCGGAATCTGCTTCGCAACGAAGGTCAATTCCGTTATGTCGACGACTGCCTCGAGGAGCACCGTAATGACCACAGCCATTTCCGTCACAATGTCTGGCCGTATTGTAAGAATATGCACTGCAAATACTTTCACTCATACAATCAGCCGTGCATAAGCGAGGTGTGGTGGTGAATTGACTTGAAACATAAGCGCTCTACAATGTTTGAAAATTGAATATTAAGTTGAACAAACAAAGTAAATAGAATATAAGAGGAAAACAATTTACATCGCCATTGAAGAAGACTTCATCCCATCCTCCACTAGTAGAAATATACTCTAGGCAGGTATCTCTAACTATCTGTCCAAGGACTGTTCCAGAAGTAGAAGGACTACTTCTGATATTCAATGTCGTTCCAGTACTACAGACGCAGTCTCTGCAGAATGCGACATTAATAAGGGTAGAAAGGAGAATGATATACTTTAGCATCTTATTCAACTTTGGTAATAAATTAATAATTTTGAACCTCAATTTATAAAAGTTACTTTATCAAAGTAAGCCTAAAAGTCCATGATAAAAGAAAAGATGTTGTTAATTAAAGTCCTACTTTCGTCTGGATATGTGCGTTCATGCGTATAATAGGACTATAAGTATATTGTATCTTTTTATAAATAACATAAACTGTCTGATGATAAATAAGAGAATTCATTTGACAATGCAACTGTTAAAAGTTCAAAGAAAATATTTTGTTACTTCTGACTTATCTTACAAAGTAAAAAACAAAATTTCTAATTTTGACGATATCAGTGTATCTTCTATCTTTCTATCATAAAAACGTGAGAAAAGCGACACTTAATCGTTAATAGTCTTTGTTCTTATGATATTATATAGTTCAAAAAAACCTTTAATACAATTTAACAACCAGCAATAACAGGTGTTGTTTTTACAAACTTTACTACTATTAACAAGTGTTAGTTGAAAATCTACCCATTACTTTTTACGCATATGAGGATTAAGTTTTATCGTTAATCCGAATCTTTCACCTTGTGAAAAAAACAAGAGAAAATACACAGACGCCCCTTGTTTTTAGCTTGTCGTTCTTTTTTACTATTTTCTCTATTTACATCTGTTACACAATGTTGTTCGTACTATTTATTTTAATATAGACTGTTTAAGTTATACAGTATTTATAACGGAATAATGGTTGATGTTACCTTTTTCAGAATATTTCCTATGTTATTATTATCAATCAATGGACAGAAAGCGGTTTCTAATGCTAATATAAATACTAATACATTTATTAAACCGGAAGCCAAACTGTGTAAGGATTATATATATATATATGTATGCTACTTTCTTTATACTACATTATATTTTCTGTGTTGAATAATAGGGAATAAATGCGAATATACGAAAAAGAGTTTTGTACCTGACCCAAAATTTCCACCTTTTAAAAGTTTCAAAGTTGGTGGAGAATGGCCTTTACATCGCCTAACAGAAAATAATTGTATGGAAAAATGCGATCAAAGACAAGGTTAAAGGTCAAATTTAGGAAGGATAAGAAATATTAATTTACCTAATTGAACCTGTTTTTTGTAGATTGTTTCTCATACATTTATAAAGTATTAAAAGAGACAACTGCGTGCTTTTTATTTAATAAAAAATTCCAAAGGAACTCTTTAAATGGGAAGAATATGCTTAATCACGAATCAGGAGTAAATTACAACGTCATATATAAAGAAAAGGAATCGTGTGGTATACTAAGACAGTTTAAAAATTATAATGAATATACATATTCTATTTATTCTTTTCTAGATAAATGCTATTACGAGAGGCATAGATTCGTCTCGATTCCTAGTGAAAAAGATGCTAATATTGTCGCCATACTTACTTCTAATTCTACGGAAAACTATGGAAAATTTCAGGATAGATGCTTTCAAACTTGCGATAATACTGTACCTTGTTTTAGCTTAGTTTTAATAGAAAAACAGCAAATGTGCGTTCTATATAACAGACAAATAACGAAAGGTGATTTTAAAATTACGGAATTTATTGATAAGAATGACAACAATTGCGGTATTCTATGGCTTAAAAAGAACTGCAATCCTCCAGGTATGTTTTTATAGTTGCGTAACTATTACGAATATAGTTCTTAAAGAAACTTATAACACATTATATTACTTATAAAACCTTTTACATAATTCATGGTTGTCATTCTGTTAATTAGAGATGAGGATACCTGTAAAAGTCTTTTTTTCATCCGGATGCCTTGGAGTTTGCTCCAAATACCAAATGAAAGAGCAAGATTTAGACATTACAGCTCTTAAAGATAACAATCCTAAAACTTTTCTTGAGATTAATGGAAGTAATTTATTAAATTGTTTTACGGTAATTTTAATCTTTAAAGTGATGCTACTAGATTCTTTATCTTTGAAATCTCAATAGCTTAATCTTAGCTTTCAAGACGTTGAACGTAAAATAACTGTAATTGTAACACCTTGTACGAGAAGCGAACATTATGTTATTATGGATTTTGGGCATGGAGATACCGTATTTAAGTCTTGTAAACCAATGGGATCAAGCGCAAAACAAGGAGAAAAAGCATGCGTCTATTCTTGCGAAGTGGAAAAGAGTACACCGGAAATGAAAATAAGAGTAAAAGATTGAATTATTCGCTAATTGTTTTATAAAATTTATTAAAACTCTTTTGTTTTTTTATTAGGTCTTTGATCCAAATAATAAAGACTTTCAACTATCCGGAATAGAAGTAATTAAAGACAGTCAAGCTACTCAATTGTTACCGGGAGGAACATCAATGAGAAAAGCTTGATAGTATATCACCTTAGCATGTCATTAATACACCTTATAGAATTTCTCAGAAATATATCATTGACGTTCTTTAAGTATTGCAACTTATTTTTTCTTATATGCTTTAATTATTCTCAATTTAGGACAAGCTTTACTTTATATAGCAATATAAATATAGTTTATTGTTACACAATATACAGCTAATTCACTTTAGATGGTACTTCTCAATAACACAACATTTCATGTAACAGACACAGGCTAATATATCAAATGTACGAGAAGGGGAAGGGAATAAAAGCAAAGCTATATTTAATAAAAAATGACATATAAGTAACCTTTTAAAATGCATATAAAAGTGTTTAACTTAAGGTAGAGCATGTAAAGAGACAGAGAAAAGTAGACAGACAGGCAGACATACAGACAGATAGAGAGAAAAGTAGAGGGATGCACATTAATCGTTGTTAAATAACAAAAAAGAGTGAAAAAGAAAAAGGAAACATGTTATTTCTATTAATCACATGAATGTGTAGTCTTTCCATGTTTGAACTTCTTACAATATCTCCTTCTTTAATTTTTTTTCTGTTACAAAAAAAAAACAGAGAGAAAGATAGATCATAGATAAATAGGAAGGCTGATGATACATGGATAGAGAAAAAGACGGGGAGTCTGTAAACGTTTTAAAAACTCTTTCTGATTTTCTCTCTTTGTTATAGATCTTATATAAACTGAACGTAGATAAAAAATATCAAAAAGAAAAACACAGAGAAATTACATTTTTGATTTGATCTTTCCATCAAAATAATTCAAGGATTAAATGTCTTCCAGGCACTAAATTTCTCTTTTTTTCTTAAAGCAACCAGAAAAAGTGTCTCGAGAACAAAAATAATCTTTAAGTATAGTCTTTGTAATTTTATTATGATAACTATTGGATTATGTAAAACATATCCATATACAGTAGAATGTTGCAGTATTTCATTTAACAGTTGGTCTCGTATGTAAAATATTACTTACATCGTTTGTACGATAATAGACAGGTTCTTTTCTTGTATTGCATTAATTACCTTTCCTCCTGCTGTGGTCTATTCCGCTGTACTTGTACTTACTCTATTTGAACTTGTGGTAAAAACAAATCGTATATCATTTTCGTCAATGAACCACAGGGCATATAGTTTCGGTGCAAACAGACAGAAAAGCGTAATCAAAGAATTTAATAAACATGTGGCCGCTAATATCAACGATTGATATTTTGTTATTTCGGTTGTAAAATACACTGGAAGTAGAACTAACCAAACGAAAAATGTTGTTGAAACTGATACGAAAATATAGGACGCCTCATTAAAATTCTCTGGCAGTTTTCTAGTCAGAAATCCATAATATGAAGATATTGCCGCCAACAAAATATTGTAGGATAAACAGGGCAGAAAGCCCTTCAGTGGTAAGTTGCAATGCAATTCCACATAATCTTCTGTTCGTACTTTTTGTTTCAAAGACGCCTCGTTTCCGGATATTATCGTCGATAGAACCATCAAAATCATCTGTTTTGTACAAGAGGAGCGGAATAGCAATAAGTGTACTCGATGACTCGAAATAAATTCTGTTTATATTAAGCTAGTAGAAGAGTGAGAGGGAGAAGGAGAGGGAGGAGAAAAGGAAGAAGGAGAAGAGGGAAGAAAAGGAAAGTAGGAGAAGTAGGAGGAGGAAAGGAAGAAGGAGAAGAGGGAAGAAAAGGAAAGTAGGAGAGAGAGGAGGAGGAAAGGAAGAAGGAGAAGAGGGAAGAAAAGGAAAGTAGGAGAGAGAGGAGGAGGAAAGGAAGAAGGAGAAGAGGGAAGAAAAGGAAAGTAGGAGAGAGAGGAGGAGGAAAGGAAGAAGGAGAAGAGGGAAGAAAAGGAAAGTAGGAGAGAGAGGAGGAGGAAAGGAAGAAGGAGAAGAGGGAAGAAAAGGAAAGTAGGAGAGAGAGGAGGAGGAAAGGAAGAAGGAGAAGAGGGAAGAAAAGGAAAATAGGAGAGAGAGGAGGAGGAAAGGAAGAGAAGAAAAAGTAAAAAAAGAGGAAGAAGGAAAAAAGTAAACGAAGAAGAAGAAGGAGGAGGAGGAGGAGGAAAAGGTAAAGAAAAAATAAAAGTAATGATAAAAAGAAAAACGAAAGAAACAACAAGGAAAAGAAAAACACTCACTTGAATAAAGACAATAAAAATGGCCATAACAATTTGAAATTGGTTGCTGATCAACTTGGTTGTTTGATTGCCTTTTCTTGCAGAGGCGAATATTCTATAAACTCGATTTGTCTTCATTATTATTGGAGCGTATATCAAAGTATTCGATATACTAAAAAGGTATCTATTCACTCCACAAATTCCATCGCTTGGCTTCATCAGAAAGAAAAACGTTGTCAATAAACTCAACTTTATTGCGAATAGAATAATCGATGTCAGAGGAAGTGATGATGCTCGTATTAGCTTTTCTCTTCTTTTCACTATCATTATTAAAGAGACAAGTGATGCGCAAATCAGACCTACAATGCCTGATGCCAATATTATGACGCTTTCAAAATCAGACCACTTTAGGTAGTCAGCTTCTATAGCCACGCATTTCAACGCTTCTCTATCTGGCCAAAAAAACTCGGGACACTCTTCGCATCCAGTCCGATTGTCAATAACGATTTCATTGTTTCGACACTTCCGACAGTCCCAACAACATACCACCGCCTTTTGGATAAAATAATGCTTTGGTGGACATGGCTTGCTGCACACTGAAACTGGAACATATGATTCTGGCCATATGATTTTTTCGAGAGGTTCTACGCCAGGCTTCTCCCTGCTCCAACGACCGACAACATTCCATTTACCATTGTGAGTATATTGAACGAGATTATATCCACCGTAAACATCCCCATTTTTATCAAACTGTATATTTCCAAGAGTTGTATTGAACGAACCAGTTCGTATCTCTTTTAAAAGCCTCTGTCCAGTCACACAATTTCGAACTTTCGATCTCGATATACCAGGACAAAATCTTTGAATCACTCTATTTATTGCTTTAATTAATACAAGAAAGCAATCGTATTCCAAAGAGTCAGCTGCAATTTGAAAGTTTGCTGCTGTAAGATTTGTTTCTGGATCGCATAGTTTTTTTGAAGTGTTATTATTTCTCTCCCAAGTACAATCAAAGAGTCTACTCCAATAATCATTTATGTAAAGAAGGTTTGGGTTTCTTACAGGATTTATAGTTGTTAGAAACTCAAAGGATCCTGGAACATTTCGATACTGGAAAGCTATACCGAAAGTATTATATACGCGTTTTTCTAGAACGCTTGGTATTTGAATAAAACTCATTCCATCAGACGCTAAAACATATTTAATATTGAGAAGCTGGGCTTTTTCTAATTGATCATACAGCATCTTTGTTTCTCCTGGATATAAGAATATGATAATTATTTCGGCATTAGGATGGTTTGAAATTTTTTTTACAGCTTTTTCTATATCTTCGATAGAATTATCCAAAGAGATCATTTCATCAACAGCAATACAAATGCCTTTTATGGAAGACAATTTTCTCAGTTGTTTTGCTCCATTCTCTCCGTAACTTCCTTCAATAAATAGTATTGATACGTAATTCCAGTGATATTCCAGGATAAAGTCAGTTAGAGCTTCAGCTTGAAATCTGTCTGGACTAACAATTCGAGTAAAGTATTCATATCTTACTTTATCGCTTAAATCGTCGCTTGTTGACATGGGACTTATTTGAGGAATATTGAATCTACTTAATAAAGATGATAATTGAACTGATTCAGAACTACTTATTGAAGCAATTACAGCTTGAATGTCGAAATACTCCATTTCTTGGTTACTCTTTGAGCATGTTTGATCGTTAACTCTTGGTATTAATTGAACGGAATGTTTAATAGTTTTTGGTACCAAATTACAGGTATCGATAAAAACATATCCAATTGTTATGTTTGGAAGAAAACTATCATCTCTATTAACATCATCGATTCCTTTCTTTACAAGATATAAGCTCTGTAAGAATCTTGAGCTGATTGCAGAGTTTTTAACGTTACAGCTATTTTTTGAAGGCTGTTCTCTAACAGTTGACAAGACCGCAATGTTAATATCCGCTAATTGAATTTCATTTGTAATTATTTTACTATTATCTTGAATCCTCTTGATGCTTAGACAATGAATTAATTGAAGAATAAAGTGGAAGGAAATTATGGTCAGGATAAATCTTGACATGTTAACCAAGAAGATGATAGAGAGTTTGTGAGAGACAGAGAGACAGAGTGAGAGCGTTGAGTTGTTTAATACTTTGCTATTGGTTGACTATTTTGCTTATATCACCAAGTGTTTTATTATTTCCTTCAATGTTCTTTCTACTATACTTAAAACAATCTTTGCAGTATTTAAACGGCTTCTGTATTATGAAGAAATCGGTAAAGTAATTTCAATATATTCATAAAGAATGTAGCAGAGTTAAATACATACAATTGTTTAGACTAAGAAGACACAACTTCGTGTTACTTCATACTGTACTAGCTTAAAAAAAGACCTTCAATAAGAGTGAATGTTTTTATTATATTTTCTTGGAATATTACAAAGAACTCTATATTTCTGTATTTAAATAAGAATTTTATTAATAAACTATGCAGTAGTAAGGTATCCCTCTCTTTTGTATTTAAATCATTAGACTACTATCGTCTTGCAGTCTGCAGTAAATAAATTAATATATACATACTAACGGATATATTGGTGCTATTAATACATCATTTTCTTGTAATTTTTTTGAAGTAACAGTACATTCTCAAGTCTTTGTACCTATAATTATTGAAACCATACAAAACAGAATTAGTTACCTTTATCGTGTACGTACCTCTATCTATCTATCTATCAATCTATCTATCTCTTTCTTTCTTCTTTTCTTTTTTATTAGATTTTTGAACTAAAAAAACTATACATCCTCGCTATCACAAAGACCAAGTTTTTTTTTTAATTCTCCCTCTCCTCATTACGCCAACTTCGAATACAGTAGACTATCTAATTACAATTTAAAGGATACATTAGAAAATACTAAAACCTTAAATTCTGTTATTTAACTCTTTTCTGGTATACTAAATGTAAAGCTCAGCATAGACTGTAGATGGCATGTTTACCTCTTTTCTAGGTTAATATTTTCAGAATAGTGCTACTTTCATCTAATAAAGTCTGTATTATTTAATTTTTAAAGAGCATTAAACGACTAAAACGAAGAAATAAAATTGTTAATATAGAATTTGTTTAATTATCTAATAATATACTTAAGTTTAATTGACATATTGCTTCATTAAATATTAGTGTATTTGCTCGACAAAGTGTAAAATAGGCAAGATAAAATATTAAGATACTCTATGAATAAATATAGTCAACAACATGAAAATAAGATGCAGAGAAGGAACACATCATTGGATAAACTACTTAATTAGGGGCAACTGAACTATCTGTATTTAGCGATACCGTTCTTATTTTCAAGTTCTGTTCATCAATAAACCATATAGCATATAGTTTTGGTAAAAATAAACAGAGTAATGTTATCAATGAATTTAATAGACAAGTCGCAGCCAGTAGTAGAGATTGATATTTAGCAATTTCGGTTGTAAAGTATGTGGGGAGTAGAACAAGCCATACAAATAGAGTTGTCGATACTGAAACAAAAATATAAGAAGCTTCATTAAAATTCTCAGGTAGTTTTCTAGTTAAAAAGCCATAATACGATGAAATTGATGCCAGGACAATATTATAAGATAAACTAGGTATAAACCCTCTCAGTGCAACAGAACATTGAAGTTCAACGTAGGATTCAGTTCTTATTTTTTGTCTCAAACCAGCTGTGTACTTTGAAATGATAGTCGACAATAGCGTTAGTATAACTTGTAGAAGAACAAGTAGGAATGCCATCAGTACCTGAAAACGGTTACTGGTATATTTAACACTTTGATTTCCTTTCCTTGCCGATGAGAAGATTCTAAACACCCGATTTGTTTTCATAATTAATGGAGCGTATATTAAACTATTTGAGATATTAAATAGATATCTGCTTAAACTGCAAACGGTGTCGTTTGGTTTTATTAAGAAAAGGAAAGTAGACATAAGACACAGTTTAATCCCAATTAGGATAATTGCCGTTAGCTGAATTGATGAGGCTTTTATTAATTTTTCATTTCTCTTCCAAATGATAAAGCTTGTAATTAATATAGATAGAAATAAACCGAATATAGCTAATGTTAATATGATGATTGTTTCAAAATCTGACCATTTTAGGTAATCGGCTTCAATAGCTACGCATTCCAACGCCTCTTTATCTGGCCAAAAAAATTCGGGACACTCTTCACATCCAGTCCGATTGCCAATAACAATTTCATTATTTCGACATTGACGACAATCCCAACAACATATTACTGCCTTATGGATATAGTAATATTTTGGAGGACAAGGATGACTGCATTTCGAAATTGGAATATATGATTTAGGCCATTTAATTTCTTTCGTTAGTTCAACACCTACTCTTTCTCTACTCCATTTGCCAATAACATTGTATTTTTCATCATCGACGAACTGAACAATATTATATCCACCTATAATATCGCCATTGTTATCGAATTGAACTTTCCCAAGGGAAGTTTTAAAGGTACCAGTTCGAAGTTCATGAAGAATTCTCTCTCCTGTTATACATTTAGCAGCATCCGAACCGAAAACACCAGGACAAAACGTTTGTACTATTCGCTGCATAGCCTGTACGTATATTTGCAAACAATCGTATTCCACTGATAAAGCTGATACTTTATAATTAATCGAACTAAGATTAGCATTAGGATCGCAGGGTTTAGTTGTTGAATTTATTGATGTATCCCATGTACAGTTGAATAAAAATTTCCAGTATTGTTTAATATATATGAGATTAGGATATTTTGTAGGATTTATTGAAGTTAACTTGCGCCTTGCAGAGGGAACATCTCCTGTTTGGAATGCTATAGCAAAAGAATAAAAAGATCTTTGTTTACCGACATTTGATATAGCCGTATACATCAATGCATCAGATGATAATATATATTTTTTATTTAAAAGTTTAGCCCTTTCCATTGCATTGTAAAATAGGCTTATTTCTTTAGGATATAGGAAAATAATGATTATCTCTGAATTCGGATGCATTTTAATAAGTTTTAATGCTTTTTCAAAATCCTCAATAGAGTTGTCGAATGAAATCATTTCATCAACAGCTATACAGATACCGCTTTTAGCAAACAATTTCCGTAAGTGCTTAGCTCCATTTTCTCCATAACTTCCTTCAATATATAGGATAGAAATGTAGTTCCATTCATGTTCTAAAGCAAAATCAACCAGAGCTTGGGCTTGAAATTTATCTGGACTAGCTATACGAACTAAATACTTAAATCTGACCTTGTCGCTTAATTCATCACTCGATGATAATGTTGCTAATTGTGGTATTTTAAATTGACTCAATAACGCTGAGAAGCCAACAAGATCAGAACTACTTGTTGTAGGAATTACTGCCGTAATGTTATAGTATTCCAGTTCTTTATCGCTCTTAGTACAAATTTGATTAGAGATTCTTGGTAAAAACTTGACTGAATTCCTTACGCTTTTCGAAAATAGATTACAATTATCAATAAAAACATATCCAAGGGTTATGTTTGGTAGAATATCATTACTTTCATTAATATCTTCAATAGTTTTTTTCACCAAATACATACCTTCGATAAACGCTAATTGCAGTGTTGAATTTAAAAAACTGCATTGAGATTGGTCAACTTGTTGTTGAAGAGACGAAATCAATCCAATATTTATATGAGCCTCATTTCTCTCTCTGGTTAAATGATCTTTTTGTTCTTCAAAAATATTTAACAATCCGCTACACTCAATTATTTGAAGTAGATATAAAAGTCTGCAAATGATGACTTGAATCCTTAAGATCAACATATTATCTGTTTTTCTTCTCTTTTCCTTTCCCTTTCTAGCCTTGTTAAAGAGTAAGAGTTGTAAAATTTTAATAGACATACATACACCTTGCATATATATATATATATGTTAACATATTTTTAATTTTCCATATGGATTAATTCATTATAATTTCTATGCGACTATCAACGGAATTAGGGATTTTTGTTCATGTAACGAAACACCAATGTATTTCCACTCTTTGACCATAAAATATGAAATTTAATACTATGAACATCTTTTCCCCTTCAATCTAATAGAGATAAATTAAAAATTTTGTATTAAAGAATTCATAAGATAGTCAGTTGTTGTTTTCCCAGGCCTATCTTCCCTTTAATCTTTATCATACCAAAGATGTCGCGTCTATTTTTCATTGTAAAACTTTTCATTTCTCACTTTATACAGTAGATGGCATTAATTTTTTCTCCGAAAATCAAAAAGTAACAACTTAAATTCCTTGTTAACACTCCTTAATTAGCCGTTGTAAGAAATGGTAATCTATTTATTCAGACCTGTAACGAAAACTAAGCCAAGATAATAACTATAAATTGGCATAGTTTGATGAAGTTATGTGAAAAGATAATATAGAAATGCATACTTTTAGCAAAATGCACTCAAATATCATTTATACTGTGCATACTATCAGTAATACCTGGAAGATGATAAGACTTGGAGAGTCATCGCACTTAACGCTCAGATTTTTTTCGACAATTGCAAATAATAGAATATTTTAGTATAAAGTCATTTTGAACAGAATTTCAGTAATAAAGACATACTTTTAAGATTTTAATTTGTCACATGTAAACCTCCTCACTTCTCATTTCATTATTGTATACAATACAACATCCCTTATTACATATTTAGCATCTTCTGAAAACTGATTGCTGAAGCATTGGATTCCTGGTATCATCACCATCCAAAGTAACATACTACAATTGTAAATGAATTATTTATTTCTATTTACTGATAAATGAAATAAGGGAACAACATCAATTATAGTTTTTCTATATAAAGTACAATTTATCGTGTATTAATATGTGAATTAACTGTATTTTGTGACACTACTTTTATCTTTAAGTTTTCTTCGTCCATAAATCGAATAGCGTATAGTTTTGGTAAAAATAAACAGAGTAATGTTATCAATGAATTTAATAGGCAAGTTGCAGCCAGCAACACTGATTGATATTTAGCAATTTCAGTTGTAAAGTATGTGGGAAGTAGAACAAGCCATACAAATAGAGTTGTCGATACTGAAACAAAAATATAAGAAGCTTCATTAAAATTCTCAGGTAGTTTTCTGGTAAGGAAGCCGTAGTACGATGAAATTGAAGTCAGTGTAATATTATATGCTAAACTAGGTATAAATCCCTGCAGAGAAGTGTAACACTGAAGTTCAACATAAGACTCGGTTCTCTCTTTTTGCTTTAGAATGGCTTTATTTTCAAACAGAGTAGCTGATATGAGGGTTAATACAACCTGTAATTAAGATAGTAAGGTGTTTAACATATAGAATAGCAAAATCTTCCAACTCTTTTTATACATTACTATCTATAACTTTTTATAGCAGAACGATTTATATCTGTTTAGATCATTAAAAATCTATAAATTTACCTGCAATAGAACAACTGCAAGCGTTATTGCCATTTGAAATCGATTACTGGTATATTTAACACTTTGATTTCCTTTCCTTGCCGATGAGAAGATTCTAAACACCCGATTTGTTTTCATAATTAATGGTGCGTATATTAAACTATTTGAGATATTAAATAGATATCTGCTTAAACTGCAAACGGTGTCGTTTGGTTTTGTTAGGAAGAGGAAAGTAGACATAAGACACAGTTTAATCCCAAATAGTGTAATTGCCATTAGCTGAATTGATGAGGCTTTTATTAATTTTTCATTTCTCTTCCAAATGATAAAGCTTGTAATTAATATAGATAGAAATAAACCGAATATAGCTAATGTTAATATGATGATTGTTTCAAAATCTGACCATTTTAGGTAATCGGCTTCAATAGCTACGCATTCCAACGCCTCTTTATCTGGCCAAAAAAATTCGGGACACTCTTCGCATCCAGTCCGATTGCCAATAACAATTTCATTATTTCGACATTGACGACAATCCCAACAACATATTACTGCCTTATGGATATAGTAATATTTTGGAGGACAAGGAAGGCTGCATGTCGATGGAGGAACTTGAGAATTTCTCCAAATTATTCTCTCATAAAATTGAGTAATACTGTTTTCTCTGCTCCAGTATGCAATTATATTATATTTAGAATTCTCTGTAAATTGGACAATATCATAACCGCCATATATATCACCAAATTTATCGAAATGAACCTCTCCACCTGTAGTTTGAAATGTTCCCGAACGAATTTCCTTAAGTATTCTCTCTCCTGTAAAGCATTTACGAGCGTTTAGACCAACAGTTCTTGAACAATATTTTTGTAAGACTCGATTCATAGCCTCTATGTAAATAAGAAAACAATCGTGGTTTGCGGAATGAGCTGATAGTTCAAAGTTAGTATCGGTTAGATCAGCTTTTGGGTCACAAATCTTTTTAGTGGAATTATTAAAATTCTCCCAAGTACAATTGAATACTATACTCCAATAGGTTTTCAAATATAATAGATCTTTATGTTTTTCCAGATTTAGTTTAGTTAAATATTCACGAGATCCAGGTACCTTTTGAGTTTTGAAAGCAATACCAAATGTATTTAACGCTCTTTTCTCTATGACTAATGGAATTTCTGTTAGACTAACGCTATCTGAAGCTAGTATATATTTAGTTCGGAGTAAGTTTTCGTTCTCCATGGTAACATAAAACATTTCCAATTGTTTTGGATATAGAAAAATTATAATTATGTTTGATCTTAGTTCATTTTTTATATTCTTTACTGTTTTTTGTACATCTTCCAGAGATTTATCGAATGATATCATCTCATCAACTGCAATACATATGCCTTTTAATGCACACTGTTTTCGAAATTGTTTAGCTCCATTTTCCCCGTAACTCCCCTCCAAGTAAACTAAAGAAACATAATTCCATTTAAAGTTTACAATAAAATCTGCTAACGCTTCAGCTTCGTATCGATCAGGACTAACAGTCCTCGAAAAGTATTTGTATAATTTCTTATTGCTGAGATCGTCGGAGGTAGCCGTTGGACTTAATTGAGGAATTTGGAACTCGCTTAGTATATTTGACACCGAGGCTGCTAATATACTATTTAACGTTATAATGGCAGCTTGCACATTAAAAAGTTTATTTTCATTTTCATGTGGAGAACAAACTTGATTTTTAGGTCTGGATATCATTTCAATTGACCGTCTAACAGTTGGCGAGATCATATTACAAGTATCTATAAATATATATCCAATAGTGATATTTGGCAATATAGTATCATTATTATTAACTTTATCAATTTCCATCTTTATAAGATACATATTTTCCAAATTTTTTAAGTTAACTATCGAGGCTTCTTCACCACATTCTTTTTCTGAAAAGTATTGATGAACTGTAGTCATTAGTGCAATGTTTATATCTCCCTCATTTCTTTCAATAGTCCTCTTTTCCAAGTTTCCTTCCACTATATTTAAAATTCTTTGAAATGTAAAAATCTTAAATACGCAGAGTAATACGACAAACAATAAGAAAACACTTCTTGAAGATAACATACTTTCTTCTCGTCGGATTTCTACAAAGTGAAGCTTAACAAAAAGAAACTCTTTTTGTTTCTAAAAGAAAATAACTTATGTTAATGTCTCCTTGCCTGCTTGCTCTTCAACCAATAGAAAAAATATTAAAGTAATAAAAGTTATAAAAATTGTAAATACCGATGCTCTGAATGAATATTGAACATCAGATTCCTTTTCAAAATGAATACTAGAAGATATATTTGTATTATCTCTAATATTAGACAGAGAAAGTTATTACTGATCATCTATTTATATATTAAATGTTATTGTTCTTTAGTGTTTAACAGAGTCATTCAAAGCTTTTATCTATTTCAATTTAACTATGCTGATTGTATCTTGGAGAAGATATACAGTTATACTCTATGTTATATACATGTACATATGCGCCAGCAGAGACCGCTGCTTAGTGCCCCTGTTAGCTTTATTAGCTGATTTAAGTACAGATCCTTAGAGCTTCTCCTCAACGATAGAATATATCAAGTGAAGCTAAATATACATGTTTAAGAAACTAGATACTCTATGTACAATTCCACACCACCTCTAGTATACTGTTCGATTTTTTTTCTATAATACAAAAACTATCCAATCGCCAACATTAAAACAGTAGAAAGAGTGCTTTTTTTTATCCAGATCATGAAAACAATGTTAAAATTCTGTCTCAGTATCAAATTTCTTACAAAACTGGTTTGATATATTAACCTTGATTGGTAAACTATTATTATTATCATCAATAGACTCTATAATTTAAACATAAATTAGAGTCTCATATAATTAAACCGAAACATGAAAAATATAGTTTTTTTTAAACTAATAACTAAAATTGTGTACTTTGGCTACAAAACGAGTACAAAATTATATATAATAACAGTATTTTCAATCAATCTTATCTGTAAATAAATTCCTTTTAACCTTTTCTTTATTTTAACAATATTTTGTCCCTGTTGATATAATTACAACATTTAAATTTTAATTAACATATAAACGAATATATAAGATTATTCGCCAATTCACTCTAACATTTAATTTACATTACTTCATTTATCTGAGCTTACACCTACTCTATTCAAACTTGTGGTAAAAACAAATCGTATATCATTTTCGTCAATGAACCACAGGGCATATAGTTTCGGTGCAAACAGACAGAAAAGCGTAATCAAAGAATTTAATAAACATGTGGCCGCTAATATCAACGATTGATATTTTGTTATTTCGGTTGTAAAATACACTGGAAGTAGAACTAACCAAACGAAAAATGTTGTTGAAACTGATACGAAAATATAGGACGCCTCATTAAAATTCTCTGGCAGTTTTCTAGTCAGAAATCCATAATATGAAGATATTGCCGCCAACAAAATATTGTAGGCTAAACAGGGCAGAAAGCCCTTCAGTGGTAAGTTGCAATGCAATTCCACATAATCTTCTGTTCGTACTTTTTGTTTCAAAGACGCCTCGTTTCCGGATATTATCGTCGATAGAACCATCAAAATCATCTGTTTTGTACAAGAGGAGCGGAATAGCAATAAGTGTACTCGATGACTCGAAATAAATTCTGTTTATATTAAGCTAGTAGAAGAGTGAGAGGGAGAAGGAGAGGGAGGAGAAAAGGAAGAAGGAGAAGAGGGAAGAAAAGGAAAGTAGGAGAAGTAGGAGGAGGAAAGGAAGAAGGAGAAGAGGGAAGAAAAGGAAAGTAGGAGAGAGAGGAGGAGGAAAGGAAGAAGGAGAAGAGGGAAGAAAAGGAAAGTAGGAGAGAGAGGAGGAGGAAAGGAAGAGAAGAAAAAGTAAAAAAAGAGGAAGAAGGAAAAAAGTAAACGAAGAAGAAGAAGGAGGAGGAGGAGGAGGAAAAGGTAAAGAAAAAATAAAAGTAATGATAAAAAGAAAAACGAAAGAAACAACAAGGAAAAGAAAAACACTCACTTGAATAAAGACAATAAAAATGGCCATAACAATTTGAAATTGGTTGCTGATCAACTTGGTTGTTTGATTGCCTTTTCTTGCAGAGGCGAATATTCTATAAACTCGATTTGTCTTCATTATTATTGGAGCGTATATCAAAGTATTCGATATACTAAAAAGGTATCTATTCACTCCACAAATTCCATCGCTTGGCTTCATCAGAAAGAAAAACGTTGTCAATAAACTCAACTTTATTGCGAATAGAATAATCGATGTCAGAGGAAGTGATGATGCTCGTATTAGCTTTTCTCTTCTTTTCACTATCATTATTAAAGAGACAAGTGATGCGCAAATTAGACCTACAATGCCTAATGCTAATATTATGACGCTTTCAAAATCAGACCACTTTAGGTAGTCAGCTTCTATAGCCACGCATTCCAACGCTTCTCTATCTGGCCAAAAAAACTCGGGACACTCTTCGCATCCAGTCCGATTGTCAATAACGATTTCATTGTTTCGACACTTCCGACAGTCCCAACAACATACCACCGCCTTTTGGATAAAATAATGCTTTGGTGGACATGGCTTGCTGCACACTGAAACTGGAACATATGATTCTGGCCATATGATTTTTTCGAGAGGTTCTACGCCAGGCTTCTCCCTGCTCCAACGACCGACAACATTCCATTTACCGTTGTGAGTATATTGAACGAGATTATATCCACCGTAAACATCCCCATTTTTATCAAACTGTATATTTCCAAGAGTTGTATTGAACGAACCAGTTCGTATCTCTTTTAAAAGCCTTTCTCCAGACAGACACTGATGTACGTCACTACGGGAAACAGAAGGGCAATATTTACGAATAACATTTTTCATTGCCTGAACTACTATTGTTAAACAGTCATATTCCAGTGAATCGCCCGACACTTGAAAATCTATTTGGCTTAAATTTGCTTTCGGATCGCATAAAGGTAATTTAGAGTTTGTTGTATTCCATGAACATTGAAAGATTCTTGACCAATATTTTCGTAGATAGATCAAATCGGGTTTTGTATGAGGACTTATGTTTTGTAGAATAGACCTTGAATTGGGGAATGGAGTATATTGGAGTGTAATACCAAAAGTCCTTATCGCTCTTAACTTATAAATTGAAGGAATTTGAAATAGACTCAATCCATCGGAAGCAAGTATTATCCTTTTATTATTAACAGTTGATTTACTAAAATGTTCGTAAAATAGTTGAGTTTCTCTTTGTTCTAGAAATGTCACTATAACTTCGGCATTGTTAATGGATTGAATATTTTCTATTGCTCTTGTTATATCACCAATAGGATTGTCTAAAGAAATCATTTCATCGATGGCAATACAAATACCCTTTTTGGCTGAATTCTTTCGAAAAACTTTGGCTAAATTTTCACCATATGGACCTTCAACGTACAAAAGTGAAATATAATTCCATTGAAAATTGATAATAAAATCAATTAGAGCATCGGCTTGAAATTTATTAGGACTTACTATACGAGAAAAGTATCCAAAGCGTTCTTTATCGCTTAAATCGTCACTAGTTGCTAAAGGACTCATATGAGGAATGCGATATCTACTGAGAATAGGCGAATATATAACTGACTCCGAACTGCTGGTAGGAGCAATAACAGCCTGGACTTTGAAATAATCAGTTTCACTTGAATTATTTATACAGTAAACTTCATCATTTTTTGGTATGAGCTTAAGAGATGTATCAATTGATTCTCCAATAGTATTACAAGTATCCATAAAAACGTATCCAATAGTAAAGTTGAAGAAGTGTTCTTTATTCTTGTTAAATTCGCTTATACCTTGTTCTAAAAAGTATAAACTCTGTAGAAACCTGGGGTTAATTGCATATTGCGAGTTATTACATTGTAAATTGCCAGTCGGTTGAGTCAGTGCAGATAACACCCCGATGTTAATATCTTTTAGATTATCTCTTATTTCTGGGATATCATTCAGAAGATTCAGTTGAGTCGTTTCATCAAAATTGAATGCTATTAGGAAAAATATCAACTGCAAAGAGAGTTTGCTTACTAAGTGAAAAGTTTTCATAATTTTCAAAGAAGAATATGTTATTCTATCCTCGTTTCAATAGAAATGTAATAGTGTACAAAAGTGCGTCTCAACTCAGTCGTATTAATATATGCATTCTGATTGGTTGATCTTTATGATAAAAGGAAAATCCTTTTTTTAACTTTAATATATAAAAATAATTCTTTTATCCAAAAAACAGGTAATTAAACCATTTTTTTACTTGTTGATACTTCATTTTGTCATGTGACTACTTTCAAACATTCTATTTTACTATATACAGTATATACTGTATATTTTTGTTTAATCTCTTTAATTTCATCAATTAAACTTAGATATAAATAGTAAAACCTATGAAAATTTAACTCTTTAAGAACAATTAGAGTAGTTTAATCCCCTTTTTCGTCTCGTCGAAATCTTTCGTGCATTCATTTATTAATTCTTACTCTTTCTAATACAAATGCTAATTAAAGAGAAAGATAAATTTAGACTCTGTTTCCTTATGTCCACGCTTTTTTTCTGATATTTATCCAACGTACCTGTTAAACTTTCTCATTTATTTCTTAAATGGTTAGCATATCTAGTTTTGTTCGTCTATTCTTAACTTCCCATGAACTTCAAAGTTGAAAAAATATTATATCACTGTTTTAATATTGATACTAATAACTCTTCGTATTTATTATACACCTATATTTTCATTATTAGATCTGTTTTGAGAAATCATATTGTCGAAATTATTCAATTATCTAAATAGCAGCTCATCTTTTGATGAAAGAAACTTTCTATTTCCTTTCTACTTTACAATAAAATTAGAATTTTCAGAACAATCTCCTACTGTAACAGAAATTTTTCTTAAAAATAGTCATAATAGGCTAAAATCAGTTTAGAAATCTTTTACAATTTCTTTAAAAATTATTTTTAACTTGTACAACTGTCATTTTCTGAATAATTCCTTCCGCTTATAGAAGCTTTATATCAATCTTTTTATTCATTATAGAGATTATATATTACATAATTGTATATATATATATAGTGTTTTCTGAGTAGGTGATGAGAATGTTCTGTTTATGGAAAGAAAACAATATGTAATATAGAATATATATACAGAAAATGCTGTATATATATATGTGATTACAGCATATCAAACTATCAGAACAAAGATACGATTGATTTAAATTAGAAGTGTCAATTAACCTCAAATCTACCAGACTCACAGACGAACACAGATATCTACTGCATTCTAAGAGGGAACGCTCTGCGAAAGAATTTATATTGGTAAATTTTTCTAGAAGGAATGCTAAACAATGAAATTGGTGAAATTTAAAGTAAATGGCATAGAGAAAGCTACTTGAAAGACAAAAATCAATGTACTAACAAAATCTTTGGTGAAATGTTTTTGACTCTCTAAGTCACTTGCGATGCTAGTCTCGGAAATATCATCATTTTAAAAAGACTTTTTAGTATGGATAAAATTCGGGATTGAGTGGAATTTAAGCAATAATTTATAATAATTGAGTTGGCCATACGACCGGACAGACAGAAATTCTCTAAACTAACGCAGTTACTTCAATAGAAAAGGCAAGCGTTTTTCAATATGCAAATAAATCGAATGAACAGAATTAGCGTTGTAGTAGTGGTGGCCTAGAGCAAATAAAACAAATGACTCAAAATGTTATTGAGAGTTTATCGCAAGGATTGAAATTGATAGAGGATGACGAAAAAACCCATTCATAAATAACAAATAAGCGAACAAACGCAAATCTCTCAAAAACTTTAAACAGTCAAACAAGAAAGAATATTGAGGCTATGTAGAGAATTGTTGGAATTCACGCTTTCATCCCAAGTTAAGGAAGGCATTACAAGAAACGAAGCAGACGAAAGTAGAAATTACACGATTTTTCAACTGTATAATAACTGGCCATTTATTAGTTGATTGTCATAACAACGGTAATTTTATACAATGCTCAGAAAAATATGATACATCTTTACATTCTCCAAATTCTTACGCAGAAAGAGATTTCTTTGCTAACATTAATTGTTCAAAGAAACATCACAAGCCTGGTGATTTCGTGATCTATCTTTACCAGTATAGCAATTTACGTTTCTGTATGGGCATTGTCAAATAGCATTTCAATTATCAGAAGGGTTGTTAGAAACGTACTACTCTATTTAGAGAGTCAGGCCTCCTTCTCCGATCCTCGGTATAGTCGACTTTTCGTAAGAAATGTATGCACAAGTAGTTTGTAGTTTAAATCTTAAAAAAGTCACCTGTAATAGTACAGTTCTATGTTTCGTACTGCATATTGTATACGTAAATTAATCCATCTTCCCTTTCCATTTCCTCTTCGTTCCTTATCTTTTTAGGAACAAGAAAATAGTTGTGGAGGGAAAGAGTTTGTTTTTTTAGATTTCTTTTCAGTTGGTTTACTTTGATTTCTCTTTGTTACGTATTTATTATTTATAGATAGTTTTATTTCCCTTACTTTCCCAGTTCTCTTAACAAAGACAAAGTTGGAAGATGCTTTACTTTTTTAGTTGTTGTCTTTTTTTCTCTCCTTTCTTTTCATTCAAAAGAGAAAGAATAATGAAAAAAGGGCCGGATATGATAAAGATATTTCTAGAGAAAAGCTAACTTTTAGCTGATACAATACATTTTCCGGTTTTGTTGCTTCGGGAAATGGTACAAAGAGGAGAGTTAAAAATTACTTACTTTGATTGTATAGAGTCAACTGTAGTACAATTTAAACACAGCAGATGACGCTACAGTTGGCATAAATTTGGAATTGTAAATTGAAGTCAATATATGAATATTTGTATATTTGCATAAATGCATATTCTGCATATAATTATAATAATAATTACATATAGAAAGAAAATTTTTTGTCTAGAGTGGATTTTGTATTTTGGAAGATAAAATTCCATGAAATTTCGTGACATGACATTGGAACAGAGACGAAGAGAGTTTTAATATAAACTTTCCAATAACTATCAATTAATCAATCATCTAATCGATCAATCAATCAATCAAAATAAGAAATTTTTATACATATTTATATATAGTATATACAGTACCGATACCCTATTTTTGGCCACCATTTTTTTTTTTGAAAATTAAATTTTTTTTCAACTTTGGCCTAAGCAAGATGTTTTTACCAGAAATTAAAATGAAGACAAATTATCTATCCTTACTTGAGAATTATAAAAGCTGTATTTAATACAAACTTGATAAGAAAAATATATCTTTTCATCAATGAGGTGTTAAAATCGATTTTTCTATATTTTTTAAAATAAGAATAATGAAGTTGCGAATGGTAAAAATGAAAGTCATTTTGTAACAGTATTAGATAATTTGTGAAAATTATTCTTGAATATTTATCACTTACTACTTTTACTTAATTAACCAATTTAGTCAATGTTTGCATAAATCAATAATTTTCTTATTTCTATTGTGATAAACAAAGATTTTATAAATCTCACTTAAAGATAGATGAGTTGTCCTTATTTTAACTTCTCTTTAAAACATCTTGTTTAGGCCAAAAAAAAGAAAAATTCATTTTTGGAAAAAAAAAAAAACAAGTGGCTAAAAATAGGGTACCTGTACTGTATAAATACTGCATACTACGTATTTATTACTTACTAAGAATTTCGACTTTCATTTCTATTTAATGAAAAATGAAAAGAGAACGAGGTAAGATAACACCTGTTAAGTGAAATTATCTAATTAAAATCGTACCTATTCTTCCTACTATATTATTAATAAATATGATATAAAGGAGAGAAAACAATAGATGAAAAGAGGTTACGAAAAGAATTACGATTCATTATCGTTAATCGTTGAAGGTGCTGTAGGTACAATATTTGAGGATGTAGTATGAGCGAATTTTAAGCGTTCCTCATCGATAAACCATAAGGCGTATAATTTAGGTGCAAACAGGCATACCAGTGTTATCAGTGAATTTAAAAGGCAAGATGCAGCCAACAAGATTAATTGATATTTTATAATTTCGGTTGTAAAATATACCGGAAGTAGAACTAGCCATATGAAAAATGTGGTTGACACGGATACAAAAATATAAGACGCTTCGTTAAAATTCTCTGGTAGTTTCCTCGTTAAAAAGCCATAATATGACGATATCCCTGCCAAGAGAATATTATAAGCTAAACATGGAACGAAACCTTTGAGCGGCAGATAGCAATGCAATTCAACATGAGGTTCAATCTTTATTCTTTGTTGGAGAGCCGTTTCATTTGGTGAAATGATAGTTGAAATTATCATTAGCAATATCTATATTAAATAATAAATAAAGGCCATATTAGCAATTGATCTATTCGATACATTGGCCTATAAAGTGAGCTGCTTACCTGGAAAGTAACAATGACGAAGACAAAAATTAATTGAAATTTATTACCCGAATATTTAATAGATTTAATGCCTTTTCTAGCCGATGTAAATATTCTATACACTCTGTTAGTTTTCATTATAATAGGGGCATAAATAAGAGAGTTTGATAGGTTGAAAAAGTATCTTCTCAAAGAACAAGAAGGAACTGAAGGTTTTATTAAGAAGAGGAAAACGGTTATTAAGTTTAATAGAATTCCAATAAGTATTATGAAGCTTAATTGAAGTGAAGATGCCTTAATTAATTTCGTATTTCTCTTTATATAAATTAGTATGGAGATGGATAAGAAAATACAAATTCCAAAAACTGCTAATGACAATAGAATAATCGTTTCGGGATCTGCCCATTTTAAAGATTCCGGATCGATTGGTAAGCATTCTAGCGCTTCCTTTTCATCAGGCCAATAGAATTCAGGACATTCTTTACAAGCTGTCTTATTTAATACTAGTATTTCATTATTTCGACATTTTCGGCAATCCCAGCAACAAACGACTGCCTTTTGGATAAAATAATGTTTTGGAGGACAAGGTTCACTGCAGAGCGACTTTGGTTGATCCGAATCTGACCATGATACATTACTTACAAAATCAATACCCGACCTCTTTCTACTCCAACTTCCAATAACTTGTACAAAGTTATTCTCAAAGAATTGAACTAGATTATAGCCACCGATAACATCTCCTTTCTCATCAAATTGAATTTGTCCCTGAGACGTTTCAAATGTCCCTTTTCTTATCTCATCTAGGAAAATCCTACCCCTAATGCATTTCCTTACTTGCACTCCAGTAGCATTTGGGCAATTTCTCTTAATTATTCTATCAATAGCTTGAACAAAAACCATTAGACAATCGTTGAAACTCGCAGTGGCTTCTATAGAGACGTTAGCAAGAGTAAAATTCTTATGAGGATCGCATGGATTTGTCGCATTATTAGACCAAGAGCAATCGAATAAACTGGCCCAATAATCTTTTATCAATAGAAAAGATGAATTGTTTGCCGGATTCAAATCGGAGAAATATTGAAAACCACCTTTAACATCTTTACCAGCTGTTGTGACACCGAAAGAATTAATAGCCCTTAATTGAACTGTACGAGGTGTTCTCGCATATATCATAGCGTCAGAGCCTACAACTATTTTTTCTTTGGCAATATCAAACTTGTCCATCATCAGATAAAATTCGTCGGCCACTGTAATAAAAAGGAATGCAACTATAACTCTAGCTTTCTTGTTCTCTTTAAGTTTCTTAACTATTCTTATTACATCTGCTTTATAATCCTCGGTAGAAATCATTTCATCAATGGCTATGCAAATTGACTTTTTCTTTGCTTGTTTCCTAATTTGTTTTGCTCCATTTTCACCGTAACTACCTTCTAAAAAAATTAACGATATATAATTCCATTGAAATTCTAATAGAAAATCGGTTAAAGCGTCCGCTTGGTATTTGTCGGGACTTATCAAACGGGAAAAATATTCATAACGTGCTTTGTCGCTTAGGTCATCGCTCGACGCGAATGGACTTAGTATAGGTATCGAAAATCTACTAAGAATATTTGCCAGTGGTAATGTTTCAGAACTTCCCGCACCAGATATTACAGCTTGAACATCGTAATAAGCCATTCCGGAATTACTTTCGTTGCAATTTTCGTTTGAATTTTCATTTCGTGGAATCAATTTTAAAGCGTGTTTCAAAGCGGATGACTGAAGAGTACAAGTGTCCATAAACACATACCCAAGACGAACATTCTTAAGAAAATCTTTATTCTTATTTATTTCATCAATGTTCTTCCTTACGAAATAGACGTATTCTATGAATATCTTTCTAACAATGGACGTTTTGGGATTACACAATAGATTAGAAGCGTCTCTCGAAGCAGGAACTAAAACAGCAATATTAATATCCCCATCCATGCTTTCAATTGCAACATATTCATCAAATACATCTGGTTTAATGATATTATTGCAGTTATTCCCAATGAAAAATTTCATGAAAATTACAATAAAGACTTTTCTGAAAGGAGAATATTTCATAATTTATTCTGTCACACAAATTCCAGTATACTAGAATGACTGCTGAAAACAATACCTACTACATTTAATTCAATGTAAATGTAATCTGACTGGTGGATTCTTATTGGTCAACTAGTCAATTTTAATTCAAAAGCAAATATGCTATATCAGAATACCTTCTTCCACTAAATCAAAAGAATTCTATCATAAGCTAGTTTGATAGATAGATATCAGTTAATAACTGCATAACAAAAGCTATTTTTTCACGTTTTATACCTATAGACCTATTCTAATCATTAGACGGAGGAAGAATGTGGAAAGAAATGATAAGAAAGATGAAAGGAAATCTTATAAAAAGTTCTTTAAATACGTACAATTAATGTAATAACGATAAAAATTTTTCTCTTCATACACTAGATGGAGGTTTTAATTATTCGCGTCATTGGCTGAAGGAATTAGCTCTCTTAGAGGTGATATTATAAATCTAACCATTAAATTGTGAACTAAATAAATAAAGGACTTGTACAAGAATTCTTTCTATTCTTTATTGTAATCTGAATAGTTGAAACTATTGAAGCCCTTAGAAGAGGAATGACTAATTTGAAAAAGGGTGATCATAGTCAATTGACTAGCAATGGAGAAGAGAAATATAGAAGGGAGAAATAATTTGGTCGTATTCAAAGAGGAAGCTTATTTAATACTCCCTTTAACCGATATATTTTAGAAACTGTATATACTCTTCACTCGAAGATAATCTGTCTAAATAGATAAATATAAAAATAACCAACTACATGACTATTTATATAAATATACATTAAGAAAGTTTATATCATAATATCTTACTTATATAATCATTTATACTTTTACTCTCTCAATGGACATGGCTGTACTCTTTCTCGTGCTTATAGACTGAAATTGGTAGGAGTAGTAGTAACAAGAAAGTTAAACTTTTTCTCTGCCAAACATAAAAAGTCACGTAGTAGGATGGTAGAAGGCTGATCTCTCCAGCTCCGATTAGCTAATATTTACACGATTTTTAAAGAAAAAACGAATCAAACCTTTTCAAATATTCTTCATTTTAAAAAGACCACAGAGAAAAATAGAAATTAATCTAAAGAGAGATAACTAAAATATGTATATTTAATCTTGATAAAATACAATTAGCATATTTATACGGTAGATATACTATAACTATTGATTCCGTCTTTCTAATGGTCAGTTCTCGGTTGTCAACTGGGCGGATAGGTCAAAGTCAATGAAATTGGCTCTTAGAAACAAGAGAAAGAAAACAATTTTTAATAAACATAGCGTCCGTGTAGATAGTGTAAAATGGCTGGGGAAGGGGAATTGGTATCAGAGGAAGAAAAGTGAACGAGAAGCCCTATAATCTGTCAGGTAAAGGGAAGTTTACTTAGATGTAAACGCATTAAATGCACAAGATGAAGGGAAAGGATAAAGAGAAAAGGATAGGAAAAAAGAGAAATAGAAAAAATATCAAATATATCCTAAATATAAATATAGAATAGCTCATTTCCTAAATGATTTGATAAAGAGATATGTTTAATTTTTATCAAAATTAGACATGACAGACCAGAGGATTAGAGATTTTTGCCAATTTTGTAATCATATACATTATATATATACAAATCATTCATACCTACATATAAAGTTATCTTGTACACATAACTCTTATAAAGAGAATATAGAGATTAATCCTTAATTGGTTAGATAATTCATATACTGTATATAAAAAATGAAGGAATACACTGAAGAAAGTTTTATTAAATAGTAATTAATCTATTCTTTCTCCACTCCATCAATAACTTTATAATGATAAACTAATACTTCTATAAAAAAAGATAATTAAGAGAAAGATAGCGAACGCAAAGTAATCTATACTCTCATAATTGTAGCCTATATATGTAGATTTGTATAGATAAATAAGATAAATACATGAATATATATATATATATATATGTATGTATTAGTATATAGAGGAACAATTTCATTTGAAATACTATATTCATTGAATAAGTATTAAGTAAAAAGGGGAATTTCTTGAATAAGCTTTGTTTCGTATTGTCCCTTACTAGCGTACTAGCATTTAAGACGATTTTACTACTTGGTAAGTATTATGAAATTCTAAACTAATAGATAATCCAAATACTATATTTGTATTATAATAGATTGTTTTTTTTAACATATCAGTATAAACGTACATCGCCATAAACACAAATACTGCAATCACATGACGAGAATAAGGTAAATATGTATTATGAATAATTAAAGGAAAATATTTCCAATACTTCATCAAAACCATATGGAGAAGTGCCGCTTATTCTCGTTTATTGTATGGACTATACTTTATTCAATCGTTTGCGCTATTGGAATACCTGGAAATTTACTATCAGTTATCGTTTTCTCTAAAACAAAAGAAAGTAAACAAAATTCGGCAAATATCCTACTAAAATGGCTTCTAATCAATGGTCTTGCTTTACTGATTACCGTCATAATCGTAGATTCAATTCCTTATGGGTGCGGATACACCCGAATGTGCCCTCAATGGTGGATAACATGGCCATATATCAGATACTTTTGGATTTTCATTCCAGTTTTCCATATGAATAATTTATGGATAGCCATTCTAATATCGGTAAACAGATATTGGGCAATTTGTAAACCTCTGGAAGTAAGATTTGTTTGGACAACATTTCGAACGAAAATCTATATATGTTTAACCCTTTTGCTGGTTCTTATGTTTAATCTCCCAAGATTCTTTGAATACGAATTTAAGAATGTTAACGGAACAATCCGAGAAAATAAAACGTCATTCGGCCTCTCTCAAAGTTATAATAACGGCTATAAAGTTTACAGCGTAACTGTATTTTATGTTTTTGGGCCGATAGTTATTATGTTGCTATTCACCGGTCGGATTGTCTTTGTTCTTCAACAAAAGAGAGCTAAGGAGATGAATAACCAATTTACGCATATGGCCGAAAGTGAAAAGAAAAGAATGGCTAAACCGAATAATGAAGTAACAATTATTTTGTTGATTGTTGTAGCTACAACGATAGTTTGCCAATTTCCCATTGCAATTTATCATTTAATGAGAAACACTGTTGAACGTGAGGAATGTTTAGATGTAATTTATATTTTAAATCACGTAAGTAAATTCTTAGTCAATGTCAACGCAGCTTGTAGTTTTCTAATTTACACAACTTTAAGTAGAACTTTTAGAAAGAGACTTAAAGATTTATTGTCTTGTGCGATTGCCGGTTCAAGATACTCTTAACTTTAATAAATTTACTAAATAATCGGCTTAATTGGATTTTCTCATGTTTTCTTGCCAGTTTCTAGTTTGTACAATAAATTATTTATCATTAATTGAAAATTACTATATTGAATCATGGAGAATTATGACCTTAAACACTATAAAACTTCTATTTATACTCTTTTTTTCTCATCACTAGCTGTTTTCAATTCGTTCAACTTGTTTTTTATTTCTCTCTCTCCCTATCTCTCTCTTTCTCCGTCTGGCTTTCTATCTTTATCTATCTTCTCTATTCTTCTGTTTTCTTTATTTTTTTCCTTATCCTCCCTCCTCTTTCTATTCTTTAGAATACGTTTTTCTCGTATAAATATATATAGATATGGGTAACGTAAGACTGAAGGCAATAATCAATGAACGCTTACCTAATGCAGGTATAGTATACGAAATAATATTTATAAAGAAATATTAAATGACCTTTAACAGAATAATAAAGTACATTTCGTGTAAAAGTAATATAAACAACGCAAAAATTGCGGATCAAGAATATTTACACTTATTGGCCCTAACTATTTTACTAAGTAATTAACTATTTTGTTAATTAATTAATTATTTTATTTATTCATCCATAGCTTGTTTATTAAAGTAAAGCTTTTCTTCTTCTTTGTTTCTTTCTTTCGTTCATGCCTTAAATATTAGTATAAGCAGTATATATTTATTATTCTAAAAGAGAAAACAAGTAAACATTCAATTGAAACTAAATAGACACAAATTATTTGTTAATAGTTATTTTATTCGTTCTTTACCTCATCTTCTTACAGAAGATACAAAATAATGGTTATTTTTATCCTCATAAGCAAATATCCTACGTCACAAGTGTATACAAAAAAATAAAATGTAAATATCTATGAATAAATAGACTAAAGTGTCTGTAGATGGAGTAATTATTTTTTGTCTCTTAACCCAGAGACAAAAGGAAAAAACTTGGAAATAGAACACAATGATTAAAACCTAATGGATAGTACTAAATCCCTGAGTTTTCTTTTTTGTTCGTCTATATTTTCTCGTTCTTGTGCTTTTCATATTAATAATTACATATGAATGACTTAACGCTCTTAAGCATCTACAATGTATTGTATATATGTTAGAGATACCGTATGTACAAGTTGCTTTCTTCCCTTTTACTTTATAACCGTATTGTATAGCTTACTGATCATTTCTCTTCTGTATATATTTCCATGTTTTTCAACCAATGCAATAATTCTATATAAATCCTTTAAATATATGTTTATTTACTGTGACGTCATATATAAATCTATACGGAACAGATAGTAATATCATCAGTGATTCTTATCAATAAAACGGAACAAAAAGGAATAAAGCGTCTTTTTTTCTATAAAAAACTTTAATATTTAGAAACCTTTCACCTTTAGTATTCTTCCACTTGGCCTTATATTTACTTGGAAAGTGAAATCGTTTCACTGTAACACTGTATATGTATATATAGGATATACCATATATTCTACTATAATTTGTTCACCCTTTCTAAATTCTCTAAGAAATTGACCTAAAAGGTAGATATTAAAGAATTTAATAATGCTGAAAGCTTATTCAAACGTTTTGACACAAGAAAA